CGCCAACCAACTCGGATTCGGCGAGAACAAGGACTTCATTGAGTTGATGAGATTATACCTCACCATCCACACTGATCACGAGGGTGGTAACGTCTCTGCTCACACCACTCACTTGGTTGGATCTGCTCTCAGTTCCCCCATGTTGTCCCTCGCTGCCGGTTTGAACGGTCTTGCTGGTCCTCTCCACGGTCTTGCCAACCAAGAAGTTTTGAACTGGCTCACCAAGATGAAGGCTGCTGTTGGAGATGACCTCAGTGATGAGGCCATCAAGAAGTACTTGTGGTCTACCCTCAACGCCGGTCAAGTCGTTCCAGGTTACGGCCACGCCGTTCTCCGCAAGACTGATCCCCGTTACATGGCTCAGAGAGAATTTGCCGAGAAGCACTTGCCATCGGGTAAGTTTTAGCCGATCACGTGATTCAAGTTTTTAATTCTAACAATTCCATGTCTAGATCCTATGTACAAGCTTGTTAGCCAAGTTTACAAGATTGCTCCAGGTGTTCTTACCGAGCACGGAAAGAGTAAGCACGATCTATTCTTTAAATTACAGCTCTGTTCAAACGAAGGATGGATGTCCACTCGCTTTCCCCCCCGCTTTACCCCTCTCTAGCTCATCCCGAATCCAACTATTGAAAATATTTACTGACTTCCTCTCTTCTCTACTTTCTAGCCAAGAACCCCTTCCCTAACGTGGATGCTGTAAGTTAAATCCCATTCCTCAGAAATGATTTGCAATGGCTGATAATTTTCCTAGCACTCCGGTGTCTTGCTCCAATACTACGGTTTGACCGAAGCCAACTACTACACCGTTCTCTTCGGTGTTTCCCGTGCCATTGGTGTCCTCCCACAATTGATCATTGACCGAGCTGTCGGATCCCCAATTGAGCGCCCCAAGTCCTTCTCCACCGAGAAGTGGGCCGAGATCGTTGGAGCCAAGTTGTAAGATGATAATCAGAGTATGGTGGGGAGGTAAACTTAGCCTGGGATACACACGGGCGTCCTGAATTAATGACAGAAGGGAGATGGAAGGTGTAGACTGGATAGAGCGACCATTGCAAAATTGTAGAATCGTTTTTTCAAGTAGTTGCAGTTGAAGGTGCCCTAGAGCAGGAATACGCACTTATCCTCATGATGACCCCCTGTGCACATTTATCAATATGCTCTCTTACTCAATGGATGAAAGATAAAAGATTGCGCTATGAATTACCTGTCATCGTTCCATCAACTCGTCAGCACCGTCTGTATAAACTTCTTAAATACGCATGCATCCACTCGTTCATCCACTCGTCAACCTTGATCACTTCTCGATCTTGACCTGACCACTCTAAGATCAGACGGTGCAATATACTATGCCAGTGAAGCTTTCGTGATATTGATGTTGATTTGATTTGCTATGATAGCCGACATACCTACTATCCGCAGCCTATTAATAATAATAATAATAATAATAATAATAATAATAATAATAATAATAATAATAATACAGTATCTGATCTGTCTGCGATACACTACACTACTCGAGTATATTATCTACATAGTAAAAGTATCGGTACTCTCACGTATTCATACTTTTTAGGCGGAAACTAACTGTTATTTCATGTTATTTCATGTTATGTTACGTTATATCCCACAGATGGCATCTATGCTAGATTCACCGTATCGCTCAATGTAATATTGGATTCTCAGGGTCCTGTACAGTAAAGATTATGGATGGGTTTATTTTACAGGTTTGGATTGTTACTATTACTTATACTATTGCATTATTGCGCCGTTATGATAAAACCACAGCCTATTGCAAAAAGATTGAGATTGGACTCTGGAGTGAACCATTAGCAAATATATCATGGATATTCCTGGAATATATGTATCTATATATGATATCGGGATAGTTGAAGGGAAGTCTATGGATGGTTGAGGTGATATATATATCCGGTATCTCTAGGATAAGTTTATTATTTGAGTTGAGAGTAATATCTGGGTTGAGGTTATCATTAAACTAGGTTGGATATTTGAAGAATGTTTGAATCAAATTGAATAACTAATAGTATTTGAATTTCTCAAACATCATATACATATTAGTAGGGTATTATTCCTAATCGCTTAAAGCGACTTCTCTGTCCTTGTAAATGGCGCGTTGTTTTACGTTTGCGATATGACCCTTGACAGCTGCAACGGGTGCGAGGTAAGGCCTTAGAGCTGGAGCAAATGGGAGATGCCCTTTCACCTCCACATACCTCATTGCGAGGAAGCCAACAATGACTACGAGCCAGTAGAGGTTGTACGAGATGACAGAGCCATAGGTTGCGGAGTTTTGCCATCCGAGAATGGCATTGAAAATACCCCACCCACCGCCACCGTTAAGCTCGGGGTTGCCAAACTAGAGTCATCAATCAGTACAGATATATGCCAACTGTGTCGACTGACTTACGTTGACGTGCCACACACTTTGCCTAATATCATAAGAGCCCGGTCCTGCTCCAGTTTCCGCTGCGTCACCTCCGGTGGCATTGTTCCAGTCTTGTGCCTGGAAATACCACACTGCTCTGGAGAAAAGACCGGCAGCTACAAGATATAGTAGACATGTTGATATCACCAAGAAGAATTGGAGCTTCGAGGTTGCGCCACCTCTGTATCGTGTTAGTTTGATCGCCCAAGTTTGATCAAGGTCACTTACTTGTAGATGACATATCCTGCCGCTAGTCCGGCAATGAGCCCAATGATGACTGGGAGTGGGATACTTGTCGCAGGTGTCGAAAAGGAAACACCTGCCACGAAGACGACGGCTTCAAGTCCTTCTCTGAGTACAGTGACGAAGGGAAGGACGAACATGAAGTGCTTCTCGCCCCATATTTTGAAGTCAAGCCAGCTAGCATACCATCTTCGCTTTCTTGTATCTTCCGATGGCTCTAGGTGCTGACGAAGCTTGACAGTCCACTTTTCCTTCATTTTCGACACGCGAAGTAGCGCAGCTCCCATCAAAGTGATAATAATGGAGGCAACAATTGCAAAAGAACCCTCCCAATAGTATTCTGTATTGGACCAAGCATCTTTACCAATTCCATAGAAAGCCCCAATCAAACCACCGCCAATGATTAAACAGACAAAAAGTCCTGACAGCGCTCCCCATATGACCTGGAAGCTGTTTAGCAGAGAAGTGGAAACATTGATAAGGTAGCTTTACCTGCCGAAAGAGCTTCTTGCGCAGCGTCGCATCTATATCAGAGTCGCCCAAACTCTGCTTGATGAAAGCAAGTAAAACGGAAACGATCACCACTGTCTCCAAAGACTCTCGAAATACAACAAAGAATACTGGGACCGAGAAAACACTGACAGTCATGTTTGCTATGAGTTCTATCGCAGTATCCGTTTATACTACTTGAGTATATTCTGTTAGTCAAATATAGGATTATAAAGTTGTAATTACCTCACCGTAACAAACACAGAGAATGTTGGCTCTTCAAAAAGTATATGAGAGTCAACGATGAGTACAGTAGTATGGTGCCGCAGATTAAGTGTTGTTTATGAAATTGAAGGAGGGGAAAGGCAGACGAGGATCAGATAACAGTAAACGAGGATCTGATTACGAGTAGGCAGGTCCGACCGCCTAATAAGAATTTAGTTCGTGGGGTGAATTGCCTGTTTAGAGTTGTTATCGGCAGGTTGCACATTTGGAATGACACTCGGGAGGTCTGATTGGTCGATATGAGGAGGTTAAGCCCAAAAGTTGTTACATCGGCATAGTTTCATCTAGATGAGTCTGTGTCTACTCGTCGATTTTTACGACTAATGAGAAGACATGAGAAATTCAATGTTCTTTATCCGTTGTAGCATTCAGTTTCTTCCCCCTGGAAGCACAATCTGGGTATTTTCCGCTTTAAACCGAGCTGAACTTGTATTAAGCTTTCTTGTTACTGCACGACTCGACCCGAGATGTGGGAGGTGGAACTCGGACTACTCCGCAAAGGCTTGTATTACAGTGTGACATGAACTAATTTCAATTATTCTGCAAGGGAGAGTAAAGAGAGAAATGGGCTTATCAGATCATCAGATGGTCAAATTAGTAGCTGAGGTTGAAGTTTAGCTATTTCATCCTGCTGCCGCGGCTTGGACACATGCTCTGCTCCCCTCAGCCACTTCACTGTACGTGGAATCAGCCTCTCTCTCTCTCTTTCAAGTGGGTGAAACGAAAATAGTTGATTCCTGTCAACTGACATTCCCTAGACTCCGTCCCGCCTTCACTTGTTCTCGGCGTTTCAACCTTCCACGTATACAGTAGACTTCTCGAATCATATGACTTTTAGAAAGCTCTTTGCAATCAAAATTATTACCGCAGCTTGGCATAGCTTACTCTAAATTCTTTTTGGCTTCATCAAACAAAGATGCGCTAGATATTGTACTGTATCAGATTATCTAATAAAAGAGCAGATCTATCACCCTTGTATATCTTCTCGTCTCTTCGACAGGGCTTTAGGAGACACATTGATAGTCCCCAGCATTCACCTACAGGATCATTCAACTTCTCTAGAGATTTTACCCGACGAGAATTTCACTTCAATTTGGTTGAGTCTCAGACAATTAGAACATGGCGATTTCTCTATCATTCTTCCCCATTTCATCTGCGCTGCTTCTGGCATTTTCATCTCTCACAGAAGCAGCGACTGTTACTTACGACTTCAACATCACTTGGGTTAGAGCAAACCCGGATGGCGCGCATGAACGTCCAACCATTGGAATCAATGGACAATGGCCATTACCTGTTATGAGAGCGAATGTTGGTGACCAAGTGATTGTTAATGTTGACAATCAACTTGGCAATCAAACTACAACTCTTCATTTCCACGGTCTTTTCATGAATGGTGCTACTCAAATGGATGGTCCTGCACAGGTCTCTCAATGCGGTATTCCAGCTGGCTCACAATTTGTGTACAATTTTACTGTAAGTTGAGCGGAGTGTCTGTGACCTGTCGCTGAAGTTATCTTAGGTCAATCAACCAGGGACTTATTGGTATCATTCACACGACAAGGGACAGTACCCAGATGGTTTAAGAGCACCTTTCATAATCACAGATCCAGACTTCCCGTATGCGAATAATGTTGACGCGGAATTCGTCCTTTCAGTCTCGGACTGGTACCACGAGGAAATGCAACTCTGGCTACCGAGGTTCATTGGAGTTGCCAATCCAACAGGGGCAGAACCCGTTCCACAAGCCGTGCTTTTCAATGATACCCAAAACCTTACTATCCACGTACAGCCCGGCAAGACCTACCTCTTCCGCATGGTCAACATCGGTGCTTTCGCTGGCCAGTACATCTGGTTCGAAGGCCACAACATCACTGTCGTGGAAGTCGATGGCGTCTACACTGAGAAAGCTGAAGCAGAATCTATCTACATTGCCGCAGCTCAAAGATATAGCTTTTTGCTCACCACCAAGAATGACACCTCGACGAACTTTGCTTTTGTTACAAGCATGGATACGGTAAAGATAGACTTTCCAAGATGAGAACCTTCACTAAAACATTTTAGTCCTTGTTTGATGTAATCCCTGAGGACTTGAAATGGAATGGTACTGGCTGGCTTGTCTATGATGACAGTAAAGCTCTCCCAGACGCCGCATTTGTTGATGTTTATAACGACTTTGATGATTTTAATCTTGTACCTCATGATGGGATGGTCTTACTTCCGGAACCGGACCGTAGAATTAGTCTTGATGTGATCATGGACGTTCTTGGAAATGGACAACCATAGTAAGTGATACCTAGAGGTTTCTATGCTACTGTTCTAACTTGAAACAGCGCATTCTTCAATAACATCACATACGTCTCCCCCAAAGTTCCTACATTATATACCGTTATGTCTGCCGGAGATAATGCTTTGAACGCTGCCATTTATGGAGAGTTCACCCACTCTTTTGTCCTCGACTATGAACAAACGATTGAGATCGTCGTAAATAACCTTGGTGAGTACATATCCATCATCGTCGAACCCAACACTTAATCTCCCACCCCATTATCGCAAGCTCCCTCCTTAAGCAATGCACTAACATGGTCCAGATAGCGGAAAACATCCTTTCCATCTCCACGGCCACAATTTCCAAGTAATCCAACGCTCCGACGAAAATGGCGGAACGTTCGACTCCACCAACAAAACCGAATTATCGTACCCCTCCATCCCTATGCGTCGAGATACCGTCGTCCTTCGCCCATCAGGCTACCTCGTCCTCCGTTTCCAATCCAATAACCCCGGCGTCTGGCTCTTCCATTGCCACATCGAATGGCACGTCGATCAGGGTCTCATCGCAACCATGATCGAAGCACCTCTCAAACTCCAAAAAACTCTCACTATCCCCGAAAACCACATCACTGCTTGCAAGGCTCGTGGTATACCGTACACCGGTAATGCGGCGGGTAATACGGAAGATTATTTGAACTTGAAGGGAGCGAATGTTGCGCCAGAACCATTGCCTGCGGGATTTACAACAAAGGGGATTGTGGCGATGGTTTTTAGTTGTTTGGCGGCGCTTTTGGGGCTGGCTACTATTACTTGGTATGGGTTGGCCGAGATGGGAGATGCGGATAAGGAGGCTGAGAAAAAGAGGTTGGAGGTGGGTGGGACTGGAAGTCATGAGGGTGTTTTTATACCAAAGGAATTTACGGTGGAGAAGTAAGGTGACTGACCATGCTGGAGGTGTAATTTTTTGGTTTGGAATGCTTACGGTGTGGTAGCGAGGAAACAATGCATACTTGATGCTGATATAGAGTTTACAAGAAGTATGTATACAATTAATGATAATACTTTATTCATATATACATAATGTTCAAGATATTCAAATAAGCACACCCCTTTAAACATCCAGCCTAGCCGAGACAACAACCTTAACTTAGATATCAACCTCAAGACATCCAACAACCTCAACCCTGATCTCAATAAGTATAATCATTTCAATTTCGATACCATACACAAGACAGACAGACAGTAAGCCCACCTCAATCAGACATCTAAACTCCCCCAACTACCCTACCCACTCCACATCATCCCACATCTCACGACCAATACAATATAGTATTCTATCTATACTCGTAGTTTCAATACCAAACTAGAGGTTTCAGTACAGTATATGTACAGTACACTATAACACAGCCACTCCAGCATAAACATAGCTGCTCTAATCTCACAATGTTTTTCAAAAACACTCGAAAAATGCATAACATACATATCAATATAATTCGAGCCTACAGTAGTCAAGCAAGTAAGTGCAATAGCAAATTCGAGTACACTCCCTCGCCGGAGATTCGAAGTCTCGAAGTTGCGAATACATCACATCATGTCACCAGCAATTTTCAAATATGAGTTGCTTCACTCGCAAATAAGCAGTTGTAATGTAGCATCAAACCTATTTTTTCGATGTGTGTGTATATGTTCGTTGATGTTCTATTAACAATTATATCCCATAAATCCTCGATGCAAATTACCATTCCGACAATATTCAACGAAGCTCGCCCAGTGCAGATAACTATTTATTGACAACATAATACATGTTTGTCCAGAACAGAACAGAGAAGATGGTGAGTATCTGGATCTTCTAGATTATGGGAGTGGGGATGTGAGATGAGATGTGAGAAGTCTAGAGATGAATATCACTTGCGGGTTCTCCCTCAAACCCAAACTGGAGGAGATTTTTGAGATTCGTACTTTTGAGACGTTGCTGCTGGGTATGCATATGCATATGCATATGCATCAACACAAGACTTGGGCAAGTAGAGATAAAGAGGGGGGGTGTTATAGGAAAGTGAATATACTTTTAGGGCTGCTTTGATTGGCCAGGTAGGTCTATGCTTAGCATGATTTCAATCCCGACTAGTTCAATATGCCTAGATACTGTTCTGACAAATGAAGTACATATTAATGTTATTAAACGCTACAGTTTAATTCTGCTTGGGTATCTTGGAACATATCATACAATCATAACACCGTTCTAAATACCCTCCTGAGCCATGTCTTATGGTCTTCATTCCCCTCTAGAACCCACCATAGATTCCAGCTTGCCCGCCAAAACTCTATGCTTCTTAATAACTTCTGCCCATTCCTCATTATCTTCGTCGGATTTCTCCTCGGCCAATTCTTCTCCCTCGCCGGCCCTGCTTCCCATACCCGCAAGCACGAGGCTGAAGTCCCCTCCTAGCCGTCCCAAACTACTGGCACAGTAAAGAACTTGAGTGAGCAAACTATCTCTACCGCTCTTATCTCTCACATTGGGTAGGTATGTTTTCAGGGTCTCCTCCAACATACCCAGTAATTGAAGAGGAAAGGTAGTCAGGGCACTTGGTAATGGCCCCAGTAAATCATTATCTTCCTTTCCCTTCGTACTGCTTTTAAACCCTTCTATTGTGACCGGGGCTGTTGACGGTGGGAAGATAGAGCGGAACATGGAAATAATCGCGAAACTCTGTTCCCGGAATATCTCGATATAGCGTTTTAGATACTTCTCCGTTTGCTGCCCTGCTTCGAATTTGTTCCCTCCTGTCTTCCCAGATGATGATATTAGCCGTAGTGATTCCTGATCAGCGAGATCCCGCAAAGGACTGAGCGCATGGAGCATAGTTGTAAGACTAGCAAGGCGACAAACGAGGAATAATGAGCCTAATGTCCCTTCTCGGGTTTGTGCGGAGCTGGATGTAGATGTGGAAGTAGAAGGATCGAGCTCGGGAGCAACACGCCGTAGCCAGGAAATGGTACGCATGGCAGCTGCAAGTTTCAGAGAGGGTTGCCGCAAGGAGTATATGAGATTTGTGGCCATAGACTGCATTTTATTCTCCGCTTGTGAGGAAACACTCGTTATGAGGGGTGACCCAGGGTATAATGCGTGCAGTCGTCTTATATGCGCATTAAGATCTAACGCGGAGGCATAATTCAAGGTATTATTTTCTCTGCCGGTATTATTGGTAGTACTGGTGTTCGAAGAAGATATCGCGGTAGAAAGTAGAGTAGGTAAGTCGAGAATATCTGCGAGCCTGTCTACGTTTCGCGATAGTAGAAGAGCTTTACGCCGTCGATCGAGGACAGCATTTTCAATTCTATTGTTATAGTTTTCGCTGAAATAAATAGCTGCATCATCCAATTTGGGAAGAGCATCTCGCAAGTCTGCGGTGGCTATCGCTAGGGTCGGAAGGGTAGTAGTGAGCGTCGATAAATGGTCGGAAGATGCGATGACGGATTTATGAGAACGTTTGGATAGTGCCTGTAGAGACAGGAGAAGAGAGTGGGATATTTGAGACAGCGATTGAGGCTCGGAAGTACTTAATGAGGAGAGGGGGAGGGTAGAGAGTCGATCCAGATAGGTGGCAGTTGTGGGATCCACCGACGGTGGTGCAGGTCGTGGAGAGAGTTTATCGAAATATGGAATGAGAAGTTCATATAATGGATCTGCCATCGCGGCGCAAACTAGTTATTAGTTGAGGATATTTTGCGTTACTGTTGTTATATTTTGAGATTAGAATGATAGGAAGGATGGGTTAGGGATGCTTGATGCTCATGCTCGTTAGCTCCAAGAAAGAGCTTCCAAAATACGCTACTGCACGCCGAGACATTGCGGGATCTTTTCAAATAGTTCTCCATCTCATTTCCCCACATCGTCTTCCATAAATATACACACCTAGGTACCGGTACTCGAGTATTACAGTACTTTGGAAAAAACAACCAGTATGTCTCAGGAACACTTGCTTAATATCGAGCGTAATTCAAGCTTCAAAGGTGTTCATATACATGGAAGGCCTTCCGACTTAATTTTTGATGTTCATTGCTTGGGGGATAACATTGCCTCGATCAACAACTCTACATCAGACAACGGGGACATGCACAACTATCGACTCATGGTTCCTGGCTTATGCCATCCTCACATACATCTTGATAAGTGTTTCTTGTTGTCACATCCTAAATATGCAGACCTAGAGATCACCGAGGGCGACTTTTCTGAGGCAATGAACTTAACCAGTTTGTCTCCCCTCTTACATGCTTCGTCAATAATCAAGTAGATTTTGACGGTTATCATAATTTCTCCATTCATTCTGAAATTCGGGTGTGTTTAGGTGAAGCAAAGTCACGATTTGAACATGATGACCTCATGGATAGGGGAAGGGCTTTGATTGAGGAAAGCATCCGATTCGGTGTAACTCACATGAGAGCTTTTGTCGAAGTAGACTTTGGTGTTGAAATGAAGTGTTTGGATGCTGGATTGGCATTAAAGTGGGAATTCCGTAACAAGTGTTATATTCAAATTTGCGTATTCGCCCAGGATCCAATATTTAGCCATGACTATGGGTCTCGATCAATGACGGGTTTGCTCGAGCAGGCAATCAAAAAACCTGGGGTCCAGGCTATTGGGAGCACCCCATACGTAGAAAAGAGTCCCGCGCTCCAGGAAAAAAATATTCGATGGACTATTGAAACAGCGAAATTGTACAATCTACATTTGGACTTCCACCTCGACTATAATCTAGATGCAGATCAAAAACCCGCGGTCCATTCAGTAATCGAAAGACTCCATCAAGTTCAGTGGCCGATTGACAGAGGTATTGCAGGCTTCAGAACAGTTGTGCTTGGTCATTGCACTCGACTCACGCTCTTCGACGAAAATGCCTGGCGAAGCCTTCGTCATGAGATTGGCAATCTACCTGTCTCATTTATCGGACTACCTACATCGGATTTATTCATGATGGGGCGGCCTGAAAAAACCACCGGCGGGAGTAGCAGAGTCAGGGGCACACTTCACATCATCGAAATGATCAAGAAATATGACTTCAATGCAGCCATGGGAATTAACAATGTTGGGAATGCCTTTACTCCATACGGTAACTGTGATCCTATGAGTCTTACAAGTCTTGGTGTGGGCATCTATCAAGCAGGTACGAAGGAAGACGCTGAGATTCTACTGGTAGGTTATGTCAGCCGTCTTGGATCCAGACAATCACTAACCGAATCACCCAGGAATGTGTATCAACAAGAGCTAGGGTAGCGATTGGCCTCGGTCGTGAATCTAGCCTTAAACTTGAAGTTGGAGATCCCGCGTGTTTTGTCATTTTTGGTAAGAATGGGCCCCAGAACTTTAGAGCTAGAAAGTCAATCCACGAGTTGGTGTATGATTCAGGCGTCGAACGAACGACTATCTTCGAAGGAAAAGAGGTCAGCTCTCCATAAAAGTACGAATCATTCAGCTCTTTGACATATCATGTGTATGTCAACTCCACGTGGCAGTTCTATCATTCATTTGATTCACGTGCAGTCGTACAAGACATTTGTTGTAGTAGTACGTACCTAATAGTTTCAAACATTAGAATCAGAGCAGTAGCATGAGTAGGAACTTATAAAATGGATAGAACATACTGAAATTATCGATAGAAATGTATGATAATGATTCACCTAGTATAGTATGAGTATAGTATGATTGGTATATTATAATTATATCAAATTGTATATAAATGTCAAAAGTACTTTTGAACGATCTTGCAAGTTTAATACAGTACTCGCTTGTACAGACAAGCACAGTACAGACAAGTACCGGCACATCAATATATCAAAAAATACCCATACACAATCAATCATACACATCACCCCTGTTCCACTTATCTAGATTTAAGGCTAATCTTATCTTTAATTGGCTACTTCTCCCGCATCCTACGTCTTCAATTTGTTGGGACAGGAAAGTGGAACCTTATTAATAATATTTGACACCTCGGGTGGTTGTTCACAGTACCTGCCTACTTCATCGTACATACATAAATATCATATCCGCATTACAACTAGGAGAGTCTATATTATCCTTCAAAACACACTCGGTGTGTTATGACAAGAAGATAGATATCTTCTCGTCACCTTCAGATATTCCCTATATTCGATATTCCATTTGGAGATGCATGATCCATTCCCCATCCCACCATCTCAATGGCTTAGCCAGGCCGTTCAGCCTTTCGCTGACTATTTCCACCTAACTACTCTACCTCTCCATATTCACGAAGTCCTCGGATCTTTCCTAGCATATACTTTTATCAACAAAGTGGTCGCACCTCAAGTTTCCGTGCGCCTTTTCCCCGAGAAGTACTCCAAATTCTCGCCAGAACGAAAGCTCAACTGGGATGTACATGTGGTCTCACTATGTCAGAGTTCTCTTATCAACATCCTCGCCTTATGGGTTATGTTCATGGACGAGGAGCGCAAGGGTATGACGGCACAGGAACGTGTTCATGGATATACTGGAGCTGCCGGCATGATTCAGGGCCTAGCAACGGGCTACTTCCTCTGGGACTTGATGATTACCTTGCAGAATCTCAGAGTCTTCGGAATAGGAATGTTGGCACACGCGACTAGTGCTCTCTTGGTTTTCTCATTTGGTTTTGTGAGTCTTTGTATTCCCTGAAATCCAAACATTGCTGATAGTTATTCCACAGAGACCGTTCGTCAATTTCTATGGATGCACATTTATCCTTTACGAGCTATCATCGCCCTTCCTAAACTTCCATTGGTTCTTCGACAAACTCGATATGACAGGATCTAAGCCCCAACTTTACAATGGAATTGCGCTCCTTTTTACATTCTTTTCCTGCCGACTTGTGTGGGGAACATATCAGTCACTTCGGGTTTACCAAGATGTATGGAGATCAATGCACAACCAGCCTATAAGTTCCGCCTCTATCAACATTGATGCTCTCTCAAACGGCACCGGCTCTGCATTTGATGCAGCAGCAGGCCACAGTGCTGCCCCGCTTCAGAACGATATTATGCGCTTTGCAGACAACGAGTTTATCCCCCTCTGGTTAGGGTTCACATATTTGGGAAGCAATCTTGTGCTCAACACCCTGAACTTTTATTGGTTCGGAAAAATGATTGAGGCTGTTAGAAAGAGGTTCCAGCCAGCCAAGGAAGGCAGACAGAAGGACAAAGCTATTGCCACGAAGAGCACGGGTGCTAATGGCAAAACTAAGATTACTATTGAGGACAGCGAGGTTCGTAGACGGAAAGCATTGGACGACGAGGAACCCTTCTCGGCAGTTTCGTAGTTCCGTCTGTATATGCCAGAGTCTGGAGGGTTGCATGGCTTTCTAACAACTGCTGGTTGGCGTTCGTGGTGGCTTCACTCGTTTGGGTGTATCAAGACTTTATGGCACTTAATTTTCTCCTTTTGTGTTTGAGGCTTTTTCAGCCTTTTCGCAATTAGAATTATCCTATACATACATACAACTCTTCATTTATCCTTCCGGTTATATTGCAAATGCATCAAATTGCATTCATTATGTCTCTAGGCTATTCATAGTTCAAGTACGACCGCCAAACAGGGCTTAGTATAAGATAATTTTGATTCCCAATAAAGTACAATTAATGGTATAAGGCAAACTCCATATCTACCCGAAATAACATCCATGAGTCCCTCGACTACCCGAGTCCAAACAACACGCCGGTCGAAAAAGACTATCGGAAATTCATTCTTAAGTTTCACTCATCACACAACTCATTGGTAAGCACCGGCTTGAGGACCAGCAACCATGCCTGGCTGAGGCTGATATCCATTCGCACCGGCATTCTTCTCAAGGAGAATATAATCGAGTTCCTTGCTGGTTTGCATCAATTCGCAACAAGCGCAGCAGCAGGATCCCATACAGCCAGTGCAAACGTTTCCTTCGAGTCCTTGGGGGTTGTGTTAGAGTATTGATTGCATAGAGACATAGATACAGATGATGAAAGAGGGTGACAATTGGGAAGAGGAATATGGGAGAAAGGAAGGGTGACAAACCATGTTGTTGCTGCATCTTCTGACGATCAAGCATTTGCAATACGAATGAGAATCCCCCGACGACAGCGAGACCGTACCATGCGCAGCACCAGCCATTACAGGTGGAGTAATCGTCATCGTTCCCGTGTTCGAGGCGGTGGTGGTTGCGACCGGAAACGAAGCAGGGACAGCAGGCTGTTTTGATACCTGGAGGGGAGGGTTATTATTAGCTTTAGTGTTCAATGGAAAATATGACTTGAGCCGGGATTGGAGAACGTACAAAGATCGAAGGGGCTGCAGCAGGCCCAGAAAGAGCTTTTGTATTCAGTAGGCATATTGAGTATATGGGGTTTGTAATGTGGAAACCGAACTACAAGTTGTATGTACAAGTATAGAAAGAATCAACGAGGAATTGAAAAGAACCGGATCTAATATATTATGTAGAATATGTCTTGATCAAAAGGAATAATAGTCGAATATACCGGACCGCAGGTCATATATGAGGTCTTTATATACAAGCATTACAAGAAGGATTCACCAGCAGATGCTGCTGCAACATGGCTGATGCGCCTAAATGGAGCAAAAGAAAATCTCCACCAGAATACCAAACCATATTCATACAACAGGGAAGTTTAAAAAAAGATCATAACAGTCGGAAATGTGTAGTAAGGCTGAAAGCAATGCCTCGTTCTCATTTCGGGGACGAGCAGCAGGGGGCTTAGATTGGTGCATATGGCGAAGGAGCGAAGGATTGAGGAGCCAACGGTTTGCGGTGTGGCTCTTGAAAATCCTTGAACCCTGATTTCCTGGGCCCTCGATTGTTACACTCGGCTTCTTACGTGAAGGAAGTGGACTTGGGGAAACTTGGTGATGGGTCTTATTGTATCTGAGTACAACTTGTGTGTACTTAACTTCTACAAGAAGAATAGGTTTTCGACTAGATGATAAGCAGGGGGAAACAATAACAACATTATGTTGTTGGTCCCCACTTTGTACTTATTACTGCACACTGCCTCTATCCATTTTGACAAAATGTCAGTGAATAATAGATAGGTGTATATTGTACAAGAAAGAATTCTGTGGTACAGCAGGTGTATAGTGCAGACCTTGTGCAGATGAGGATACCTCAGCCTCATTCATGATAATGTCGGTCAGACCTAAGAATACTTACCACTAGGTAGATTCGGGTTAGGCACTGGGAAGTAAGCTTACTACTTAGTATTACTATAGAGACCGGGATAATTGCTTGGGAATGAATATTGTATGTAAGATGGTACTTTCATTTCAAACATTTGAAGGAGTGTTACTCTTCGATGTTCTGTTTCGATTTGAATATCGAAAAGCTTTAACTCGAGTATATCGAGCGAGATTGAATTAAGAATGCTTCACTTATGCTGGGTGCGTTAAGTAGACAAGGAGGTAAGGCAAGGCTACTTATCAGGACCCCTGTCTAACCTAATCTGCCCGGAAATTGTGGGGGAAAACATGATTGTTCATCGACGAACTTTAGGTAAGGAAATGAATGATGAAATTTGCTAGACAAGATCATCTTGTTATTACTCGAGTAGAAGAAAACTCCCTTCTACCATGATTTGAGTATATAACTTCTTACAAGCTCACCATACAACAATTCAGTTTCTCGCCGGTTTTCATTCTTGAAATGATCTTTTAAATCTCAAATTGATTTTGGGAAGTTAGGTGCTATTGTTGGATTGTGCTTGTCGCCGACCTCGGCTTTTCTCATTAGCTTTACAAAAGACATCATTGATCTGGTCTTATGGGATAGAACTTCATATTATCAGTCAATTGTGCGCAAACTACCTTTCAAGCCGTGGAAGAGCTTGGCTGTGGATCATGGGAAGAATGAAGCCAATGGCTCGGGGCCCTTGGTCCTTGGCAGATTCATATGGTACGTTTGTTGCTTTCTTGATATCTATCTTTCTCAATCACCGCATCTAACATGGATCTCCAGATTTTATATCCACCTTCCTCAACGGATCCGTGTCACGCAGACGTCCCTCAATTTCGATCCCTCATTCAGTAACACAAGTTGGCAGACTGGCATTCACCACGTCACACTCGGCACCCGGGCATCGTGTGAAACCTCGCAGACCAAGCAAACAAATAGGACTCCACCAGGAAAGACAGAGTAGAGGGTTTCACGACTATTTTACAACGCATCTTCCATCTTCGTCTCTTCACCCTGATTCCCGGTCGAGTGGCCCGCATCACAAATTGCCCAGGTCTGCATCAACACCACATACGCCCGGCTCAGGTCCTTCTCCCGCTGCGGCTCCCCCAACTATTGGGGCAACTAGAGAACTTACGGTTGTGCGAATACCTCTACGAAGCGCGAAACATCATTTTGGGGTTTCTGTCTCTCGTGGTACGAGACCGTACAATGAAGACACATTTCAGGCAGGAACAATAGAAGTACCGGCATTTGCAAAGCGGGCTCCTATAAGTCTAAGTCGCTCGACTTCCAAAAATACTGCAGGTGGTGGTACATCGGCAGATGGTGCGAGTGGAGACCCGCAAGTGTTTTACTTTGGAGTCTTTGATGGGCATGGAGGAAACGAGTGTAGTGACTTTCTAAGGGAGGAGCTACACAAATATATCGAGTCGACAGCAGAAACTTTCAAACTTCCCTCGAGTCTGGAGAAGAAGGCGAAAATCAACAATTCCGGGACATCTACGGTGGGCAAGGAAGGGCAGGAGGATGGGTCAGGGACACCCATATCTCAGCAGATTGCTAGTAAAATTAAAGCAATCGAGCTCGAGAAGTCACTCGTTTCAGATTGGAAAATAACGGTTGGTGGATATTTCCGCCGATTCAAACCAGAATATTTCGATCTACTTGATTCTATGGAAGGGGAGCCAATAAGGCAACCTATATCAGTCGAGGCATCCCTAATGTATTCTTTTCTGAAAGCAGATTTAGATTTTATCTCAGCGCAAGCCCGAAAACCTAACCCGGATGACAACAATACCGACTCGCCTCTAAATGAGGATGAAATATTAGGAGAGCCTGCCCGTAAATTTTCAACGCATCGTATTGGGGGCCCTACCCGCTTCATTGGGGGTTCAACTGCTTCCGTTGCTTTGATATCTACACCCACACCGACTCCTTTCTGGCATCCATCTTCTCCCTCGACATTGATGGTCGCTCACGTAGGGGATACTCGCATAATACTTTGTGAGACTTTGACAGGTTTGGGCAAATCTGTAACTACCAATCACCATCCTAGTTCACCAATTGAAGGAGGAAGACTAAGACGATATGCTGCAACATTTGTTACCGATTCTTTTGGCGAGGAACGTATGTCCGGATTAGCCAATACTAGAGCATTCGGCGACATGCGTTCTAAGCGCATTGGCGTTTCCGCCGAGCCGGAAATCAGACGTGTAGAAATTTCTCCGGCCGAATATAGTTTCTTGGTTTTGGTATCCGATGGTGTTAGTGGCACGTTGACCGACCAGGAGATTGTGGATGTAGTGAAGGAAGCAAAAACCCCAGAGCAAGGGGCTAGGGATGTTGTTAGCTTTGCTACCGAAGTAAGTAAGGAAGGGGACAATGCAACGTGTTTGATTGTAAGACTTGGAGGTTGGGAGAGGAGAATAGAGGGTGGCATGGGAAGTATGGGAACTAAGGAGGTTAGAGATTACAAGAAGGGCGAAGCGATGGATCCTAGGAGGGCGAGAACTTAGGACTTGAGTACATATGAAGATATAGACTGCATAGCTAGATTAAGTAATGGTATATATTTTAACTAAGTTCCGAGACAAACTTTAGGACATCGAAGATTTGCCAGATCCGGAATCTACCCATTACGTCATAGCATGCCATTCACATGATATGCTCTTAATATCATTTCACTTCCACCACAGTTACCCAACGAAGAAATCCATCAAAGCAATCATGTCTCCTAGAGTTGATCCAGCTCTCTTGAAAGCTCTCTCGCTCGACTCTACTACAGCTACGATCTCCAAACATGGAGGAAGTGGGTTCGCAGAGACCTTCATGTTAAGTGGTACAATTGATGGAGAGCAAAGGTTATTCTTCGTGAAGACTGGAGGGACGGATAGCGAGGAGATATTTAGAGGTATGCAGCCAGTTCTTCTTTTAAGGATTTTGCATCTCACTTTTGTACTATGAGTTATGAAGTATAATACTGATCACGTGCTCACACATCACTTCACCAGGAGAACACGCATCCCTCAACGCTATCCATTCAATCGTACCTTCTCTCTGTCCCAAATCTCACGCCCACGGTCCATTAGAATCCGGTGGATTTTTCTTAGCAACAGATTTCCTCGATTTGAACCCGCCACGAGATGGAATCCCTGGATCCGGCATATCTTTAGCGAGAAAATTGGCAAAGTTGCATAGCACACCAGCACCGATTCCAGAAGGATATGAAGAGCCGGTGTTTGGATTCCCGGTTACGACGTGTTGTGGAGAGACACCGCAGGATAATGGGTTTAAGGAGAGTTGGGCGGAGTTTTATGGGGAGAATAGGCTGAGGGGTATACTTCAGAAAGCAGAGTCGAGGAATGGCGCGGATGGTGAGTTGGAGGGGTTGGTCGGGGAGGTGATTAAGATGGTGGTTCCGAGGTTGTTGGGGGATGGACATCTAAGGGGCAAAGATGGGGAGAATATTAAGCCGGTGGTTGTGCATGGGGATTTGTGGAGTGGAAATCATGGGAGGGGAAGGATTGGAGATGGCGGGATTGAAGAAGTGGTTTTTGATCCGAGTGCTTGTTGGGCACATGCGGAGTTTGAGGCGGGGATTATGGGGATGTTTGGAGGCTTCGGAGGGGCATTCTGGAGGGAGTATCATGAGATTAGACCAAAGGATGAGCCGGTAGATGAGTGGGAGGATAGGTGTTTGTTGTATGAATTGTAAGTGCTTTGTTGTGTGAGGTTGAGATAGGATGTATTTTTGCTAATTTCAAGATATAGGTATCATCATTTGAACCATTATGCAATGTTTGGAGGTGGATATAGGGGAGGTGCTATGAGTATTATGAGAAGACTTCTGAAGAAGTATGGAAAGAAAATTTGATGGTAGGAACTAAGTAGCTACTGAACATCAATGAACACCCTGTATCAATATTCAAACATGATTTAACAATTGTGAGAAATATATACAAGACTTCTGATGAATACTAGGTTAAATCAAAGTGATTTAATTGAACATTAGGATGATAAAGAAAGAAGTAGCTCAGGAAATGGCAGTCACCTATATATTGTTGATGAAAGCCCATTAAAATGAATATAGATACTTGTTAGGTTTAACATTGTTGTCAATTGTTGTAGTTGAACTTTTTCTAGGATTAATAGTTGTCAAGAGAGGTTGGATGTCTCATTGGGTCCTTGCTTGAGCCAATGTCCTTATGGAAAAAGCTCGGACCACAGACCTCTAGTGTTGACTTAGCCGGGATTTAATTCTCAATTGAATCCCTATCTTCAATCTACAAATCCCCTCATCCACAACAAAGTACATCGCGTCGTCGCATATTCTTCAAAGGTGTGAAACTTCGAGAAGTCACTACAGTAGCACTGGCGCATATGGTTCTATAGCTATTTCAGACTATTAATTTAATATCCACGATAGCTAAAACGCGTTTTTCATCATGTCTATTTACGTGTAGCCCTCACTTTAGATTTCAACATGGCACCAGAACCATCGGCATCGCCGCAAGCCAGACGAAGGACACGTGCGAACAGAGAAAATCAATATTTGTTCAACTTGGGAGTTAAGGGAAGGTCAGTGATTGATCATTACTTTGATTTCATTATTATTAACATATAACCAGAAAAACTGGTGTGACTCTTCCGGATACCGGAATTCGCGATGCAAATGGCTTGGAGCCAATGGATGATCTTTTCTCTCCAGATAAGCCGGAAAGTGTGAAGACAGGCAGGCGCGCAACCGAAACACGAAGAGACGCGCTGGAAGACGCGACAATATCTAGTGAGGAGGATATGGATATGGATGGGGAAAGTATGTCTATACGACCAGAGACGAAACGCGCCAGCAAATTGGCAACGCTGACAAACTTCTAGATACAGCCCCAGAGCCTACGGAAGTCCTAAACCAACGAAAGCAAGATGCACGAATCGCCATACCTATACCGAGATCGAGATCCCCCCTCAAGACAGACCTACTGTCGCCAGCCCGTAGAAATCCATCGTTTGGCATATCTTCCCCAGCTAAAGGAGGATCTAGTGAAGCCGACGACACAGGACCTGTTCGGAGAAAGTTGGACTTTTCGACTGAAGATATGGAAGTTGAAACGAAGGAGACAGCTAATGCCAATGTCAATGCTTCCAAGGGACGAGGAAGACCAGGACGCCCAGCGCTAGGCAATCTTACGAATGGCACTCGACTTTCGCCTGGAAGACGTCTTCAACCAAATATAAACCAAGGTAGTGATGCCGTGGAAGATCAAGATGAGAGTGCGTTGCAGTTTGAGGAAGATTCAAATCAGTACAATGCTCCAGATGACGACGAAGATGACGCTGCGGTCGATGCGCTTGAGGGAAATTCGGATATAGGAGAAGATGAGGAGGAGGAAGCAGAGGTTCAACAAGAAGATGAACCGGAAGTAGAACCAGAGCCTTCCCCGCCTAGAAAACCAGCGAGCAAGAATAATGGGAAAGGCAAGGCGATCGAAGAGCCAGAATCAGAACCGCCTGCGCCGAAGCGTAGAGGTAGAAAGCCGAAAAATCCGGCTCCTCAGGTTGAGCCTGTGGAGGAAGTACAGGTAGAAGAAGCTAAGGAAAGACCTGCGAAGAAATCTCGACGCTCTACCGAAGCTGTCGAAGCTCCCAAACCTACAAAGGGTAAGCCTGGAAGACCCAGCAATGCCACAAATTCCACCACAGCAGCAAAACCAAAGGCAGCAGCGAAACCGAAAACTCAGCTTCGACCGACAATCGCTCCGATATCTGAGGTCGATTCGCCCCAAGTTCATCGTGGCCCCCCTATCCCTAGAAACAATGGTCTTTTCATCCTCCGACGCGAATCGACAATGGCAGGTATGCCACGAACAAGATCGGGCCGAAACTCAATCAAGCCTCTCGCCTTTTGGAAGAATGAACGGGTCACATATGACAGTAAGGAAACGGTACCAGATGGAACTCACGGTGCCAAGATTCTGTTACCTAGCATTAAAGAGGTTATCCGTGCAGATGAAGTGGAGCAACAAAAGCAATCGAGATTGAGATCTTCTAAACTCACGAAAAGCAAATTGAAGAAGAGAGCGCGAGAGGAAGTGGAAGATAATTCGGAAGCAGAGGAATGGGAATCTGAAATCGGTCGCATTAAAGGTTCAGTACGAACCTGGGATCCGGAAGATCAAATTGGAGAAATTGTGGACGAGAAAGTGGAAGACCTCGCTTTTTCTTCTGCCGCAATCAAGACTCGCGATATCGTAGATGCTTCGTTTAAATTTGCCAAAACCCTCACACTACCATTTTTCGGTTCAGGTATGGTCGACCTTGAACCTGGGGCTGTCAAAAAGCCAAAGAATTCAAGGAAGATGCAAATGGTGTTCTTCGTTTTCTATGGCCGAGTCGAAGTCGAAGTCAATGGAACCTCTTTTAGAATTGGCAAAGGTGGAATGTGGCAAGTCCCTCGAGGTAAGCATCAAAGACAAAAACCTTTCATTACTCAAATTCTAATTCGAAGCAGGTAATTTCTATAGTATCACGAACGACTACGATAAACCGGCGAGAATCTTTTTCGCCCAGGGTTGTGAAGTGGACGACTCGGAAGGTGGCACTGCTCCACCAGCAAGTCAATAATGTATAGATAATGTGATTGGTGTTTGATTATTTTTGATATTTCCTTTTGGACCGTGCTTTCACGTTTGTGGCACGGTAGGGAGGGGGAAACTGGTTCATGCTCTCATGTTTGGTTGGGGAGTTGAGTGTTGAAGGTTTTTTGATGATGCCATGCTTCCCATTCATTGGCAGCAAGTACATATGGACATCAGATACATATCAATGTGTTCATCCCTTAGGATTTCCAAATAGCGAATAAATGGATTATATCCAACTTTAAAATGTCTTTCATGAATTGTGTTTTTCCTGTTCACCGGAAGTTAAGGTATGATTTTGTTTCGAGCTCGCTGAGATACAGATATCTTCAGTAAGGAGTTTAAAAGATAAGAGAGATGTAGTGTTAAAGACTTGTAGTAGTACATTGAGCGTTTCGAATAATTGGAAACTATTGAAAGGGCTTGAGAAGCTTAGGATATGGATTGACCCCAGAGGCATAACCCAGAGCGGCCGTATGTATATCGTATATAAGCTATGGTGTACCGGTACTGAGTATATGCATATTCATATTATGCTGTAGGAATATATAAGTTTGGTCTCTTGTAAACTCCCATTATAGTTGAGCATTTGCAAAAATCGTGGTTCATTGTTCGGTTCACTGGCCAACCCCTGTCAAATTTACTAAGAAAGAAAAAGTACTGTACGCGAACCTGTCGCGAAACGCGTCTTCCTCACATTTCCCAATCAAAAGAACGTCAAACATCAAAATCCGATAAAGTTGTTCCCACTTACCATAAAACAGTTCAGATATGACAGACTCTCAGATGGAAGTAGATGTCGCTCTCGAGACTCCAGCATCTGATGTTTTCGCAGCTCCTTCGATAAAACAGTCCCTCCTACTCTCCGGCGCTTCATATCAACATTATTCAAAAGTTCCTCCCTCACTTCTTCCTACACCAAGTAGCGATGTTTCGGACATTAAAGCGCCTCCAACTCCTGGCCCAGCATGTGCTTTAGGGGTTGATGAAGCTGGGCGGGGTCCTGTCCTTGGCCCAATGGTTTACGGGCTGTTTTATTTACCTTTACCTCTCTCCGATCCTCTCCTGCGAGATACACATCATTTCGACGACAGCAAAGTTCTTACACCAACGGTTCGATCCGAACTTATGAGGAAACTCTGCACGCCAGACTCGGATCTGTATACACAATGTGGTTGGGCAGTGGACGTTATGTCGGCGAGAGATATTGGTGCCAACATGATGAAGCCGGCATCATACAATTTGAATGCACAAGCCATGGATTCTACTATCGCTTTGATCCAAGGGGTGATGGACAAAGGTGTCAACGTGAAGGAGATCTATATCGATGCGCTGGGCAATACAGTTACGTATCAGAAGAAGTTGGAACGTATTTTCCCAACAGCTCAAATTACAGTTGCGAAGAAGGCGGATAGCCTGTATCCATGTGTGAGTGCGGCAAGCGTGTGTGCAAAGGTTACCAGAGATGCTGCTCTGGAAGCATTATATGAAAGCTATGCGAACAAAGATGGAGATCAAAAAATGAGCGGGACGGAAGTTACTGAGGATAGTTGGGGTTCTGGATATCCCTCTGATGCGAGAGCAACGACGTGGCTAAAGCGCAATATGGATCCCATATTTGGATGGGGCAGTGAATGTCGTTTTAGTTGGGGGACGACAAAAGATATGCTGGGTTTGAAAGGCATGGCGGCCAAAGTCGATTGGCCCATTGAGGAGGATGATGAGACGAGCAGATTGACGGATTTCTTCAGTGCTGATAATGATAAAGATACGGATGAGCTTGGAACATGGTTTGGTAGCTCCGTAGGAACGGAAATATTCTAAGGTAGGGGCTGGCTTTCGAAAACTGCCTGGTCCTATTTGGCGTTTTAGTGGGATATAAGATGGACTTATCTCCATGCTTTGGTGTCAATGTTGGAGTTGGAGTTGGAGTCGGAGTCTGGTTGAGTCGGAAGGGAATTGTTTTGGTTTACTCTTATACTCGTATACTCGTATACTCACTCGTCTGAGTGAGTACGTAGATAATCAATCATAAGAGAGGCAGAAAATCTCAAAAAGTCTTCAAATTTACCTGATGGATTCTAATTACTTCATCATCCTTCTTTTATGCTCTAAACAATTAAGAAACATACTCTATTAGTACCTGAGTATGTTTCGAAGCCTGTGAGTTGTAAATATTTGTAGTGAGTGAAGTTTCGACAACGACCAATCAAAGAATTCCAGGGTAGAGCGAAGCTGGAGCCACCCTGTAAATATTAGCGCAAAACTTAATTTCTATCAACAGCTTCAAAAAAGTCGCGACTGTACAAAATCGTTACAAGCTTCTCCCAAGCTTTAACTTTTTTCTAAAAGCCTTGAATAGCGCATCCCATCATCTTGATTTGTTATTACTCATCAAGAGGTCGTTCCTTATTCGTAATTAGTCTCCCTTTCATTTCGTCAATATGTCGCTCTTCGGGAACACAACTCAAAATCAGCCATCCCTCTTTGGAGCACCGCAGACAACAGGAGCTAGTACAGGAGGGCTTTTTGGTGGTGGACCAGGAACTGGCACTAGTCAGGCACAAACAACGGGAGGAATGTTTGGCGGAATGGGAGCTACAAGTCAACCACAAACAACCGGCGGTCTTTTTGGAGCAACACCTAAACCTCAAGAACAAGCAGGATTAGGATCGGGCAGTTTATTTGGAGGACTTGGAGCAGCTCCCGCCACACAACCACAACAAAGCGGAGGTCTCTTTGGTGCGACTACTACACAACCCCAAACGACAGGCGCAACAGCTGGAGGTCTTTTCGGGAGTTCTCTAGCACAACCGCAGCAGCAGCCGCAACAACCAAATAGTGGTGGACTATTTGGAAATACCAGCACACAACCCAACCCTCCAGCATCAATGTTCGCACCCACTTCACAGCCTCAACCTCTTGGGCAATCTCGACAACAAAATGGAACAAGCGGTGCCTATTTCGATGCCATATTGGAGAAGAGCCGCAAGAGGGCACACGATGAGGACTCTTTGGGTCTACAATTAGGCTTGGGAGATATTCGGCAGCGTATGAAGAAGTTGGCTCCCACAACTCAAGATGGTCCTGTTGATGGCAGAGCTCATTACCTATTAGCAGCTTCTGGCGTGGATCCAGGCGCTGCGCTTAGGGATCTGAATTTATTTGCCGCTGCCACAGGAAGAGTCGATAGGACGGCACCCCTAGAAGCGCCCGTTGATGCAGATGTGGAAGCATACCTTACGAGACTGGAAACGCAAACTACAATGAGCATGATAAATGAAGGATTGGCACGATCTGTCCGCGATTTCGACGATTTTCTGGAGGAGAACGTTGCCATGGAATGGAGTACACAGCGCCAGAGAATATACGAGCATTTCGGTATCAAGCCCAGAAGAGAACAAGGAAATGGCCCATCAGCAAGCTTTGCGGCTACAGTTACGGAACCTGTGGGTGGTTTTGGTCGATCAAGACGGGGTAAAGGACTCGCTCCTGGAGCATCTAAAGGACCCGGAACCGCACGGGCTAGCGTTTTTGGAAAATCAAGCATGCAAAGATCTGTCATAGGAGCTGTTGCGCCAGGAGGGACCGGAAACCGAGCATTATTTACTGATATTGAGAAGGCAGATACGAACGGCTTGCCACAAGGTCCAAGTGATCGTTTCCTTCGCGAAAAGCAGGCCCGATACATCGAGAAAGTCCAAAACTTTAATGGTGCTAGATTGAAGAATCTCCACTACCCAATTGCCAACGAGTTCTCCGCCATTGTAGGCCAAGGTGGCGAACAACATTCTGCAGATGTTTACAGGGCATACCGAAGCTTGATGGAAATTGTTGGTGAGGATCCTGACCCAGAAAGACTACAACTACCCAGTGCGGTCAAACAGAGGCAATTCGCAGCTGCATACCTAGATGACAATACAAATTCGACACAATCGGCAGATTTAAAAAAGCGAATACTCAGTGGATCACTTCGATATCTCGAGAAGGAATTTTTTGAGGGTGTCGAAGCTATGGTTGCCAAAAACCCCAGGGAAGCACTTGTGGGTGGTAGACCCACTCCTCTTACGAAGATCAAGGGTTATGTGCGTCTGCGTTCAGCCCGTAAAGATCTTGTTACAGACATGACCACTCTTCAGACTCTTGAGAACGATTTCATGTGGGCTGTAGTCTTCTACCTTCTAAGATCTGGCCATGTTCAAGAAGCCAATGCATACGTTAACGAGAATCGCGATGCAATCCGAGCCATTGACCGCAACTTCATATTCTATATGTCCGATTATGCCAATAGTCCGGATAGAAAATTGCGGCACGACCTTCAAGATCGAATTCAGAGCGAATACAACCAGCGAAATCGAATTGCCCCAGAAAATTCTATCGATCCTTTCAGAATGGCATGCTACAAGGTAATTGGTCGCTGCGAGCTCAATACTCGAGCTTTGGATCCGAACATTGTTCAGAACCAGGATGACTTCTTATGGATACAATTTGTCCTTGCGCGCGAGTCAAATCGAGTGGATGAAATTGCCAGCGATGCCTATGGACTCGCCAACGTACAAAAGACCTTTAAAGACATCGGTGCCAGGATGTTCTCCAAGGGGAATGAAAATAGTGGCCCATTTGGCGTGTACTTTTTGCTCCTGATACTATCAGGCTTGTTCGAAGACGCAGTCGACCTGCTTTATCGCCATAGCATTTCTGACTGTGTTCATTTTGCAACCGCACTGGACTTTTATGGCTTACTTCGAGTCTCAGATCCAGATGTTGCAGAAGGTGGGTTCTTGAGTTACACTATAAGACAACAGCCTCAGATAGCATATGGCTTAATGATGGGATTTTACACTGCAGAATTCAGAGCTGCTAATGTCAGTGCTGCTGTGGATTATCTCACTCTGATCTGCTTGAATGGTGACCTCAAAGGCGACGCTGGTTCGAAACAAGTGGCATTAAGCCACGAAGCCCTTCAGGAGCTGATTCTGGAAAGCAGAGAATTCGCTTTGTTGCTTGGTGATATTCGACAAGACGGAAAGCGTATACATGGAGTTATCGAAGAACGCTTGGCATTGATCAATCTCAGCAGCGCGGATGATTTCATGAGAACGGTTACGATACAGGCAGGAAGTGTCGCGGATGATAATGGACGAACGACTGATGCAGTCTTGCTCTATCACTTGGCAGAAGAGTATGACAATGTCATTACCATCCTCAACCGGGCCCTTAGCGAAGCTATTGCCGTGCCCGTAGGCCACAGTCCCTTGCGATTACAACCACTCAAGCCAAGGCCCGGAGATGGATCTGGAAGAACCGCCCATACCAGTCTCAGTCTTACCTCAGTTGATGATCCTGCCGAATTGGCTACGATAATGACGAAGCTTTACTCAAACAATCGCATGTATCTCAACAAGATCAAGCAGGAAAATCGTGCAGCTTGCGAGGCTTTATTGAACATTAGTCGTGCCAAGGAATTTGTTGAAAACAGACAATGGGCTGAAGCATTAGATGTAAGTTATGAATCTTTACATTTCATAGATCGTAAGCTAATTACATTTACTACAGATTGTGATAAATCTTGATATTCTCCCCTTGAGAGCCCATGGTAATCCGAGTGAAGTACGAAGTTATGCTACTAAATTTTCATCTCTCTCCCAAGAGGTTGCAAACACTATACCCAGTCTATTGATGTGGACGATCTTGTGTTGCAACAACCAACGAACCTCTCTCATGAATGCTCAATATGGAGGGAATGAGGGTACACGACGAATGATGATTGATCAATTGAAACAACAAAACATGGACTTGACGACATATACCAGTCAATTGAGATACCGATTCCCAGCATCTCTACATGAAGCTCTAGCAAGGGCTCAATCGGATTGAGGGGGTTGAACTCTCATGTACATTAGGATAACATAACGTGAAGAGACCAAAATAGCATTTGATAGATCTGTTATTTGGATGGATGAATCATTGGGGTCTATCTACCTACTTGATAAGATTCTAAACTTTCATTATGGACAAAAAATGCATAGATGAAGAATGGATGATTAATAATGTAATATTGTTTTCTTCTTCCATTTGTACAACCAGACCAGGGTGATCATGTCTTTTTCCCTTCTTGATTCGTACACAGTGTAACACTGAATATTAGGGGCGTCGTTCCGTCATCTACCTAGTTCTATCCTGTGTATCCCATAAGTCCTATCACTAATTGCTTGGGGTTTCCTCTAGAGATAGGGGAAGTGCATGATGTGGAAGACAGCAGGTACGTACTCGAGACTCGAGTATATACAGTAAGCCCCTGTACTTATGTAAGCGAATCATAACAGATCTGTATAAATCACTTGTATAATGTATAGAAACATGGTTGATATCCTATGAATATATACTTTGTTGCGACAAGTATGATACAGTAAAAGAGTTGTCATTTGTATACCGTTTTCACACTAAAACATTAGCTACAGTAGGTAGCGAGAAGGTTACTATAATCTTAGTTGTTTCTGAAGGGAAGGGGTGATCTTCATTTCAGGTTCGATGCGGTATATTCCTAGATTTTCTCCATTATTTTCCCTGAACTTCGTTGTATTTTCTCCATACTCCATTCAATTTACATGACTCGAGCGAATCCAATATTCGGACATACATGACGATACATATATGAAAGCACCCCCCCATCCACTGCCTCACTCTTCCATCCGCGAAAACAAAATCACAAACAAGAATTTGATGTTTCTTATCTATCGGTAGTGAGACGAATCGTACAGTACCAGAAGATTAAGACGTAGCCCCGCGACAGGCCACATGCGAGAACCACGGGTTCTCGCAGATACAGTATGACACCTGATGCAAATGCAACTCAACAGGGATGTACATCTCCATCGTCCGACCAGCGGCGCATGAGCGCGACTTATTCTACACCTGGTGATCGGGAGGAGGGAGAAACTATAACTGCTCAGAGTGAGGTTGGGGAGGGAGGAACTCCGAATGCAGAGCAAGGGGAGGATAGTATGGGTGCAGGAGGGAACAATGGAGAGGAATCATCTAAGAAGAGGAAATTTTCTGCGACGGATGGGAGGAGGACGAGTGCGAGAGGAGTGGCAAATTTAACACCGACACAATTGGCAAAGAAGAGGGCAAATGATAGAGAGGCGCAGAGGAGCATAAGGCAGAGGACGAAAGATCAGATGGAGGAGTATGAGAGGAAGATTAAGGAATTGACGAGCCAACAGCCCTATCAGGAATTACAGCATGTCATACGGCAGAAAGAGATGGTGGAGCAGGAGAATCTGGATATCAAGCAAAAGCTATCGCAGGTCATTGCAATCATTACACCACTACTTGGTGCTCATGGTCAGTAATTTGGTTTGTAGCTCAGCAAATTTGCAGAAGCAGTTGAATTGATAGCTAACTATGCGATGCAGGATTCGAAAGTCTTCAATTACCACCGCAACCAAAATATCCTCCTCAGCCCAGTCTGTCAAACTCCGCGACCCGCAATGCATCAACTCTGAATAGTAGTACAGCCTCGCCCAACACCGTCGTAGGGTCCTCATGGCCAGCTTCCTCTGCGCCAATGGGCTCTTCCAACGATTCTAGACCTTTCGTACATGCACAGCAAACCCAACAATTAGCCCAACAACGACATGAAATGGCGCATAATCTTGACATGGGCCCCGAAAGACTGGGTCTAGATTTCCTCCTCGATGAAGGCCAGCGCCACAAAATACCCATTCCTCCTCCTGGCCCGCAGGAAACCCCGGGGGTTCAACAACTACAAAGACCAATAGAAAATATGAGTCCCACACATCATCGAAGCAATTCGACAGCTAGTAATGTAACAACTTATAATACTCCCAATTCCGCCCCGAGCTCAGGCTCAGAAATTAGTGGCTATAGCGCCCCTATTCGCAACAGCGTACCAACCTGCCCTTTAGATAGCCTCCTCCTCGATTTCCTCCACGAGCGCCAAAACGCCGCCCTAGACGGTCTCCCCACCCCAAAACTGGTGGGACCAGCCTACCCCTCCGTGTCCTCTCTCTTGAACCCTTCCCGCGGAATACTATCCCACCCCGTCTCCAAAGTCTTCACCGATATACTCGGCACCTTCCCGGACCTCTCTACCCTCCCCGAAAGAGTAGCAGTCCTCTACATAATGTTCCTCCTTATGCGCTGGCAAATCCACCCCAGTCAAGCAAACTACGACCGCCTCCCCAGCTGGGTCGCGCCTCGTCCCAGCCAACTTTTCACTCCACACCCCGCCTGGATTGATCATCTCCCCTGGCCTAAAATGCGCGATATCCTCGTGCGTGACTATAATCCTAGGGATTACCTATTCGATAATTTCTTCATCCCATTTACTTCGACGCTGAGTCTTAACTGGCCATACGAACCGACAGATGCACTTCTGAATTCGGGAGGGGGTAACGGGACGGGTTTGAGTTTGACTGAGGAGGGGGAATTACTGATCAACCCTGTTTTTGAGAGACATCTCAGGAGGTTGGAGAATTGGAGCTTGGGGCCGGCATTTGCGAGTGCGTTTCCGGGGTTGAGGGGTACATATCGGATTAAGATGGAGGGGGATGGACGATAGAGATTTTTCTTTTGTGAAAGGAGAGGGAGGTTTCTTGTATAATTTCGGATTTGAGATGGAGCTTAGTTGGGACGGACGAACAGTAGACGATACGATCCACGGAATGGGTATTTGTCGGCCAGACGGGAGTAGGAAAAGGAAAGAAAGAAATAGCCGAGCACGATATTCATCTATATTCTCATGCTTTTCTTTTTCTTTTTTCCTACCTACTTACTTCTTACCTACTATATTGTATTATAATAAAGAGTTTTTAAAGTTTCTACAAATAACACGAGCCCGAGGTCGGGATGGTATGATATGGTATGGTATGGTATGGTATGTATACACAAGGGACGCGGACATGGGAAATAGGATCATGATCAGGAATAGAAATACGTATATACGTATAATTACGTTACAAGATAATGTTGTTTGTTAGATGGATGGAAGAATGAATGGAAGCAAGCAAGGAAGGGAGGGGAGGTGGGGGGAGGGAGAGAAAGAAAGAGAGAAAGAGGAAACGAGAAAAAGAGAGAAAGAAAGGAGAGGAGAGGAGAGGAGAGAAATTAGAATTCTAGTACCCTGGTACCTGCACAGCGCAGCGTATAGCGTACAATCAAAATTAAAAGTGAAAAATAATAACAGATGAATCTAAATAAACTTCTTCTAATCATGGTTGACCTACTGTAGTTGTGATCAGACGAGAAATGGATACCGGGTAGGGGCGTTGAGTTTTTCGATATAGGAGGACATATACGGTATGTTCACTTTATATTCGTTACACGGATTTGAATGGGTTGGATGATGTACGAGTACATCAGTAGGGCCCTGTGTTTGATGAATGGAATGATTTTAATCCAATGGTAATGTTGAGATGACTGAATGATGTTATGAGATGACAATATATTTTGATATGACCGTCTTTACATTTCATACCCTAAGATCATATATCCAATTGATATAGAGCGGGACGTAAGAGGAAGGTATCTATTCTTGTGCCGTATCCCGGCGAAACCTTGTTGCCAAAAATCACACTGTCATGATTCCCAACTATCTGTACTCACCCCATCCTATCCATCCGTCCCAAAGTTTCATTCATTCATCCATAATTATATTTCCCTTGAACCAGATCCATTTACTCAGGGCCCCAACCCTCAATCGCCTCATCTACTTGATCCCTATAAACTTGCTGTGTCTTGCACTGCTCAAGGAATACCTTATACTTAGCATCCAGCAAATTCTTCTCATTTGCGTTCTTTCCCGGTCTGGTCACCTTACCAGGCTTACTCATTCTGTCCATAATACTCCACAGCTCCTCTGTCCTGCCCTCTTTATCTGCACTGGCGGCTTTAGCGCCCAACATAGCGGCACCGTGAACAACGGCTGCGTGTACGTATCTGGGGATCAGAACAGGCATAGCGCAGGTAGTTGCCATGAGTTCCATGAGGATTTTGTTTTGGCATTGCGATCCGGACATGAAGATGGAGGTGAGGGTGTGGCCGGCATTATTCATGGTTTCGACGATTTGGCGCGTTTGCATGGCGATGAATTCCATGGTTGCGTAGTAATGAATAGCTAGGCCGTCCATGCTGCGGTCATTGGTAAGACCAATAACTGAGCCGGTCATCTTTGGGTTGGCAATTGGTGAACGGTTACCCCAGAGATCACCGTAAAAGAAGAAATGACGTGCGAGGTATGAGATAGTTGGGGCGTTATCCTTCTCCATCAATTCCTCAAGATGAGAATTCAGATAATCGTAAATACTCGTGTTGAATGATTCTGCCATGGACATAGCTTCATTATATGCTGGATGGGTCTCCAAGACGTGTTTGAGGAGTTCACCAGTAGCTGATTGGCCACCTTCTGCCATCCAGTAACCAGGCAGAAGAACATCTCGGTAAGGACCCCAGACTCCATCAACGAAAACAGGTTCGCGTGACATGGCCAAATGGCAGGTGGAGGTTCCAGCTACAGCTGCAAGACGGCTGAATGCTTGGGAGATGTCGTTTTTGGGTGCTCCGGTATCGAGATAATCTGTTCCAAGGTTGACCTTTGCACCAACAGTACCGATCCATCCGGCATAAGCGTCAATGACACCGCTTCCGACAGCAATACCGGCTGGGAGACCAAGTTCATTACCGGCCTTTTCGCTAAGAGTACCAACAAGTTCACCAGCGCTCAGATAGTGGCCATTCTGTACAATTATGTTAGCACAAATTCGGATGATTCAAAATCATGATTGCAATTAAGAGCGGGCTTACTACTCCGTCGACTCCTCCCATTCGCTTAAAGTTATCCTTTGCAAGATCACCTAAGCCAATAGCTTCGTAAAAGTCTTCTTGCCATCCCTTTACACTTCCGTCAACACCGACTGGGACAAACCCCTGCTTGCAAACGGTACTGCAGAAACTTCTGCTCTCGTTACCTGTTGCAATATGTGTCAAAGCATCCGCCAGATCGTAAAACTTGCAACGGTCAAAGAGCTCAGGTGGCATATTGTTCTTGAGCCATAAAATCTTAGGGATTTCCATCTCGATGCTCATTTTTCCTCCAAGGTATCGTAGCAAATTGTGTTCCGTTGCATTAATTTCTTTCGCCTCTTCGACAGGTCTGTGATCGAGCCATAAAATAACGTTGCGGTCGTTGCCATCATTTGCGAAGTTTGGACCGGTTACAGATACTGGCTCATCGGTGTCGTGTGAGAATACTGCTAAAGAGCAGGTAGCATCGAAACCGATACCGCGAATTGTCGTTGGGTCAATGTTGTGCTGGCTGAGAGCTCGTTGCACACACATGCAAATGCATCTCCAGATATCTGTTGTGGATTGTTCATAGTATCCGACTTCCGGTTGCCATAGACCAATGTTCTCTGTAGCCACTTTCAAAAATTAGGATTTGTTACAAGATACTTCGCGATGCATAACTCACAGGCTTTGATGTCTCCTGAAGCATCGATAATACACGCTCTTGCTGATCCAGTTCCAACATCTATTCCGACTATTTATCAAATAAATTAGCTATTATCTACAAGTGATAGAAGGGTCTTCAATTGAATGTGGTAGAAATGTCTCCCGAAGCATGATTTGAAGAAAGAAAACGAAAGAACTTACTAAAATGGTCTACATGAGGGTTTAAATCATTATGTGGACTGTAGCCATGTCAGCAAAGTGCTTCCTATTCTTGTCATCGAAGTAGCAGTTGGCCATCACTTGACCTTGACCCCAAAACTTCTCGGTTTCGATTCAATTTCGGAGTAGGCGATGAATCTATCGTTCCATATCCAATTATCTGGTCTTAATTCGAAAATTTGAAGTTTTGGTCGAGTCCTGATCAAATGATGTGTTGGGCAACCTCCAAATTCCAAGTCCGAGCTCGGCGCGAACATTCAAACAGGTTGAGTTGGAATTCTTGAAGTTTGAACGAGAAGTACTCACTCCATACTCGCTTGGCGCGACGGTCTATAAGATTATACAGTTAGTCCATAGATCCAATAATGCGCAAATATAATGAAGTATTGAGGTTCAAGCTGTTAGAGAAGGAAACATGGCGCTGCTTACTTTCTATAGTTTTGACGGAAGGGCAACGAGTGTTGCATGATGGCGGTATATGTATTAAATCTTTTTGGTCTGCTTGACTATGCTTGACTCTGGATTCTCGATCAGCAGTGTTCCACAGGTAGTTGACGCGGTTTAAACTATTCCCATTGGATTGGGATAGAATGCTGTGCGTGCCAATGCTCTTGAATATTGGTGAAAAGGGCGCCACGGCGGGGTAAAGACGGGGTGGTAAATGCGTACATACCCGTACTGGTTGATATAATCTGAGAAAGTAGAAAGAAGATGCAGATATATTTGATATGCCAATTGATAAAATGCAAAAGGTTTATGATGAGATGTTATGTTATGAGGAAGGAAGAAAAGAGGGAAAGAAATTTCTAAAGTCTACCTAGTAGGTAGGTAGGTAGGTAACCTATCTATGAACCAGACTACAGGCTAAGTACTGAGCTCGACCTGTTGGTAGCTCCAGCTTTTTTTATCGTCATAGGCCCCCACCTTTCATCCCTCTCCCCCACTTAAAAGCGTAAAACCTAAGCATGCATGGGACGAGAAATCCGCGTTGGTCTTTTCGCTATATCTTCCGTACTAAGAACACACCGTTGACTGAAGGAAGCACCTTTTCAAGGTTTCATCAAACCTTATCGTGACACTTTCTAATCTTTCTAGAACTCAAACTATCTAAGATTGCTAAATCTAAGACTACGGAGAACTAAGAGTAGAACTAGAATTAGTAGAGCCAGAACTACATAACTCATTCCAACAATGTGAGATTCAAGGTTCAAGTGCATATTATAAAGGATTGTGATCTCGTCACATTCATCCCATAGGATTAGAAACAATCGAACATCAGCCAATGATCTAAAAATGATAAAACCTTGATCATAATACCTACCCCGGACCCACCTATTTATGTGCCCTTCGTTCATGCACCATTTTCGAATCCTATGAAAGTCTCCAAGGAAGAAGATCTACAGCTTATCGCAGGACAAACAGGGTGAGGATCGCTCAAGTAACAAGGTCCGATGTTCGGCTGCTTCGCTTCACTTCACCGACTTCCTGCTATTCGGACTACTGCAAAGGGGACTCCGAAATCATGAACCTTTGAACCGGCCTTGGATTTGCTAGAACACCAAATATGCTTGAATTGATATCTCTTTGCTGCTCATGATGCTGTACTGTACAAATATTGTTCCGACCACTATCCAGCCCTCTACTTCCATAATTTCCCTAAACTAACTTCCTTGTCGTCGTGCTTGTTCAATACCTTCGCTGTCGCCAGATCGAAATCCTCTTGGGTGACATGAACTCTGCGTTCTCTCAGTGCGAACATTCCAGCTTCCGTGCAAACACCCTTTAACTCGGCTCCTGAGCATCCATTCATCTTCTCTGCAATCTTCGTCAAGTTGATACCACGAGTCAGGTTCATGCTGCGGCTGTGAATCCGTAAAATATCGGCTCTGGCCTCAACAGTTGGCGGTGGAAACTCAATCTTTCTATCGATACGCCCTGGTCGTAAAAGTGCCGGGTCCAAGATGTCCAAACGATTGGTAGCCATAATGACCTTAATTCCCTTAGTTGGCTCAAAACCATCCAATTGATTCAATAATTCCAACATGGTTCTTTGAACCTCAGAATCACCACCTGAAGACCCTTCCACACGTGAAGATCCAATGGAATCGATTTCGTCCATGAAGATGATGGATGGCGCGTGCTCTCTAGCCATGACGAATAGCTCTCTGACCATTCTTGAACCCTCACCAATATATTTTTGAACTAGTTCAGAACCAGATACACGAATGAATTTGCAGTCGGTGTGATGTGCAACAGCTCTTGCTAACAAAGTCTTTCCTGTTCCTGGAGGTCCATACAGAAGGACACCTTTAGGCTGTGCTATACCGAGCGATTCGAAAAGTTCGGGATGCTTAAGACCAAGCTCAATAACCTCCTTGATCTCCTTTACTTGTTGATCCAAACCACCAATCATATCGTACGTACTATCTGGAACCTTTTCGACCATCATGAGGGAAACGAGAGGATCGACGGACGACGGCAACATCTTTTCGAGCTTATAGGAGTCCGATAGAAGGGTCACCCTCTTTCCAAGAGTGAGTTTTGAGATATCGACACCATCCGCAATATCGACAACTTCATCCAGAATCAGTATTGTAAGGATCTAAACCTCTGCGATAGAATTCATACCATATTTGCCTTCTGGATGCACCTTAACCAACACCTTATTCGTACCCATAACCTTGACCACCTCACCAACATAGGATCCGGGTTGTTGTAATAATCCAAGTTCCTCTCGTAGAAGTCGCACTATCAAAGTTAGCTACCTCTCCGTGGGCAATAATGTTCGCGAGAGTACCTCTTGAGTTGTAGTCATTTCGTTGAGCTTCCAATCTTCGTAGCACAGCTTGACCTTGGATGATCTCGAGCTTCATGCTCTCAATCTTATTGTGAAAGAAGCTATCCAACGCCATGATGAATGAGTTTCGGAAGATAACGATGGAAGAAAAGAGAAGAAAACCCAAGTTATGATGGAAATATAGGTAGGTGGCTTTGAAGTTTGAATGTTGTTGTTCCTTTCTCCAAGGCTGATCTTTTTGTTGATGCTTGAGGTATCACAAGTGTTCTGTGGACAAGGCTAGATATCTCGGTTTAACTGTGGCTTACTCATTATTTATTTTAGGTAGCAAGTGTAAACGCGTCGGGAGGGACAAAGCTTCAATAGCTATCGTAGAAGTGGAATTATTAATAAAACACCCACAGTTTTACGAGTTATACTAAGAAACCAATCATCATCAATCATGCAAAGGCATTATCATGGATCATAACGGAAATATCCAAACAATTCTCATGCACTCCAGATTTGGGTTCCATATTCTTATAAGATGGGAATGATAGAAATAGGTAATGATATCTGTGTTAAATGATGTATTTAGTACAACACAACGCACGCAGATGAGAAACAACATACATTTTCTACCATCTTTTTACTTTTAAGAGACACAATTCCATCATTGTAGATTAAAAACGTTCTTGTCTTTCCTTGTCTCTATCATCAAAGATACGAGTTACCGGTACTACCTACCTACTTTAAAAGTATTATAAGCGGTCCTATTACTCGCCATTCCAAGCATTTTTCCGATATCCGCCTGATCTTTTCTGAAGGAAGGATGATTCAAATAAATTGTTATATCTACTGTACTCATATCTATCTTGGTACTCTTCTTACTAAACGCCGCAGCAGACTCTAAAATATTATCTCGATTCCTCTTCATTTTCTCTTCCTTTCCTTGACTTTTCTTATTTCTTCGTAAACTCATAAAATAGTTGAAGATACAAATTATATTAAACAAAATAATATACCTCGAAGATTCAATCAGAACTTTCTCTTGTCGAATGCATCATCTGCTTACTGCTGCTGTGTTCTTCGCATGTTCAAGCTTCCACAAACACGAAAACTAATCATACTAATCAAAGAACTCACCCTAATCCAAGCCTCAAGCTTGCTTTCGTACCCGATGTGCTACTGATCAGATCATTCTTTTTGACTGGTTGGCAGATAAAACCTAGTTTGGTATTCAAAATTCGAGTTACAAAATGTCTCGAACTTCCGGCGAGTCTTCCGGATCTGGGAAAGATACCCAAGATCATACTCCAATCCCATCCGGCATGTCAACGCCAACGAGTCCGACAGATACGCGGCATCCGCTATCGAGATACGAATCTATTTCAGAACAGCATGATGGACAGGCGGAAAGCTTCCAGTCAACGGACACGATACGACGGAGACCAGACAATACGGGAGGATATGGTACGCGATTTCTATATGTTCCCGCTAAGCGCCACGCCCGATGCTACAATCGGCGACATATTTACTATAGATGTTCAAATCACAGAGTTGCTAATGCTACATATAGGAACTATGCAATCGACTCCTCAAACACCACAACCTGGCGACCACAGAAATAGTGAGTCTTCCATGGCCGGCGAGCGAGCTCAGCCTGTCAGTTTAGAATCCTCGCGATCATTCCTGCCGGCTAGATCGCCCATGCTGGGACCATCTGACCGCGGTCGAACAGGTCAGCGACCAAAGAAACCGCCCATGGCACGCCGAGCTTCGTCAAACGCACAAGCGCCTCATAGAGGGCAAGAATTTTCGGTAGATGATGACGTAACTGAGATGGAGGCAGAAATGAATAGGCATCAAGCAGGGCTTGGGATTGGAGGTGCCACATCTGGTTTTGGGCCTTCGAGGCATGCTCCTGGAACTGTTCGGCGGCGGCCTGCTCCAACTCAGCCAACCTTGCCAAGATTAGATTCTTCTCACGAGGAAGAGGCGGAGGCGGAGGCCGAAGCTGAAGCAGAGGTCCCCGCGAGTGCTGAAAGGACAAAGGATGATCAAATGGCTATATCGGGTGAAGGGACTCTCCAAGGAGAAGATGGTATCGCAGAGGTCGACGAGGAAGACGAAGATTCTTTAAGTGATGCGGAGAGTTTTACACTGAAGGATCGTCAAGAAGCAATAAACGAAACTCATCCTTTCGGTATTAGGATCTGGAAGCCTGCGTTATATAAAAAGAATCGCTCAGTTCAAAAGACGGCTGAGGGCGACATACATTCATTTCCTGGTGGTCGTGTCAACAAATGGCTCATCTTCTTCAACATCATCTGGACACTTGTATTCGGCTGGTGGCTGGGACTTGCAGCTTTAGCTGGAGCACTTGTATGCTTCATCTTCGGAGCAGCACCGAGTGCCATTGAATATGGGCGCGTGCTTTTAGGTCTGGCTGGATATGTTCTGTATCCCTTTGGAAAATTCGTTCGACTCGAGCAAGACGAAGCTTATGCCCATGAAGATGAAGGAGAAGGCCGTACCATCACCGAATATGAGCAATGGCAAAGTGGAGATATTGAGGACGGGAGACTGTTCTTTGGACCTCATCACACTCGATCGATTGTGGGCCGGTCAAGAAGAAGCATTGACTCATTTGGTAGCGAGACTGATAGTTTACTTGGTCGTTCAAGACGCGGTACTCAACGAGAAGGTTCAGCACGCCCTACTAACAAAAGAAGACTCTTTGGAAGGGGTCAATGGAATACTGGACGTGTCATCTTCTTCCTGTTCTTTTATGGACTTATCACACCTTTACTTTTTGTCGCCTCTGGCATATGTTGGTTCCTCGTCTTTTGGATTCCCATGGGTAAAGTTACAATGCTGCTATTTGACCACCTCCGACGACATCCTTTAGCTTTATCTTTCCAATCCGATTCGGCATACTCTCGTGGATCTATTCCAAACTCTTCGATTCTCGTTTGCACGTACCGCGCTGTAGGGAGCAAGTACTGGAAATACACAGTGGACGGCACGAACATCTTCTTGATCAACCTCATGGCTGTCGTTCTATTTGTCATCTTTGACTATTGGATTCTTCTAGAAGTGCTTGATTTGAATATCACCATCACCCACCCGGCATTTTTGTTCATCATGGCCCTCTTCTCCATTATTCCTCTGGCCTACTTCATAGGACAAGCTGTAGCCTCGATATCGGCTCAATCGTCCATGGGACTTGGCGCTGCAATTAACGCATTCTTCTCTACTTTGGTAGAGGTCTTTCTCTATTGCATCGCTTTAAACCAAGGTAAGGGGCAACTTGTTGAGGGGAGTATCATCGGAAGTATTTTCGCCGGTATATTGTTCTTGCCTGGGTTGTCCATGTGTTTTGGTGCCATCAAGCGGAAGACTCAACGTTTCAACGTCAAGTCTGCTGGTGTGACTTCGACGATGCTGCTTTTCGCTGTTCTTGCTGCATTCGGTCCCACCCTGTTCTATCAAATATATGGAACTGTAAGTTAATAAAGCTCCTCACAGCCGTGGAATCCAAGCTAATTTCCATTTATAGCATGAACTCAATTGCCTCTCTTGCACCGACACATACGATTCATCGAGTCGCGATTGCCGTCGCTGCTACTTCTCACAGACTCCGGCCTTGAATGACAGATTTTACCTCGAGGCTGTCCGACCATATTGCTGGTTTGCTGCCGTCCTCCTATTTCTCTCGTATGTCATTGGGCTATGGTTTACACTTCGAACTCACGCAGCAGTAATATGGAATAATGAAGCAGAAGAGAAGCAAAAGCCGGAACCTAACGGCACTGGCCCACAACAAGCTCCAGGTGGAGCTTCACAGACCCGCGCGCAACGACATGCTCAGACTGCTTCTGAAATTCGTGGATCTGAAATTCGTAACTCTCAACTTTACAAGCGCATTCTTGGTCAGTCCTTGAAGCAAGCCGGCTTGAGCCCCAAGGACGTGAGTCGACAGGAGTTTCCTGAAGACGTTAATCTCAACGGTTCAGTACAAACACCTCATTTGGTACCACCCAAGAGTGCTGCGGGAGATAGTACAAGATCTGAAATTCAGATACCGGGATTTTCGGATGCTCAAAATACCACATTTATTCGGGAAGTAGCCGAAATGGCAGCCACTGCTGCTACCATTGCGGCTCGAGATGCAGCCCGACCACCTCATCGAAGGATATCTACTCATGCACACAAACTTCCTCCTTTGAGAACAACTGCTGTACGTACGGAACCTGAAGAGGCTGTTAATGCGGAAGCTCATGCCACAAGTGGCGGTCATGATGCGCCAAATTGGAGCCGAATGAAGAGTGCGGTAATTCTGTGTGGTGCCACTATTCTTTACGCCCTTATTGCAGAAATTTTGGTCAACACCGTCGACGTAGTCCTTTCAAATGTAGCCATTGACGAAAAGTTCCTCGGTATCACATTATTCGCACTTGTTCCGAATACCACCGAGTTTCTTGTAAGCCCTTTCCCTCCCATGCTGTACGAAAAATGCTAACATGATTTTCTTTCAGAACGCCATTTCATTCGCCATGAATGGCAACATCGCATTGTCTATGGAGATTGGATCGGCTTATGCACTACAAGTGTGTCTACTTCAGATCCCGGCTCTGGTTTTATTCAGTGCTATTAACGGACAGTGGCTAGAAGGCTCGGATCTCGTCGACAAGACGTTCACCCTCATATTCCCACAGTGGGATATGGTGACGGTCATCCTCTGTGTGTTCTTACTGAGTTACATGTACGGCGAAGGCAAGAGTAACTATTTCAAAGGCTCCATCCTTCTCCTCAGCTACCTCGTCGTTATCGTCGGGTTCTACTTCTCGGGCATGACGGATCTCGAGGCTATGGGCGCAAGCCGTTTCGATATCATGGAATCAGGAGGCAGTTTCAAAACCATCGGGAGAGGCAAGTCAGGACATGCTTTCCAACAGTAATAAGCCTTTACAGGTTCACGGGCTTTACAGGCTTTGCATGTGAAAGTTAATAAAAGGATGGGGGTATTGGAGAAGGGTGATATGAAATTTTGCCGTTTTTGTTTTATTTTTTGTCAATATTGCCTCTGATTTTTGAGCGCCGGTGTTGAGGATATGGCCATGGCAAAGTTTCGGAACGTTGATACCACATTTACATTTTCCTTGCACAACTTACTTTTCATATCGAGAGATCTTCTCGAGGCTCATATAGGTGGGTACCGTAGATAGCATATTAAATCACATCTGTACAAATGGTGGGTAGAGAGAGATGAGAGGGATGGAAAGTAGATAGATAAAGTATTTATTTGTGTGTGTGTGGATTTAAACAATATCTCTCTGTTGAATGCTATTCAGAATTTCAAATACCTATACATATCGATAACTGATGAAAGTGTAGACCTGATTTATTACTCAGGAGTATCAATATGGATAGGATAGTAGGAGTTCAGTTTGCCCAGCAATGCCGACATCGTTTTGGTGCTATTATCCACCGGATCTACGAGTATGGATATACTCGTACAGTACCGGTACGTACTCATAAGTTAATATCTTGAGATAGATTTCTAGTCACGGACGGGACAAGGGACAGAAAGTCTAAGTAAGCTCGATATACACTACCCGCAACCCCACCCCACTACATCCCAATATCACAAAGTCCGATTAAAACCGAGACTTACCTTACCTTCATTCCGCCCCTTCATTTGATTGAGGGAGGAATGTAAGATCTTCTATAGAAACGTCATCCCGTTATCGCTTCCCCTCCTTGGTTGTCTATCTACTAGTTCTTTTACTCGAGTACTCGAGTATATAAACTTATAAAAGACAATAACAATACGGTAAAAGCAAGATATACCATCTCTTGTTCAACATCAACATCAATATTTGGAGAAGTATACTCGAGTAGAAAGCAATTTGTACACAGGCTCAATACTCAATATTGAATTGACTGAAGCATAGCATAGCATATCAGGAAAGATGCATATTTTACTTACTGGTATGTATGAGTACAAGTACTATGATTTTTGTTTTTTTGTGTTCATCTTTTTTGAAGGGGAGGGGAGGGTAGGTAGCTAGTTGTGAGGAATAACTACCGACTACTACCCCTACCCCGCATTGCATGGATTTGAATCCATGTGAGATGTTGAAAGTTGGGTTTTGGGTTTGGGATCACGCATTTGATTTGAGCTATTCAGGACTTTCGTCTGAAGAAACGAGAGGAGAGGGCTCAAACATTTCCCTCTTCCTCCCATCCCAACTACCTCTATCCTTCCTCCCTTCTCAAAATGCCAATAACTAATACCCTTCCCTCCTCTAGGCGGATCAGGCTTTATCGCTGCCCACATCCTCGATATCCTCCTCTCTCGCGGTCACACCGTCATCACAACCGTTCGGTCCCAACAAAAAATTGACACCATCAAAGCTGCTCACCCAGACATTCCCTCTTCCAAACTAGATTTCTATATCGTGGAAGATATTGCTCAGGAAAATGCCTTTGATGAATGTGTGAAGAGTTGTGGGAAGGGTTTAGAGGCCGTGTTGCATACTGCTAGTCCGGTACATTTGTCTCATCTATTATTTCCCCAAAATACGTTTTATGCAGAGGAGATGGATATATTCCTAACAAATATGATATTTTTAAGGGAACCTTGCTAAACATCTCACATAGTTTCACTTCAATGTAACCGACATCAAAAAAGATCTCCTGGACCCCGCCATTATCGGCACAACCTCCATCCTGCACGCCATCAAGAAATTCGCCCCCTCCGTAAAACACGTCGTAGTAACCTCCTCCTTTGCCTCCATCATCGACGCCTCCAAAGGAAATTGGCCCGATCACACCTACTCGGAAGCAGACTGGAACCCCATCACCCCCGAAGAAGCAGTCTTAAACCCCTCCAACGGATACCGCGCCTCAAAAACCTTTGCCGAGAAAGCCGCGTGGGATTTCGTGGAAAAGGAAAGCCCAAATTTTACCCTGAGCACTATGAATCCCCCATTGGTCCTCGGTCCCATCGTGCATTATTTGAATTCCTTGGATGCGCTCAATACGTCCAACCAACGTATCCGCAATCTCCTGCAAGGCAAATGCAAAAGCGAGATTCCGGACACGGGAACCTTTATCTGGATCGATGTGCGCGATCTAGCCCTCGCACATATCAAAAGCATCGAGGTGCCCGAAGCAGCTCACAAGCGATTCTTCATCACCGAGGGCTATTTTAGCAACAAGCAGATTTGCGAGATCATCCGCACGCATTTCCCAGAGTATGAAGGGGAGTTGCCAGAGAAGGATGTGCGCGGTGGTGGGTATCCGGAGGGGGGTCTGTATAAGTTTGATAATTCGAGGACGGTGGATGTGTTGGGTGTGAAGTTTAGGGGGTTGGAGGAGAGTATTGTGGATACGGTGAGGAGTTTTAAGGAGGTGGGTGCTTGATGGGTTATGGATAGTGGATAGATTAGATGCTGGTAGTGAGTAGTTTGGATGTAGGAAGGAGGGTGAGGGTGAGAATAAGAGGTATTTTTGGTGGGTTGGGTTGGGCTGGGGATATATGCATGTGATAGAATTAGAATCAGAATAGATAAGACAAGATCATAGAAATACACACGCATCAACCATTTTACTATATACAGTACTCAAGGACTCATACTTTCAAAAGCCAAGTCAAATCCAAGTCAAGCCAAATCAAAAACGAACAGAACCTGGAGCTTGAACTTGAACTCACTCTTTCTTTCTTTCACATTCAACTCGAGTATCATTATGGAAATTTCAAATATCCGATACCAACCAAGTATACGAGTACTGTAGATTAGTATAAAATCGTCGAGTCTAAATCCATCGACTCGAATCCATCGAGTCATATCAAATCAAATCAAATACAAGTTGAAATCAAATCAAACCATTATATTATGTCAAGCCAGCCTAGCCCAAGAATTTCCCTTGCTTCCTTCCTTCCTTGTTTTTTTTGCCTGGTTGGTTGATTGGATTGGATTTGGAAGTTGGATTCGAATTTGAAAGTTGGAGTTGAAAGTTGGGGTGGAATGTGGGTTGGATGTGGGTGGTGCTGAAGTTGGATTTGAATGAATGGGATAAATGCTAATAGATTTGGATAGGGTAGGGTATGATAGGGTAGGGTAACTTGCTGTGTTGTGTTGTGATATATTATTCAATTTGTGTACAAGTATCGTCTGATTATTGTTTAGAATCAGAGGTTGAAGAGTGAATGTTGTGCGATGAGATGAGTTGAGATGAGATGAGTTGAGATGAGATGAGTTGAGATGAGATGAGTTGAGATGAGATGAATGTAGGTTATAGTATAGGATGGGATGGGATGAGATGAGTTGAATTATTGTATTAAAGTATTAAAACCAAAACTAGAACTTAGAACGTAGAAATAGATGGTTGAAGAGTGCTGTACTATGAGATGGACTTATAAGGTGGAGTTATAGATATAGATATATAAGCTCGAGAGACTACACTAATGGGAAGAAATAGTGAAATACTCGAGTAGATGAGCTAGAATGAGCGATTATTCACCTATAATTAGTATATATACATAGTACTCGAGTATGTAATATACACAGTACTACTCTAGAGTATTGTACTCTTACTATTGTTTGATTCTTCTTAGAAATATATGTATATATATATATATATATATACTGTTTTCCGAGAGATATTCTGAGGGATCTTTCGAGTCTGTTGGATATACGAGTATAGATAGATGGTAGGTAAACCGGTAAACCTGGAATGGCCTGGCCTGGCCTGGCCTAGCTTGACTGTTTAGATAGGAGGTGGGAGGTGAAAGTGTATAGATGGATGAATGGATGGATGGATGTGATATCTCATGATATTGACTGTGTTGTACACAGTAAGCAGAGTAGCAAATTAGTCAGTCAGTCAGCTATCAGCTAACTCAATTCTCAACTACATGATCTTTATTTGATAGTAAAATATTAATTTCCCCATTCGATATCCCTTCCCCTCCCCCTTCTCCCCATTCACTTTTTCAATCCTTCATAATTTTCATCAAACCTTTTTTCAAAAGAAATACTTGTCCAGAACATATTAATATTTCCCCAAAAAATGCTTCAAATCTGTTCCAAATCAATCAAATTCCAATTTTTTCAGCCAGTAAACTAGCTGCCAGCTAGACTATCCCCTCACCAACTCGCTTATGATGTTTTTGAACCTCTACTAGCTTACTGACTTATATTAATAGAATAGCTGACTGCTTGGCCACTACTTGAGTATGAAGATAAGTAGTAAAATGAGGATGCTTGATTGATTGTGTGATGTGTTGAAGATGGAGTATGGTCTTTCGGTAGGAGATTTGGGGAATGTGAAACGATTCCCTAAGAAAATTGTATAAGCGGTGAGGAACTACGTTGGTCTTGCCTTTACTGCATGTCTCCTTGAGCCAACTTTTGACAGAAATCCGGAGGAATTCCTAAGTTACTGGGGGTCAAGATTGAAGTTTCCTAGGCTAACACTGCTTTGCAAACTCGTTCTTCCCGGTGAGCTTGGGTTAATAACCTGTCATCCGCATCGATCGTGGGTAAATTTACTGTTGGGTCAAAATTCCACACACAAAATCCATCACGATTACTCCAAATAATAAAGTCATCATCACCCCAGATATCTCCCAATACACTGTGTTCTTCTTCATCTCCGAGGAAAGGCAAGCGAAAGCCGGCTGCTGCCCTATGTTTGTCGGATGCGAGACGAGCCCCCCCAACGTAGTCGAACGTTCCCCAGGCAGGATAAGGATTGCAAACACTTGCGGATACTAATGCGTACGGATTCTGGGCATTGGGCATCGAGATCTTTGTGTATCGCTCGGTCCTAGGGTCAAGACTAGATAGCTCGCATTCCCAATACATCATGATGACTTGGCCTCTCCAAAATAATCTGGGTCGCAAGGATCTAGGAATCATTGCGAAAACCCAGGCATGGTTCGCAAGCTCTCCAAATTCTTTGGTGATGATGTTGAAAGTTGTGAATTTGAGCTGAGGTTCGCCGGATAATGGATTTTTGAATATTTCGTGGCTGCTGGGTGAGGTAAATAGAGCCGGTGTTTTAATCTCGCATAGGAGAGTAACAAGGCCATCTTCGTCGATGAGTCTGGCTTCGAAAATTGGGATATCGCTTGGGATACCGCTTGATGTAAGATCTTGATGCCATGTTTTGTAAAGTAGACCTGCTATGTGCTCCTGTACAATTATGCGACTGGTGTTTGTAGGAGCTACACCAACGGGCTGATAGAATACGAAATAATGGTTTTCTTCAGTGGGGTGAAAGATGAAGCCACATAGACGCATTACCCAAGAGCCATTTAGAGCATCCGGAACATCGAACTCTGGCTCGGCTAATTTCTGGATATGACCATTAATCCAGACATGAACGTCGCGGGTTGGCCTCGAGGTATGGTTGTGACCGAAGACGAACTGCCTATTATGGGAAAACAATATTGAGTAGGGGCATTCCAGATGAATGACAATAGGGTCCGCTTCTTCAACAAGTGACCATACGTTGAAATGTGGCTTCCTATCTTGCAATAAAGGTTAGCATAAATCTCTCAAACTTGACACGCATAGGCATCTTCCAACTTTTATTAAGGGTTCCAAGTACGGATCTTGGGGGTATGATGTAACTTACGGGTGATCGATGTAGGCTATAAGAAGTTGGTTTGAGAGCATGTAACTTTTGAGAGGGCTTCGTTGTTCATGCATGTAGTGCATTGTATCTTTTGTCCGAAGGTTGTCGACTCGAATGCTGAAATGGTCTATTCTTATTGCTACCCTTCCATTGCTATATTGGAGCCTCTCTACAAAAGGATAAAGGGAGAGGTTCTGAGTTAGATCGGGCATAGACCTCAAGATATAGTAGTAAGATGATACAGAATGCCATTTGCCACGACTTCTTCTGAGGCGTTTCGCACACATATCAAGGAACGCTGAGGATATATTCTCAAGCTCCAACTCTTTCCCTTTTCTACTTAGAGGCATATATACGTTCTCCCAAGTTACACGAAAGTGTATTCGAAGCAGCGCCCTACAAATTTTGGGGTTGGATAATTGTCTTCGCCATTTACTCGAAACGCAGCGCATAGTCATAAAGTCTTCGAGGTCAAGATACTCCATCATATCCGTAACAAGCTCAACTGGAAAGTTGGCAACGATATCATGACGAAAGTCGATACCATCAAAATGGGCCTTGAGTATGCGTCTTTCTCCGAAATTCAAGGTTGAACTGTTGAGGAGCTGTTTGATCCTGCTCCGATATTAGTATATGTATATGTATATATATCTCTCCTTCTGATGTGTAGAATTCCATCGTCCCCATTACAAGAATAGTATGCCGACTCCCCAATTATGAGATATCACGAGGTAGTAATAAAATACTCTGCCTTACGCTGCTGCACGCAAGTTGAGATTTGGCGTGCCATCTTCGAGTTTCATGCCATCAAGGACCTGACTCAAACTGTTTGATTCCATGATAACAGTTAATAATCACTTGACAATTTGAGAGGATACCTTGCTCAAGCTCTATTGACCGCAGTATCTTTTAAATATAGTTGCAATGTATCAGGCCATCAAATTCACACGGGAAGTTTTTGTATAATTGTGTAACTACCTAAGAATCAGGTCTACTCGAGTAAATCGTTTAACCACGTGACCAACCACCACACGAAGGTTAGTAAGCATCAGCCACAACATATTCCGAGATCGGTTGTTTGTGAATATCTTCAAAACTTCCACTTGAAATGAAAACAACATTCAATTGCATCTTCTTCCAAAGTAGATGCATAGTACAGCATCAGAAATATATCACACTATTGATCGAAGCTTAAATACGGCTTCTGGTACTTCCGAAGAATATACTATATCTTCGATATTCTGTGACTGAAAATTTAAGGCTTGCATATCATACCTTTTACTAGATTGTACTTTCATAGGTATAGATCTCTTTCGGAGCTTTAATCTGGACCTGCAGAAGTTTTAGCACAACATGTATGAGGTATATCGATAGTTTCACACATGCGACCGAGTTTGATGCTTTGAATGAAATTCAATCCATTCGAGTAGTTGCAGTGTCCATCACAATATGAGACTTGTTGATCCGAACTCTATATAATCAAGCCTTGAGATCTGTCAGTACAGTTCTATTGAAGTTCTTTGATTGTCACGACATGTGAAGTAGGATCACTGGTATCACGAGTATCACTAGTATCACTACGAATAAGATATGCTTTTTATCAAACGTCTCCTCGTCTGCTCGTCTATAGGAATTGCTGTGCCCAAGCTGTTTCATGACCAATGCACTATTTGGGATTGGAGTGGTGGAGTGGTAGGACGAACTGACCTGGAAGGTTAATTTGTTCATATTATTACCTGCACTAATATACCCGAGTATTACTGTCGTAGGAACACATGCACTCAGGGCGGTACATTCGTTGCTAAATTACTAATTAATAAGATCTAGGTAGTGTTTGGGGTCAAGAAATAAAGGATTAGATCCCCCTATTTGCTCAACTCAAGTCTCTAACCTCGCGCACTCTTCTCGAATCTCGAGTCTTTACACTGTACTCCGGAGTCCGTACACGAGTGTACACTGTACAGTAAGTAGTATGGCAAAAGAAGTTTCCGTTTTCTTCGTATGCATACCAAGAACTCCATATAAAGAAAATGATCCATGATAAAAGTCCCCTATATTCATCCGTGCGAGCTCTTGACATTAGCTAGGTAGGTAGGTAAGGTACCTATTCAACTATTGTAACCGCCGCATCCTCTTTCTTCTTCTCCTGCTTCTACCGTAGTATTCTATAATACTTTCCAATGCTTCTAGAATGAGAGAAAATTCTTTGCATATTACTCGAGTAGATAGAATGCTACCGGTAGATTGATCTCATAAAGAAAGGATACATACATACCAGTAACCCGTAATAATGGTATATATCTAGCTATACTTGAGTAGGTACAGTACATATATATTTGCACACTCACTCACTCAGCTTACAATTTTTAACCACTTTTTTTTTCGAATGTTTGACCGAGGTTCCTCTCCCGCTAACCCCTCCTCCTTCTCCCCCTATCTTTTTTATATCAATTTGGAGAATACAGGAATTATTACTGGATAATGGTTAAGTTCTTGTCAAATTGATTATATTAAATACCCATAATGATCACTCACAGGCTCACAGCGGGGGCTTTTGATTTCATATCCGGAATAGCCCATCCCAGTAAAGATATCTCCTACCTAGTTAATTATCCATCCACCCAGATCTACCCTACCTACTACTTACTTACTACTTACTACCCTACCTACACATACATTTATTATTTACATTAACATTTAACATTCGGTACCACCTACTAATTATTATTACTTACTTACTGTATGTACAGAGGTACTGTTGCTACATAGGTATTTTTATATACCAGCAGTATTTTGTATTTTGTCATTTGTATTTCTTATTATTACCATCGTCGCTCTCATATTCTATTCCTCAATCAAAGCAAGAGCTCGAACAATCACACAGGTATTTACTTGTTCCTCGAAATTTCTTCATATTGAACTTAATCCATGTTACGAGTAGAGAACTAGTAATCGGCATCCACACCAAACCTGCCGGATCTCCCTAGTACCTCCAGCAGACGAGATAGTCCTTCTTTACATCAATTCAACAGATCGCAAATAATTCTCATCGCCACTCGAGATCTTTTCGATAACAAGTCGCATATCATTGCATATCAAACCTCCTTCCATTTGCTATATCTTAGTGTGCAGCGAGGCTGAGGTTGTCTCGGGAAGTTGCAGGATAGTAAGTAGCATCGGACAAAGAAGGCATTCTTAGCATCATCATCAAAATTTCTAGCAATTCAAAGCTCCATCAACTTTCGCATGCGACGAGGTGTGTTTTCCCCCTTTTGTCCTTTATTTGCGCCGCCCTCATTCTCTGGTTTTGATTCAAGCCCAACTTAGAAGCTTGGTTCTCGCACATTGTACAAAAGATTGAGATACATTGAAGTATCCAGGTAGCGCGATGATGGACCTCACGGATGATCGAGCGCAATACCACTCCTACAGTAATGGTCCAAGTCTAGCTCAAAACACGGCTCGAACGGTTCCAATTATTCAACAACCTACTCTACAAACTTCTACTACATCTGGCGATGCAATGGACATTACACCCCCGGGTACCGCGATGATGGGGCCTCCTTCAAGGACAAGTCCCGACAACGAAGGAAATGGCATACACAATCATATGAATGGGGGAGATCAACCTAGTTCGGGCAGTTTGGCAACTCCCAGTGCAGCTGCCGCAGCTGCAGCCGGAGGATCTGGGCCCAAAGTCGTGCAGACCGCATTCATTCACAAGTTATACAAGTAAGAGCCCAAGAGAAGTTATTGCTGTTCTATACTAACTGTGTGCCAGTATGTTGGAAGATAACACCATCAAACATTTGATATCTTGGTCCAATACCCAGGACAGCTTTGTAATGTCTCCATCCAACGACTTCTCAAAAGTTCTTGCGTAAGTTTGAACACCCCGAGTTATTGCGCATCTTTTGCTCATAGATTATAGACAATACTTCAAACATACAAACATCTCTTCATTTGTCCGACAATTGAATATGTACGGATTTCACAAAGGTTGGATAGCAGCTTTTCCCATTAGTCACTATCGCTAATAGCAATGCAGTCAGTGACGTCTTTCATTCAGCTGCGCCAGAACAGCCGATGTGGGAGTTCAAACACGGACAAAATTTGTTTAAGCGCGGAAATGTTGTCGGCTTGCGGGAAATCAAACGACGGGCTTCGCGACAAGCCTTGGTCCACCGAGATTCCTACTCTGCCCCCAAACCGCCGTTCTCGCATCCTGGGACTCCGGCCGAACCGGTTCAATCGATACAGGAATCAACAGAGTCGAGATTGACACAATTGGAACATACTCTATATGATGTGCATGCTAGACTCGCGAGAAATGACGAGACTTCTCAGGTTGTGATGGAAACTTTAACTCGTTCTCTCCAGGTAACTTTTCGCATCACTGAAGCGTAAAGGAACTGTGACTAATTTTTGCATAGTTGAATCAAGAAATGTCTAGAATGATGCTCTCTTTAGTCAATCCCGAATCGCCTCTTCATCGTGAAGGTATGTACTCTGTGATTACTAAGCCACTATATTGATTGCTAACGAGTTCTAGCTATCAATATGCAGGGTGAGATTCAGCGACACATTGAAACTATCAGAGGCATGGAAGATCCTAACGAGCCCCATTTCCCGATTAATCGTCCGTATCTCTCAAATTCGCCATCGGACAATCCTCCATCACCACGACAAGTGCCCCAGGATGACTCCCGTCGTTCATCATTCCTTGGTGTTCCCACTCGCCAGACTTTCCATCGTCCTCCTGTTTTATCTCATTTATCTCTCGGTTCTCGTCGAGGGTACGGCTCGTTTGGTGGCCCAGGTACGGCACAATCCTCACCAAGTTCACTGAGATCCCAAGCGCCACCACCACCCATACCCCAACCCCACCCACTTGCTAACGTATCATCACCACCGGCTAACCTGACACGTCGCCACACTTCTGCTGATATTCGTAACGTAGACGGATGGCAAGCGAGCTCCTCCCCTTTCGCGTCGGGCCAATCATCGTCGCACTACCCATCATCTCCCAAAAGAACGCCAACACATATGATGAACGAGGACCAACGAATGCATGAAAGTTTCAACTCGTACTCACTTGCTGGAGCATCGCAAGGACGTAATATCTCTCGCCCAACTACTCCTCCCTATACGAATGGAAATACAGCAGATCATCTCAACAGCTGGTCGTGGGGTGGATCCAGAGATAAAGGATTATCCAATCTCTTCAGAGATAATTCAGGACCCCCTACTCGACGAGGTAGTATGGCACATATTTTAAATCCAGCAGAAACGCGGGAACGCGCAGAAGAACATGAGGAGGACATGAATTGGGAAGAAGATCGCAAACGGAAACGTCTACAATAGACTCGAATATCAATACGGTCTATTATCTAAGACTGGACGAGATGGGTGCAGCATGGCTAAAACCCTTGATTTAAAATTATCATTACCACACAAATATATTAATCATTTTGGGAAGTTTCGGGTAGCCGCGCAGGGGTGTAATATGTTAATTTCTTTTGGACTTTACGTTTCTTGTGCATATACAGCAATTGCAACAGGAAAGTGCGATTGGAATAGGAGGGAATGTCAGACTTGAGTCAAGTCAAAATTTTGTATGATGATTACAGTAGGCAGGCGTTTGTGGTGTGTTGGTGCTGATCGGTGCTGGTTGCATTGTACAGGATGGATGCCAGTATGAAGAGGGGGAAGAAAGAAAGAGAAAAGAAACAGCGAGGCGAAGTGGAGTGGATTGGAATGTTTGGAAATAATCTTAAATGGGTCTTCACCCCCGCACGGGATTGGGTAATTGAGGGAAAAGTATAGTATGTATGTATGCATGCTTTTGCATGGAAAACAAAAGTGTAACGGCAATCAATTTGTCTCAAGATTCTACAGAAGTCACGTCACTATACTCGTGTCTGTGTTTGTGTTTGTGAGTTGAGGTCTATATCTGATATGAGTGGGGAATGTGGTATCTCAATTTTTTGGTTTCTATTTCTATTTCTATTTCTATTTCTACTGTGCGTGCGTGACTGAATGAAAATCAAACAAGTCAAATGAATGCCTTGAAGTAGGTATCTCGGTAAGAGATTCGACTCGAGACTTTTTGCCCCTCCATCTCTAAGCGAACTCCTCCCTCCCAGACCCCAGATTAAATTCAATCCTACGCGTGACCTCTAATTTCCTCATTGAAATCCAATCCCCAAACAAACTGTATCAAAGTTGACCACCATATGCAGGCAGGGCAGGACCTTTTGATATAATATCATTGGATTGGACAAGTGTCCTGACTCTGACTCTGACTCTGACTAATACCGACGGAACTCTTCAAGCGTACATATGTACTAGGACTGGAAGTGCGCAGTTTGTAGATCTTGCCGTGTAGGTGGTGTAGTTGAGAGTTCAAGGGCTTTTCCCCTCGTTATTTATTCGAGATCTGCGTGAGGAGAAGTCTGCTGCACTGAGAAGAAGTATCGGTGTATTAGTTGTCGAATCTTTATCGATATTTGTCATGGAATGATCGTACGTATTTAGGACGAGCCCTGAGCGAATTTTCCACTTGTTCTATAATTTGCCCAGTAATTCGCGTTGGTGGCCATTCTCGTTTCCCTCATCTCATCTACCAAGTCATCCTAGGACATTTGACCGATCAATCATATATAGGGATGTTGGCTGATCTCAACGGATCATTCGGATATCGTCATCTGAATCTCTGAAGCCAAATGGGGGGACAAGTTTGGGGGATTGGGCATGAGTCTGTTGGGGAACACGGGGCTTAAAGATGATCGTTAACCTGGGCTTGATGACTATGATAATAGCGTTTCTCTTCGGTCAATCGAGAATCTCATCAACCGCCTCTGAGTCGCCGCCCACAAACTCTTAGGTGCATTCGGCGTATCTTGTACAAATTTTAGATGGCCCACGAAAGGCTCAAGAAAGTGAAGTTCATCATCGTCTTCATAAATACCAAATCCCGGACGTGTAGGTAGGATATGTCCTCCATGTAAAGAAAACAGCTTAATACATTTATCGTGATTTTGCGCTACTGCAATAACACCAAGTTCGAGGTCAACGTCCAGTCCGATAATCAAGTAACCATCGGTTACATAGTCCGGATAGGACAGACAAGACTTTGTGGCGGAGACGTATTCAGACCTTCTTTCTTTACCTTTGATACATGGAGCGTTAAAAGTATTTGGCTTTATAAATCGGGTATCGTACTGGCAAAGATCGGACGCACAGCCTGCAACAAGAATACGATGTTCGTCGAGAGGCTTGATATGCGTGATACAACTTGTATGTTTGATTTTCCCTGACTTAAGCCCTTGATGAGACGACCGGAGATCTGTGATGCTGAGAATGCCTCTTCGTTCACCCGTTAGAAGAATATCCTTGTGATTTGGAAGAAAATCCAATGCAAATACATCCCTAGGATAACTGTCTGAATTTTCGAAGGGTTGCTGCCGAATCCAAGATGTATCGAGATTTCTGTCGATCAGAAGAACGCCTTTGCTCGAACCGCTAATTAATATGATGGTTAGTGCTGGGTAAAGATCTAGAGGTATAATTTCTTTGGCTTTTTGCATGAGGTATGCACACTACTAAGACGATGGAGGAGTTAAGTAACTTACATAGCAAAGGTATATTGTGAAGTTGGAGGTGCTGAGGTAGACGAAAGAATATCGACTTTGCCTCGCGCTTCCCCTGGGCCGATGACTATGTCGGTGCGTGCAGCATGTTGCGCCTGGGCTGAGGCTGCCTAGCATGTTAGCTGTGACCCATACGTAATATTAACCTCAGCAGAGGTCCGAAGGAGCAGAGGAACCGATATGATAATTGAGCCGGCCACTGACTTCGGTTTCCACAAACAGTTTTTGGAATAACTCACATAAATTGTTCCAAGTTTGGAGGCAAGGACTGATCGCAATTCCTGCATCTGCAGCAGCACCTGACCATGTAGTCGCAACATGTCCATGTGTCTCATTGACACTGACTGAATTTCCGGTTAGTACGCGCCTGAGATAAGCATAGGACAGTATGAATACAATATGGTAGATATTTATAACGCAGACTAAGAGACCTCGCGGTCAAGATACATAAACTTACGCGAAGTGAATTGTTGCTCATAAATATTTCTGAGAAACGGGGTAGATACTCCCTGAATTCTAGTGGGATTCGTGTCAATCCTAGATACATCCATCGCCGGTCGTGCACTTGTTGCCACTGTTTCGAAGTCAACCGAGTGGTGACGAATTCCTGGGCCGGAAGCTTGACAAATTTCAGTCAGTAGACCGTACAAGAAAGTTTTACAGTCTAATACGCGGATCATATAGCTAAGTACACTGGGACTACTTGCTGGTAGTCGAAGTATTTTATGATCTCAAAGACGCGGAGAAATGTTCGGATGGAACTTACTAGTGGTAAAGCGGACTGAAGTGTCGCATATCTCGGACCTTTGGGGTATCACCTCAAATAATCCAGCTGTACCGCGTAGTAACCGGAAATCGCCAATATTGCAAAGGCTGTGAGCATAAACGGAAGTAGCAATGGCATCCAGGCCAGATTGTCCGAACCCGACAGATAAGAAGCCACCAGCAATAGGGTCCTTAAGAATTCTCGCTCTCTTAATACGGCCAACATTCCGTTGAACTCTCAAAGATTGGGCTTGTTTGTCTGCATCGTCAAGCTTGCGTCTCTTGACGTCTTGAGATGAGTACGCGGAGCTTGATGGTACGTTTGCCTGTATTTTAAAATATTTTCTCTTTTCGCTATCTAAAGGTGTTTTCAGTAAGTTGAGTGCCAATTAATAACAGAATATTCAGACAAGGTACCATAAAAGTATCCGGGAAGCTGTGGTGCTTCAGACATATTGGCAGTATTATCCCATATGTATAAACCTCATCGCTTGAAAAGGCATATGATATTCATGCACATGGATTTTTGAATGTATGTTTGATTTCAAGAAACACAATAATGTTATGAGAAGTTGTGAGCCGAGATTCGTTATACTAATAAAATCCCAAAATTTGTTGTGTTATTGTTATTGTTATTGCTGTGGTTGTGACATATAAAATATAAAATATATAAAAAGGGCCAGGGACGAAGGAAGTGGTTATTGATGATTCTGTCAAGTCACATGATTGCCTGATATTCATCGGCCCTTCCTTTCTTGTTCCACTCTTTTCTTCCCCAATAAGTATTGAATCCAAATACATTCCAATAAGTTGACAAGTTGACCTCGATTCTCGAAACTCGAAACATTTACAGACTACATATCATCGGCTTCTTCAAAATGGTTTACACCTTGACCGTTCATCTCTATGCAAATGAGCATCCAGATTCCGTACCCCGCCTCAAGGCCAAGCTTATTGAAGCATCTCGAATGTACAAGCAGGACAAGGAAACTGTCGACTGGATTGTCATGCAAGATGTTCATGACCCCAAAGCTTTCACCATTGTAGAGAGATTCGAGCAAGAAAGTGTATGTACAGTCACTTCCTACATGTCGTATCCTCCATCAATATGATACTAATCGAAGCTTTTTACCAATGCAGAGTCAAAAATACCACCTCGACAACCCATACTGGAAGACCTTCGATCCATACGTCGTTCCACTTCTCGGCAAAGCAATGGATCTCCGAAGACACGAGGAGCTAGACATCAGCAAGGAGGTTGAGGTTCCAGCTTAAAAGGATTGATATTTCTCTCACTCAATTCATCTCCCAGATACGAGGATAACGACACTTGAGCACATTCCTTGGCGTTGTATTTTAGAGCAGATTTCTCAAGACATATGATTCACTACCATGAGATATCAATGCAATGGTGCTAGGATGGCAAGATTCCGCAACCACTGCCTCGATCCATAAAGGTTCAATTGGTGAAGCAATGTTGTGAGGTTCTATGAGAGTGACGACGTTCCAATTCTCGACATTATACCTACATAGAACATCTACCTCTTAAGGCCAAAACGTCATATGGAGTGTAGACACCTCTGCAAAAGTTGACAATATATGATTCTCCTGCTTTGTTCATGTCTGGTAATAGGTTTTTGTTCCGTGGAAATACTGAAAGGCCAAACCAAGAAGCTATAAAGTTTACTCGAGTACTCGAGTATAAAGCATCAATATATGAAGGCTTTATATATTGCATGGCCCATGAAGTGGTATTGGTTTGTATATATTACTATATATGCCAATAAAACATTATTAGATTCATAGGTTTGAATAATAATAAGCATTATACTAGTAATTCAAGTCTCAGCCTTGCAATCATTCAGCAAGGCTGTAATTTGATTTGGTGGAAGTTAAGGTTATTGTTTGTGTGTCCTTTTTTGTTTATCTTTGTTTCCTTTCTCTTGGTTGTGTTCTTGTTTGAAGTTTGATACTCGTAATAGTTTTGGTTTTATCTTTGGGTGGACTTTGTAGGATAGGAATAGATTATTACTTACAACATCGGGAACAATGGAATTGCAGTTATCGGTCTTTGGTTGGTTGTTGGTGTTTAGCATCGGTGTTTCCTTTCTCCAAAGTGATTTTCCGATAACGATAAGGTACTTAAATTGACATTTTGAGTATTATTATAATGATTATTGTCAGCCCTGTCATTCCTATGTACACCTTCTGCAAACTTCCCTTGAACTCACTCGACTTCAATTATACGATAGATATTCTAAGTTCTTTTCCTTTTCCTTTACTTTTTCCGGGATATTATGCAACCTCGATATTCCGACTCCATCCAAGTTCCGGTTGTTGCTTCATCATGGCCCCAACTCCATTGACGCGACACCCGCACCCGTGAGTTACTATTTCCACTTCAACTTCACACACGCGACTTATGATATATTAGTGCCTATCAATCCCAAGCGGTGATCGATTTGACGGGAGACCATGAAGAAACTACTAGCGAGTCCTCTTCTCCGCACCATCATGGCCTCATACTCCCTGGGACATTTCCAACACCTTCGACTGGAAATTCGCGACCATATATAAATCCACATTATGATAATCGCTTTGCTCCAATATTACCAGCAAACTCACAACCAATAGAGGCTGAAATACCCAATGGATTCGATTATGCGCCAATTCTGCCAGGTGCTACAGTCGCAAACAGATACCCTCACTCAAGAGAGGTGACACGGTCTTCTAATACATCTGCAGCAAAAAGACGAGATCGGGGAGGGAACAAAGAGGTTGACCCACGCTCTCAGCAGGAGTCACCTCCTACAATCGAAAATGCTCCAAAGAGAAGACGAACGTCGGGGGGCATGGGTGAAGACAGCTCTAACCAGGAGCTGCACTCAATTATCAAACCCCCAACCCCCGAGACGCTGGCAATGAGGAAATTAGCTGGAAAGCATCCTGCTCAGTATCTCAACGGACAATCTCAAGGAAACGGAGAATCTGCCAACGAGCGCTCTTACCAAGATCTACGCCCCACGATCGAGAACTTTTCCAAAAGAAGACCATCGACGAGGGAAACGACGGAGCAGGAGTCCACCCAGAATCCCATGGGACAAGCTCAAGGGAATGCAGCGTTGACAGCTCCTCATCAAGGCTCAATAACAGTTGTTCTACCTCCCAATAGAACCACTTCAAGCTTCAGTGAGGTAGCAAAACCCTCGGTCTTCCAACCTGCCCCTTCTCTATCTCCGCGGATCCGTGATAGATTTTCCGAAATGCTTCATAGCCAGGTGTTTGTTCATATTAATACTGCCATGTTTCGTCATAAGCGAACAATAAACCCAAAGAAGCTTCACGAGATTGGTACTTCAGTTGCTGGCGTACTTGTGGACAGTCCTATGTTCGAAAACCTCAATCGTTATGGAGGGAAATTGTCGCCCGAAGATGAGATCGTGATATCAGAGAAAGCTAGGCAATATGTAGACGATTTCGTCGCACAAAGTCTTGCTCTTCCGGCTCTTAAACCCAACCAGAAGAACCGTGAGCCGAACTCCGACTGGGAGGAAAGTGAGAATGTCGTGACTAACTCAGATCGAGCTAGTAGTATGTTGAAGGACAGTTCGGTTCCAAGAGATTATCTTAGACTCCGGACATATTCATTGTCTCCAGCAACATCCTCTGGCGCCGATGTCGTAGATAATTCTGGCTCTCGTAGCGAGATACGAAAAGCAAAGAAGACAAACAATATTCATCCCCCAAGAAGGGGCACTCGATCTCAAGCTCACTATGTTCAAGCTGAATCATATGATTCCTCGACAGACGCTCAGTCCGTAGAAAATGAGGCTCTGCTAAAGATGAAGAATGGAAAGCGCGCCAGCTTACAGCATGCCAGCGGTGATCTCATGCAAGTTGACACAAACCTAGATGTAGCCGACATGACATCCTCGCATGATATGACTGCTCTCGGCCAAACCATTGATGGACAACCACGTCCATATATCGACGCTAAGAGTCGAGAGAGGATTCGCCGTGGTCTCGAACGTGCCACTGATCAAGAGCGGGAAATACTTCTCGGGCGAATTTACCACATTGACTTTTGTGAGGAAGAGCTATCAGCTGTGCGCCGACTCCTGCAATCGCAAACACAATTACGAGGGAAGCCAACTATCGCACTGCTCATGCAAAATCAAAAGCTGAAAGTGCCTGAATTGGTTTCGTTAATGATGTCAAAACGGCAAACACCCCACGAAGATCTTGGCGAGGACCTTATCCACAGTCGTGGACCAAAGTCATTAACTTCTTTTCTCAGAGATGCCGCTGTTGGCGAAATATCTGTAAATACACGGACTCTAAAGGTACTTCCTAAACGGCCCTCGGGTCAATTTTCTGCACTCCTAAGACAACGTGAGATACACGGCATGGTCCCCGTTCGATCTTGCGGTGGTCAGATATCATATACACGAGAGGTTAGTTCCGTACTCGAGGATTCATTGCAAAGGAAGGTTGAATGGACAGATTGCTGCGGTGACATATGGGCCATCAGTTGGACAAGTAGTGACGCCTTTGTATGTGGTGCTACTGCACATTCTGATAGCCATAATATGCAATACAATAAGCCGGGCAATCTCGTCGTTGGTTCTGTTTCCAAGGAGGCTTTGGATGCAATACCAGATCATCGAATAGTCCGACCGATTGTGAACGCGAGCGAGAATGCTGAGAATGCCCTTGAATCTATGAGGCAAACCCAGGACCCTTGGCTGTATACGTCCATTTCGGCAGTATCTCACAGTCAAAAGAGTGGCCTCAGTTTCACTGCGAGCTTTGATAGGACTGTTAAGGTCTGGAGGGTCTCGCCATCTGATACTGGATCATCAATGGATATTTTGGGGACCTGGCCGCATGGAGGAAAAGTCAATTTTGTCACAACCTCGGAGCATCACGATCTTGTAGCTACGGCGTCTGATGTTTCCAATAATGCCGTCCGTGTTTATCGATTTGACGAGAACAATGTAAACGGATCGGCATTCGATACCTACAATGGCGAGAAAGCCGCCGAGCAAGCACAGGAATTGGGCAGAAAAGACTCATGGGCGTACTATCCTGCCACCGTCCAGTGGGGAAAAGCAGAAAGTGTATCACATCTATTACTCGTTGGCTACTCACCACGCTCGATCAGCGATGATGAAGTTGATATTCCCGAGGACAAGAGGAACAGTGGAGAGTTAAGCTTGTGGAATACACTCGATGGTTCTAGGGTTCCAATTGCTTCTGCGCGTGCCCAGAATGTTTTTGAAGTCGTTTGGCATCCAACTAAGCCAGCTTTCATTGCTGCCACATCTCCTTGCGGCGTCTTTAAAAGCGAGACAAAAACACAAGTTAGGCTATTCGCAGCAAGGACCGACAAGAATGATTATACCGCTTTCTATCCAATTAGAGTTCTTGATTGTCCCGCATTGGATATCAATGAGTTGACGATTATGTAAATTATCACTTTCCCGTCGTTGATTTCGCCGACTGACGTGATTCCAGACCAAATAGCCTTTCTCAAAGCTACGTAACGGCTAGCTGTACAGATGGAAATACCTATGTTTGGGATACTGGAGCCATCGGCGACGATGCGATTCATGTTCTTCCGCATGGAGGTAAGTATTCATACACTTTCCCACAATTCATCGCACTAATTGACTCAAGAATCGCTTGATAACCCATATCATGACCTTCCTCGTGAAATTGCAGACACCGGTGTTAAATTTGCTGCTTGGGGGAAGACTTCTGACCGATTTTATACTGGTGCTTCCGATGGTAAAGTTAAGGCCTGGGATATACAGAGACCGCGTGGAAAAGCGCTTGTTCGAGAGGTGCTCGCGGCTTCTGGTGGGATAGGAGCCGGAGCTTTCTCCTCCGACTTTTCTAAGCTTATTATTGGTGATGCAACGGGAAAAGTTCATCTATTGACGCGAAGTGACATCGATCCGGAACTAAAGAATTTAGACTTTGAAGAGTTGGATGATTCATTACAGATCAAAGCTATGAAACAAAACCTTCGATATATTCCACATTTAAGAGGACCCAGATTAATCAAGCATCATCCGGAGCCTGCACCTCCTGAGAACTACGATATGCAAGTTTACGACACAGGCGTTGAGATCTCGAGCCATTTTATTTTTGAAGGTCATATCACTATAAATCCAGACCCGGCTATTGGCGCAATTCAAGGTCCGAACTATCACGAGCTTGGTCTCTATCGTTTTGACGCACATATAGATCAAGATGGCACCAAAGCTTTACTACCTTATCATCAGGCTCGACAGCAGCACTATTTACATATAAACATGGCGCCTGATCCGCTTCCAATTCTACCGTATCTTACGCAAAGCTCGGATTTAGCTGCTCATATGCGCAATCTGTCTTTAAATTTTGAGTTCAACGAGCTGGAGCAGGAAACCCGAAGGCAATTATTGATGGATGGGGCGCAGCTCGAGGCGGATGATGACTTCGAGTATGAAATTAGCCCGAAGATAGAGATTTTCAAGAATAAGCGGTATAAAAAGCATTGATCAGATGGACAGGGAAGATATCCAACTAATATCGGGTAATGATGGCGCTTTCCGGGCCTGTGAAGCAGTCTCGGGGCCGAGCGATGGCTAGTGCGGGAATGTGTATAGTACAACCAGGAAGTCTATGATGAGGATGCTCCATAGATGTATGTTATATGATATAGTGTGAAATATCGGTATGTAGATCATTGGGGATGTGTATCATGTTAATGATGGGGATTAATTGCTATGAATGCAATATAGCATAGTGGGCATTTCACAACAGTACAAAGTCTCTACCTCACATTCATTATTCGTCGTACATTACTAAGTGGTGCCCTCCTCAGAACTTCTGCTTGCTCGTGACTCTTTCCACTAGAATCCGCAAGGCTTCGGCAAATACAACATCTGTGGAGCTCGACCATCTGCGCTATCTAGATGCTTGTTTGCAGAAAGCTCTTCGTATCTACCCTCTGGTTCTAGGAGTCATGCCACGTATGTATGACTCTCCTGGAAAGTTACAGTATCGGCGGACACTATCTTTCTGGGGATGTTGGGGATGTGAGTCTAGGTTACGCATCAAAAAAATTAGACCAGAAGGGTGCACAGGTATCTCAAGATCTCTCCATCTCACACTCACGAGACTAACGGTGGGATGTGGAAAGTCGGCTAAGAGGTTATTACAAAAGCTATCAAGATGAGTCTCGAGGGTTCCACGACCTTTGCCGATTCTTTAATCCCATCTGGTAAGTATCATGCAACAGGTTTCTCGCATGAGGCTTCACATCGGTTTCTTTCTTCCTCAGAAGATAACTCGTCGATAAGGGCAATCGGTTTGCGCCTGATGATTATATTGTTCTGCGACCGCTTTCTACAAGTGTTATCGGGGTCAGGTATGTATGTACCAGTATGTATTTTTGCATAGAAATATTTCCAGATTGGTGTGCGGTATTCATGCCAACAGAATTACTTATATCTGGGAACTAAGTTGTATCTTCGGTATTCGTATTAAGAGGAATCGTCTAAAGGGAGTGGTATAGTTTATTAGTTTTTTCTTCTTATCTTGGTGCCGATATTTGTGAGCACTTTCTGGCAAGTTGCAACATAAGTATGTTGTGGTGTTTATTACATGTACAGAAAGTTCTGTTCTGTGGGCCGCTTGCAGTTTTACATGTATTGAAATGCATGGTATGACATGGGGCGTGACCAATGTACAGTAGGTTTCCAGGTTACATTATACACAGTCAGATGATCGTTTAACCCATGCTGTTTGCTTGCAAAGTTGGAAGCTTCATGTATAATATTATTGTATTTCGAATCCCCAAGAGTCCTGAAAATGTAATATTAGAATCTTCATCTTCATCTTCATCTTCATATTCTATTGAACATATGAAGGGAATCTAGTAATTAGCTTATCTAAAGTGCAAATGGCTCGGTGCGGCCCGATACTAGCGAGGTGGGGGATGGACATCGTGGGGGAAGCGGGGTAATAAAACGGTAAACTTACTGGATTAGGTTTACAAGTAGCCAATGGGATTTAGTTTCATCTCTTGCCGGTGCAACTTGATTGTGAAGTACCGTACCTTGGTGGGTTCAAAAGCGTGGCAACGATCTGCATTCTTCGCTATTATTGCATTACATTTATCACTAGTACTTTTTTGAAAGATAAGATAACGTCTATTTCATTTGAGAGATTCATATTCTTTCACATAACAAAATATAGATTTTTGTCCATGAAACTATGGATAGACTGCCATACAGCTATGCATATGCAGAAAACAAAAATTCCATTTTTGCAGATCATTCTTTGAAATTCGTCTTTTGCAACATCAAAATTATAGCTCACATGCAGAAGTCGTGCGTGTGCAGAGCTAAGGTAGATCACCTACCCACCTTCTTTATGAGGAGATTCAATGAATTTCTACGAAGTACTTTACTCAGACCCAAGCAAACTTCCCCACTTTGTGCATTTTCCCAGATAAATATTTCATGCCCTGAAAGTTCCGAACTTTTCTGCTCCCTCTGCATTCGTGAGTGAGCTCAACCGAAATGGCGTCAGTTATCTGAAATACTGAAATCTCTCAGTATTTCAGTTCACGAAACCATACTATCCCGAGCATTCATACGAAACAACCTACTCACAAATTGTACTTATAAGGCTCAGAGATCACACTCACAACACGTTGGCTGATTGGAATTGTATAATCTTTCATTCTAATCAGACATGATGAACGCTACCCAGGCTCATGTATCTTCGTCTGAACGACCAGGAGAATCGTCCCCCTCGAGAGCTCTTCAGCACATAAAGGACGAAGGGTCTACTTTAATTCCGAACGAGAATACCTCATACAGGAAGGGCAAGCCACATATGAGTGATATTGCACATGTCACCAAAGTTAAGGTCGAATAGGACGAAGATGGATCGATGAATGAAGCTTCCGCCACATCAACCAATGGTTGGTTGCGCAGAAGATCTGTTAAATTTACGTCATCGTACAAAGAAGAATCAGACTTGGAGAAAGTGTCAGGTCCAGAAGAAGAACCATGGTCAGAAGAAGAACTCGACTCAGAAGAAGAACGTCATTCGAAGCGTCAGAGGAAGAATGAAAATACACAAGATAATACTGAGCCACCATCTAGCCCTCGCTAATCTATCACACCGGTTCGAATCATTACCACACCAAAGGCACAGAGAACCAAAGCTCCTATCTCGCCACCTAAGACAGCTACGCCCAAAAGAAAGAATATCAAGACTCCCAAGCCACCAAAGACTGTCAAACCCCCCAAAGCGGAGAAAATCAAGCCTCCCCAAGGAGCTAGGATCAGAACTCAGTACATCTCCACTCCCACAGAAATCTTTATCCACCCCATTGAAGCTACTCACGAGGACATGGAAGGCTTTACGCTCAATGGCGAGGGCAAATTAGTGTATCAAGGAGAAGCAAACAAAGAAGACGGCATATTAAAATGGTGCCTCAAACCCCGAATGATAAGCGCAAGATCGCCAAGCTGCCCCGAAAGATACATGACCGAGCCACCCAAAGAAACCCTCAAGAAGTGGCGCGCGTATTGTGCATTTCGAGGTCTGGATCCCTCGGGCACTCGAGAAGAGATGCAGCGGAGACTGCGGGATCATTTTTCCGCTTTCATGTACGACATAGATACCCCGGAGTTTATGGCAAAATTGGAATCGGTTCGCTTGAGACACATAATCGTTAGAGAAACATTACGCAATAATGGTGTTGTTTCTTGGGAAATGCGTAATGAAGCTGAACGAACCAGATTGTGGGGTCTACTATCGGCAGAGCAGCAATTCGAAAAGAACATCTCGTTGTTTATTACTGAGAATATATCTAGATCCCGAATACAAGATGTATGGGTCTTTGAATCGCGCCCTAAATTTTCGGAAACTGAATGGGTTGAGTTCTTGGGCAAACCGCAAAATTCGGCTATTGGCTTGGTGTTTACGACGTCTCCTGAGCCCGCTTATCCAAACGATGGAGATCAGAATGTAAAATATCAACGGGGTGGAATAGAAGAAGTCCTTTACCACAAACCGTACCTTGGTGGAACTTGGGTAGGAACGGGATTTCAAAAGGGGATGATCCTCGGCAGAACTTCATTGCTAGTGAAGCAGAAAATAGAGGAGATGTGCGAACAGATCAGAAAAGATATCATTGGAAAATACGTCGAAAGTACCAGAAACTCGAATGAGCAAAATGGTAAGTGTGGTCTCTGCTCAACCTCTTACCCACAACTAATCTCGCAAATAGTGGATTCGGCGCAATCATCCAATGCGGAGACCTGGACAACGCAAGAAGAACGACACGCGCAAGCTCTGTGGAATCTTGGAGATTCAACCAAAAAGCCATCGCATTTCTCGTATCGATTTGGAAAGGTTGCGAAAGAGCCATTTTCGTCTCAGCAAATCCGCTCGCCTCCGGTCACTCCTACGCCAGCTCGCTTTTTCGATCATGCTCGATACACTAATGTCGAGGAGGTTGAAAGCTTCGATTATGCTCGATACACTTATGACGAGTACGGTGATTTTATAGATCATGCTCCCTTTGATTAGGATTAGGATTAGGATTAGGCTTGATGGTTTGCTATTGAGAAGTATTGTTCGGTTTACCGTGATCACTGCTACTACTACACAGGATACTTACGGATAATATGAACGTGGGAGTTCCCAAGGAGCCCCAGAATTTCTTTTGGTCTCTGTTTGCCTCTGATATCTATGTGGTTTTAGTATGAAGATCTAAGGATATGAAAAGTTTATTTAAATAGATGAATATGAAAGGGAAAACAATTGAAAAGGCTTTGAAGGATACTCGAGTACATACCACAGAAATTGTTTCAATTAAATGGTAGTGATGTATATTTTAATATCGAATGTTCATAAGGAGAAAAAGAAGAGGAAAAGAGAGAGATAGAGAGATTTATTGCTTCATATTCAATACTCTCCCTCAGATCCTCGCTCAGATCCTATCGCTTGCCTTCCTTCCTATTTGGGGAGGTACTACAACTCATATTCTCCTCGAGTATTCCTGATCATTGTTTTTCAGATATTACCTAGATATTCCATTACTTGACTTCTTACTGTTCATCCCATTCATCATTCTCATTATTTTCACTTTTTTTTTCAAAGGTTTCAAAATGTACTCGAGTATTTTACCATTACCTTTACCCCCTTTACCCCCTTCACCCCTCTGTAATGATCACTCTCTTCTATTATTTCCATAGACATCTAATTTCTAGTACCGGTATCACAATTTTGCTTTTCAAGAAGTGTACCGCAGATGTTATCCTATTACTTCTTAGTTTCATCTAGCTGCACAAATATTCTCCCCCATCAAATTCCCCCTCCCCCCAAGTTTCATCAAACTCCGCAAACTCTTTCCCAGTATCCTCCTAAAGTTTTCCTAAATCCTCTGAACTTTCCGTGATATGGATCCCAGAGTCTATCTATCATGATTCAAATATGGACACTTACACTTACACGAACAGTGAAAGAGAACAAATTTAGATTTAAAAACTACGAGTACGTACTATGACGATCATCGTGACATCCTATGAGATAATTCGCGATCCCTAACCAGCAACGTCGCCACCAAAGCCAACATCCCCAACCCCAATAACAAAAAGAACACAGCCCTCACAGCACCCATATAAGCCTGCAAAGCCAACTCCTTCAATCCTTCCTCCAGTCCATTAACCACCTTAAAATCATCGATAATTTGTTGGATACGCTCTGTTGCATTATCTATCCCCCCCAATTTCTCCCATAGTAATCTCCCCAGCACATTCTGGAACGTCAGTCCCGCCACCGAAATCCCCAATACCGTGCCCGTGCTCCGAAACGCAAAGAGTGCAGATGTGATCACAGCTTGATCCTTCGCTTTCACCGATGATAAAAGCGCCAGGATGGTGGTGGTAAGGGTAATTCCATATCCGATGTTGATGGCGCCGAACCAGACAAAGGGGGGCCATGCAGATGTCTGTAGTGTAAATGTACAGATGAAGGCCATGCCTAGGATATAGATGAGTTGGGAGGCGATACCGAGCTTGTAAAACCGGCCGGTGCTTTTCACGATGATTCCGGCGATCATGGAGGCGATGGCCGTGCCGATTGCGCCGGGAACGAGACGAAGGCCAATTTTGGTGGCGCTGTAGCCTTGGGCTTCGAGGAAGAGCGGGAGATAGAAAATCATTGCGAAGCGGGATGCGGAGGAGAAGGCATTGGTGAGACAACCGCCGGCGACGGATGGGTCGCAGAGGAGAGGGAGGGGGATAATGGGTTCTTTGGCGTATCTAAGTTCGGTGATGATGAAAATTATGAAGGATATCAATGAGAGGAGGAGACTGATTAGGACGATGGGATCGGTCCAGGATACGGTATTGCCCCCGGCACTCATGCCAAGGAGTAGCGTAACGAGCGTCGTGAACAAACTGATGGAACCTAAATAATCAATCCGTTTGAGTTTTGATTTTCCCTCCCCGTCATCCACAGTCGGTATGCGTATGGTGAACCAAGCCCAGATCGTAGCCAAAAGCGTGATGGGTATCTGCAATAAAAATGCCGCTTTCCAACCCAGACTATCATTGATCCACCCTCCAAGTACACCCCCTATACCAGAGCCTACACCTAATATCATATTCCCAATCCCCTGCCACATACCTCTCTCCCTCAATGGCACTAGATCCGATAGTAGAAAAGTAGCCACTGCCATGACTCCTCCTCCTCCTAGCCCTGCTACCACTCTTCCGGCAATTAGGACCCACTCGGATTCCGCACTTGCGCACATATAATTTCCCAACGAAAACACGATATTAGCAAGCACAAGCCCGCTTCGCCTGCCATAGATATCGGTGAGTTTTCCAGATAGTGGCTGGATCGCAGCGTTGGCAATGAAATATGCGGAAGCGAGCCATGGGAGATGGGATAGTGAGCCGAAGGAGGAGGTTATGGGGGACGAGAGAGTAGCTATCATAGATGAATCGACGGATGCTACGAAGGCGGATAGGAAGGGCCCGGTCATGAGTATCCATATGTAAAGTGTGGAAGGATCGTCTGGGACGGCGGGGTTGGTATCTGAGGTATCGCCATTGGGATAGAGAATTTCTGATTGAGGTTCGACTGGGTGATTGAGTAATGGCGTAGTTTCAGAGAGATTTTGTGTTGCCATTATAAATTTAGGGTTTGGTGGTCAATTGACCATCAGAACAATAAACCATAAAGAAGATGAGAATAAAAAAGTGTTTATGTTATGATAAAGAGGAGGTGGCCAAATGTTGGCTGACATACCACTCACTGCATTATGGGCATCATAGAAGCAAGCAAGGGAAGAGCGGAATAAGCAATCCGTGGAGTGAATCTTGACTTTATCAAGAAGCATCTGCATGTATTTCTGCAAGCACCAGTGAATCGTCAGTACAGCTGAACACAGCAGCGAACTCCACATATTGGAAATCTCGGTAAACTGAGGGGTTTACCTTGGAAAATTCGAGTAAATATGACGAGCCACGATGCGTGGAAAGATTATATGGGAGTTAAAAGACGAGTGGCCAATGGTGAGTGGGAATGATTTCCAAGTGGCATACCACGTAGATAAATTTATCATCAGACTCGGGGCCTTTAATGAAGAGATGGGGAGCTGTACATACTGTTGTATTACGCTTGTCATGTTCAAGAGCCCTTTCAGCATATTATCCCGTCTTTCATATTCATATCCTGTTGCGGAAATCTGATTTCTCATAGCTCGAATTGAGCGTTTTTTACGAGAATTTAATTTGAGATCATTGACCTGTGCCTTGTGAAACATCCGGTTGAAGGCGAGGATTCGTTTGCTGGAAGCAATATCGAAAATCAGGATGTGATACTTACTGTAGATGTCAACTTGTGGTGGAGAAAGTCACGCCTCCACCTTTAGCGGATATAGCGGTAACTAGCAGTGTATCACTAAGCTTATCCCTAAAGTTATAGGCTATCAGCCTTACTAAAATTGTAGACTTATTAGCCCCGGCACCCGATGAACCCTAAGATTTTAGCACCCAACTAGCGATTTAGAGCAATTTATAGTGGGTATAAGTCTCCCAACAGCTAAACCCCCTGAAAGCGAATTTAAACGCATTTAATCTACAGCAGAAATGCTATTCTGATAAGTTTTCGAGCAGGCGACGAAGTATACATCCAGGTTTTGCATTAGCAGAATTCCCTATTTTCATCTCATCCCTATTATTCTCAAGATTTAGGTGACGCTTTCGAATTGAGATTATTGATGCTATAATTCATATCCGTTTTGAGATTTTCTAGCGTTGCAGTTCGACTCTTCCTCGATGCTTCTAAGCTAACAAATCTGCCATGGAGGCCGGAAGCAGTACTCGAGTATAAACAAAGTCGTTTTGAGCCAAACAATGTACTCAGACTTTGTTTTGGAGAGCTTTTCGATTGGTATAGAGTAGCAAGTCATATATATTATCACGGGTTCGATTAATTCGTGATATTCGTGATACTACTCGAGTAATAATATTCAATTATGAACTAATCATCCGTGAAAATTATTTTCTATCATATAGCGTCCTTAATTCTCCGATATTTCAAACTTCTCCTCAACTTTTAGCTTTCGTTCGCGGGTATCGCAGCCGAGCCATAGAAGATCTGGTCTACTGTAATGTCCACAAACGTCCAAGAAACTGCGCGCGAATATGGCTTGATCGAGATCGATATCTCCATAAACAATTCCCTCGGTTGTAGAATCAAGAGGCGTCGACATGACCCGACCATCAGGTCCGATAATGACTGAGGCCCCACCACCCGGCATTGACATCATTAGTCCTCCTCCTGTAGACATTGCGCCGACTCCCTTTTCTGACATGACGGTAGTGGCGTGAAGAACAAAAGTCTGAGACTCTATCGCATATACTTGGGAAATGCTTTGACATCCTAAGAGAATTGTGTATTAGCGACACCAGGACTGTATTGATGAAAAGAACACTTCCTTACCCTCTTTCGACATGGACCATAGCTCAGGTCCACCAGTATGATTGTAGATTGGGGGCCACGCTGCGCAATGAATCTGCTCTTGTTGATGTATAGTATGGTATTTAAGTAACGGTTGGCAATGTTCCCAACAAGCTAAAGCTCCAACCTTGCCAACACGAGTCGAAGCAACATTCATAAGACTACCTCCCGAACCGTCTCCAAAAATAGTACGCTCCATATGTGTAGCCTTGATCTTCCTCCTCTTCATGACTATCGTCCCATCACCATCAATAATAGCTTGCGCAATATATAACGAGTTATGGTCATTTTCGGAAAAGCCCAGAGAGACGACAATATCATGCTTGGCGGCACAGTTTTGAATGGTTCTCATCTCATCAGAATTGACGACTAGGGAATTCTTAATGTAGATGGTAGAGAGAACCGGATCGACTGGGCGAGTCCTATTGTTCAATTAGCTTCGCAAATAGAAGTTTGCAATTAGACATTTCTCACCAGATCCATGCTGGATAACCTGGAATAAATGCTTCCGCAAATGTAACTAGCTGCGCACCATTCTCAGCAGCCTCTGATATAATACGACATGTTTTTTCCACAGACATTTGTAAGTCAAACCATTCGGGCTCGTGTTGACTAACAGCAACGCGATATTTTGCGGAGGTCGAGCTGGTCATATTTCCTCTTGGATGATGAAGACAGTTCCTAAAGATATTGAAGTACGAAGTGAATACCGATACTAAATTGGGATTACATTGTTCTTAAGTATTAAAAGAGATCATCTTACTGTATCGCGGAACTATACTATCAGGTAATCTTGTGAACAACTTTCCCCACAAATCAATATGTAGCTCTTATCAGGGCTGCGGATGAAGACCCCGCCAGCTGAGTAAGAGAGTTGGTTGAGAACTTGCTATTCCCATATCTTTGAATATAAAGGAACGAATTCCATCCAGTATTTCAAACAACAATTGACAACATTTTACAATTTGAAGTCTATACTTATTATAGGCTTTTATAGGCTTCTATAAACTCTTGATTCCTAGAGTTATTGAGTACTTTTTGAATTACTCGAGTAGGACTTTTGAGATATATAACTTTTATAGAATTCACATCTACTCGAGTATAAAATAAACAAATCAACAGAAGGGAAAAGCAAGAAGAATGATAATCAAAGTAGTCCTTAATACTTAGTAGTAGTAGTAGTAGTAGTACTATAGTGCTAAAAATGAGGATATCGCGGTACTAAATTCCGCTTGAATGTTCGCCTTGATATAGTCTAAGATTGTGATTCGATATGCCCCCTATTTTGAGGCAGATACTGCTACTATTGGTATCCCCTAGACTACTATCATAAACCAACAGAATGTTCGTCAAAAAGCCACTCGAGACTTGACTGATATACAGCTTGTTGGGGTAGATTGATATGTTCCAAGGCATTTTCAAATAAACCTGAATCCCATAAAGCCCCAAAGTCATTATTGAAACCAGTATACATGTGCGCGTTTGCTACTTCGCCCATACCAAAAATACATGAGATTTGAGCGCTACCAGCAGGGACATCCATCCATTTCTGCACCGGTACTGTGAATTCGTTATGAGTTTGAGGAATCTCACTAGCTGGTAGACGCTGGCTCAAGTATAGTGGTAACGCCCATACTACTTTCCATTTGCTCGCAAGCTCCTGGATGTGCCGTATGGCTCTGCTCGCTTGGGGCATCCACATACTCTGTATTTCGACTAAAGCATCTAAACAACCGCGTAAGATATTCGCAGACTGTTTCCCTAGAAAATTGCGACCAGATGTTGCTTCCAGTAAATGAATTACGGACGCGCTGAGGATATAATCGATGATTTGTGGATTGGCATCGGCAAAACCATGAAACTTTTGATATGCTCGAACGATCCTGGCTATCGAGGCAGCTGCATTCGTTGCTGATCTCAGGGCAAAGTTTAGAGCCTCCGATCCTTTAGGCTCGTTTAGAAGCGGTCGGTGAATGAGCAGCAGTGTGATATGCCAATTGGAAAAGAAGGAAAGTTTGAGGCATGTAGTTCTTGCTTAGAGCTAATTTTTCATCAGTACCTGTGTAGAATTCCGTGAGGGCTTGGTGTGCTCGTTGCAAAAGACTTTGTCGTTGTTTGGCTTTTGATCGGTCCACTCAAATGCATACTTGGTCTTTGTCAGTAAGTTGTACTCTATTGATGAGGCAACCTACCTTTGATCCATGAAAGTATCCCAGAGATGCCATAGCTCGCAGAACTTGTCATGAGCTAGTTCATGAGGAAATGGATCACGACCCAAGGTACCGGTAAAGGATGAGATGCGAGTACGTTGCCAGTGAATCGTGCAATTCATTCCAAGACTGGAAGTTACCATACTACAACGTGCATGTTATCATAAATGTTTTCATAGCTTGGGTTAATGGGTACTTGCTGATCCACTGAGAAATACGCCCAAAACGATCGTGTTCGGCGTTTACGAATATAGTCGTCTGTCGTGGAATCATAGTTCAAGGTCAAATCTGGTGATCTTCCGGGTCCTAAATTACTCACATGGAGTCCAAGATGTAGGATCAACCCTGTAGCCATAGCTGGAGTGGTTCGTCAATGGTTGTTTGAGAAAATGAAAGTATGTACCGACCTATATAAGTATAGGCCATGCTATTGTTCTCCAGCATCAACTCTCGCCATGCTAATAGTGCAAGCCCTTGAACAGCCAAGTCGCTCGGATGCTCCCGTATACATCTCAATAGTATATTTTCGGCAGACATTGCATGATGAGTGCTCAATTCCTTTGAATTTGAATTTGGGAAAGAAAGGCACCCACTGAAAGCAAGGCATGATTCCGGAAGCCCAAGTCCAGCTCTGTTAAGAACGTGGTTTTCATCAGAACGAACGGCAACTCTGCCTGTTCTATAAATTGATGATAAATATTGAATGTAGTCATAAAACATTCAACGAGGTGCTGTTGTTTTTCTGAATGAAATCTGGCCTCGCCTGAATTTACATCATGACAACTTAATTTCAAAATTCGAGTCGCCGACTGCGGTTTTGTTCTGTCTCGAGGAGTACTTGTCCTTGCCCGATGGAATGGTAAACGACGGTTCGCTTTTCTCCTCCATATCCATGGTCAGCATCAATGAAGCAAGCTCCTGCATTGCAACCTGCGAGCGCAGATCATTGGATTCCTCTTCGTTGGCTGAAGTGATGACTCCAGACTCGTCAGCAAGAGAGTTCGTGTGGTCAGTACTGGCAAGTGCAGGTACGGGCAAAATCTCGTGACCCATATGCTTCTCATTGTGTTGAGATTGAGACTCCGAGGTTTGATACCTGTCTGTCTTCAAGATCACGGATATAATCGTCGTCATAATTCTTGCGTCTACAAACCTTAGTTGAGCTCGGGGCTTTGACTGATCAACCGAGAACATACTTTCGCGAAAGCTCAGGAGGATAACAGCACAGCTTGCTTCCTTTTTCACATAGGGCACAGGTTGGTTTTTGGCCTTGGCACTAATGATCGTTAGTATAGAAGGTCATACCACCATGATCAAGATTATATTATCCCGTATGTCAAGTACCTTTCGTTTATTCTTCCGATTCCTCACAAGCAACCTTGATTCGGAGACGCGTTTGTTCTTTAGCAGCCTCGGTATCCATGAATGCGGATACAGTACACAACGTGAACCCGCACGTAAGATATTATTCCGGGAAACTACAATATATCGCTGGAGGCTATAAGCTGGATTAGCTCTCTCCTTGTAACTCCTTGTAAATAATCAACATGACATGATTGAAATAATGTCATTGACTCCTCCTTACGGGTGAAAAATACATTTAGAATCCGCAGTGGAATTGTTTTCGCGGACAACCTCAATTTCGATAAACTCCGTCTCTTGTCTTGGCGTTTAGAATACACCTCATCGCCGCTGCCACAATGTTTTCCAACATGGTCCGAGCTTTCGGCTACGTAAAGTGTAGAGAATAGGCTATTTATTAGTGGCTTTGGCATTTGCTTTTTTGTCAATTTGCCTATCTATACATCTGTATAATGAACAAAGAAATAACAAAGACCACACATATTTCAAGCCAAGTGGCTTCATGAATAGATTCCTACAATCTCAACAGCCTATTGCGAAGGCCAAGACGCCGTCGTACTGTGAGTACAGTATCAGCACGAGAGCGCCTATATGTGGCTCAGTCATGTCGTGCAGGTAACAACACATCCGCAACGTAATTTAAATATATCATGCCATGCGGAAACCAGAGAGTCTCCACACACAGTCAGACAATATAAAAGGTACTCAAAATCCTTCATCCTTCATCCTACTTTTATATTAGGATCATCCTTCCATGCTCAAGAGCTAGGCTTGACACGCATGTTCAGAGACAATATATAGAGAACACCCTTACTGTCCACTACTACTCGAGTATCAACATCAATCAATATACCTATCGCCCACCATGGTTTTCCTAGCTGATATGGACGGAAAAGACTATGTCTTCACCTATGGCATCTTTGGCGTTCAACATGAAGAACTTACCCCAGGGAAAGCCACTTCCATTTCCACCCTCTACAAACTGCTTTCCTCTTCCGCCAATCGCGTTGACCATCTTCAAGACGAAAGTCACGGGCTCCCACGACATGGCCCCAAATCCACCACCTTTATCGCATATTGGTTATCCACTTCTACCTACGAATCATGGAAAGAATTACCCCCAGTAAAAGAATTTTGGGCCTCACTCCCTGCCGACGCAGGTGTCTGGCGCGAAGTCATGACAGTCCCCAAGTCTCGCTTCACATTCGCCTCTAGCCAACCCGTAGCATCAGCAATGGGAACACTACTTCCCCTCAAACAAAGTAACGACGAAGGATACTGGGGCGTATACCGTCATCGACTTTCCGAAACACCCGATTCCCACACCGATCCTTCAGATACATTTACATCATCCTATATTACTCCCGCCAAAGCCAAAAATAACGAAACAAGAAAGATTATCGATATACCCAGTACCCGTAGCTCCAAAATAAAACTAGGAAGAGTTTGCATTTCTAACCCCCCCGAAAACCTAATCTTCGTCCGCGAAGGCCAACGCCAACCACACATTCCCCCTGCCGAAACCGAAGCCTGGCTCAAGCAAATAAACCCACACGCCCAATCCTGGATAACTCATCTCGACACCGAACGCAACAAAAACGGCGTCATAGCATTTACCACGCATATCGGGCACGATAATCCCGCCCCGGGAATTATGAATGAGAAATTTGACCCCGAGGCGATTGCGGAAACGAATCAACTTGCTTATTTTTTGGACTTGGCACATTTTGAGCAGGCGGGACGTTCGCACAAGGGACATGTGCAGTTGAGGAAGACGGTTATGAATCTTTATGGACCTGGGGGTCAGTTGGAAAAAGGGAAGGCGGTTATATTTGCGGAGTTGTGTATTTTGAAGTCGAAGGATTTGGATGCAGAGTATATTGGTTGTGCGGAAGGAACGGGTTTGATGTATTTGGCTGATTTATAGTGAATTATGCAATTCATGTGTTTCCTCACCAATCTTATGAATCTCCGTCAAGTATCCCGCGACAAATAATCCTCGACTCCATTGTGATAATTCGTCAACTAATTGTTCATTGATATCCGATCAAATCCGCTAGATCATATCACCTTCTATTCTACACCGCATAATAATAATAATAATAATAATAATGAAACCCCCCAAATCCTAGGCATAAGCATCAACACTAGTCCCATGATACATTTGTCCTCCCATCCATCCATCCATTCTCTTCAGCGCATGTGCAACGGCCATCATCGATAAAAGAATCCTGAGACCGATCCCTTCCAAAACTAAACGCCTCACACATAGCACGGAGCCTTCCGAGTCAACATGTATAGCCCTCAAACCCAAGCGGTATCTTTCTAATCTCATCACGATCGATTCCACATCGCTTACACACTTCGCTCTTCCTCTTTCGTTCAATCCTTTCCTTTCCTTTCCTTTCAGCGCGATTGAGAGACAGTATCGTCTGAGAGTGAAGGAGATTTGGGAAGGGATGTTGTGTAGAATAGCTACAGTATTTCTGATTCATTCGAGTATTTGTATTTGTATTTCTGTTTGAGCAATAGCAGATCGGTCGGTGTAGATACAATTGCAATTCATATGCTTGTGTATATGTATATGTATATGTAAACTCACTCACAGATTGGATTGGATTGATTTGGTTTAGATTGAAATCAAACATTATTTGGACTGCCTCAGACTCTCAGTGTACGGAGGGCATGGCTTCAGCCAATCTAGTAGACGAGTAAGTATCCTCTAAGACTACGAGTAGGGTCTCTCAAAGACCTTTTCCTTGATGTTTATTGAGATTGGGTCTGTTAACTGGTGATCTGGTGATAGTATATAGAGATCCTCACATTCTTGAATATACCATCAAAGAAGTTGCGTTTTCGAAAATAGAACAATATATCAATATTAATATCAATACACATGCAGTATTAATTTAAACGCTTAATAATGCATTTACTTATTGTGTTCGATACAAGCAATAGAATAAGTATACTACTGCTGTATACATTCACTACTCCAAAAAATGCAAGCAGCATCCAAACAAACCTTTAGAATTGTATTAGTACACATGCACCTAATATCAAAAGAACATTATACAAAGTTGGATTTTTTAATGGAAATTGGATGTATCAAATTGTCAAAATAGCATAGTGGTACGTACTATCGTAATGATAATCATAAGCAAAAAGTAAAATACAGATGGCCTGACTCGCATGTACCGTTTCCCTGACTTTTAAAGGTTTCCTGTGACTCTCCTTGATGTATTTAGCACTTGCCACACATCATATATCTCAACCTTGTCGGTATCTCATTGTTTTTGGTCTTTGTCCAGATTCTTTTGCAACTTTTCTTCCGCTATCAATTCCTTGGCCCTTTGTAACACTTTCCTTCTTCTTCTCTCTTTCTCTCTCACCTCTGCTCTTCGCTCAGTCCTATTTTTCGCGAGCTCGTCCACTTTTTCAAGCCATTCTCTTTCCTCTCTTTCTTCCTCTTCTTTTTGCTTCTTCTTCAAGTCCTCCCTCTCTTTTAATAAAGTCTGGTAAGCTGCTTCGTTTCCAAAAGACTTATCATAACTCTCAACGATCCAAGCACAAAACTCTTCCCAGGAATTTTTCCATTCTCTCATTCTCTTACCCTTCAATCCATCCTGCGAACTTTCACCCTCTTGAATCCCCAATTGCCAATCCTCATCATTCTGATCTTCAAATTGCGACCACCTCACGCTATTTTGTGCCAGATGTCCCTATTTATGTCACGGATCAGCCTACACATTCTCACGCAAACTAAAACCAGTCCGCAGAAAAAGTACACTCACCAAACCCCCCAAACTTAGATTCCACCCCCAGATAGCCATGAAAAATTTCATTGAAACACCCGACATTTCCTGTCCCAACAGTTGCAAATCATGGCAGTTCAAACTGGCACCCACACCTTTCGCCAACAACATCGGGACCGTATGTGCACTTGCAGAACGGATTGTTCTCAAACTGTCATTCGACATTGGACAAGACTCGACCATAATGCGATGTTTTTGGTAGAGTTCCTCGAGCAACGGATGTTTAGGAAGTGAATATCCGTGACTGATACGTCGAGCGCCGAGAAGAATGGCATCACTTAGTAGGCAATGGTTAGTGGTATTCAGGGAAGCGAACGTGATATTCTGCTGTACTTACCAAAGATTATCATCATTTACATCCCCATCACCCAAGCGTTCTCCTGCATGTAGAAAGAATGAAATCTTCAAGTTGCGGAGCTCGCATTGTTTCTTGAACCAGAGCATGATAGGCGTGACATCTTCGAGCGTACGACCAAGTTCTTCTTGCCCCACAATATCATATCCCGAGATCAGATCAGGATAGATTTCTTTGACGCGCATACAATTTTCCATATCTATTCAAGGTTAACTTTTCTTGCCGAGTGAAACGAGGAAGAGAAGCATACCTGCTTTAATGTCTTCATCTTTCCAATATCTTAAGCCCGTCCAGATATTCCTCAACCCCACCATTCTTTCCCTCTTTTTTTCATCATGTTTGCAAACCTTTCTCTCTCCTCCAGTGTCACCCTTGCCATTTCCAATTCTCCGGAAACTGTATCACTCCCCTCCAACTGAAAGCCTATATTAAAAAACATCCTGATCTCTATCCACTTAACATTATCCTCAAGTAATCCTTCAAAGAGCCGTCTAAGAAAGGGTCGGAATATTGGTTCATTATGAATCATCGTATTCACCAGTCCTATGCCAGTCTGCGGTTGGGACCAAGTTTCATTGGTACCTTCGCTTACCATTCCTCCACTTACGATTGAACGCTGAGCTCTTTGAGCAATTAATCGACTCCTTAGCCAGGTGGCAAAAGCCGTTTTACCTGATTGGTGATGCACACCGGGGCGGGAAGGGTTCTGCCAATCCTTATCAGTGGGACCATAAGTGCTGTATGTCGATGCAGCGAGAGAAACTGGCACAAGCGACTCGGGTTCGTAGTCAGTATCCCACATAGTTTTCACTGCGCTTCTGGTCAAGCGAGGCTGGGCAGTGCTGTATACAAACTTTAATTTAATTTTCTTCTCCTTTTGGGCCCACGGCGAGTCCAACGGTCTTGTGGCACTAATATACATACCCGGTGTTTCCATCATTTTGTCAATGATGAAATCGATCGACGCGCAGGCTGCTCGTGACCAAGGATCAGTAAGTGCCCATCAATTCTTTTGAAAGAAAACTAGGAGCCAAATTACATTGGAAAAGAAAAGATGTGTCTGAGAGAGGGCTGGATACAAAAGGGGTGTCGAATTTTGAGCTGCTTACTAGCCAGCATGATGGGCGTGCAAAATCGCACCCTTTGGCAGTTTCTTAACGATCTCGAATATAGCAGTCCCTGCTATATCTTCTTTGATGAAAAGAAATCCAAATTCGGGGGGCATTTGTTTCATTCGTCCAGTATCAAAAAGAAACCGACGGTTGAAATCTTGAATACGAGAAACTATTTTGCTAGCTGCCTGGGCAGTAGGTGTAAGAGATTTGACGAATTCATGATCTGCATGATTAGCCTGTCGAAATTGAATTATGATATATGTATGGAAAGACTTACCCCCTCTATACTCCTTCTCATCGGCGACTAACTTCGCGCGATTGTTGGCAAACTCTTCAAGTCTTGCCGGACTTGCCATGGTTATTGGAATTTCGGTAGTCGATTGAGTGATACTGTTGATAATTTCGCAAGTATAGTTATGATTAGGAATTGCATATTTAAGAGAAATGCACCCTTTTTCATTTCCTACGATGATTGCTTTCTTCAAAGAGCCGTTTCCTTTGATTGTAAGTTCTTACTCGTTCCAATGTGCTTGTTCTTCTTTGTCTTCTGCGATACACGTAGTCCGCATCTGTTCTGGTCCATCGCCCTGCTATTTTCCTAAAATGTGCAACAAATCGCATTCTTGAATATAGATACCTCATACTTCTCGCTTCCAAAGACGAGAGCGCTAATAGGCCAGTCACGCACTGAAAGTCTGGCTGAATATCTCAAAATCTAACTCTGAAATATTCAATCCATTGTCAAAGGTTCCCGAGTCATCCTTTTCTGTTGATAGCCCGAATCTTCACCCTTTTCTTGACCCAATCACTTTCAATTTAATTTTAGCAATACAAGAGAACTTTGGAAGTTGTGGATTCGTTCCTGAATGTATGCACATGCACTCGGTACTTCATGCCGCCAGAAAGTCCGTAACTCGGGTAGACCAGCACGTACCATATACTGGTAAACTATATACAAGGGGGTAATCCAGTTTTCTTAGTTCCCGAGTTGCGGACTTTCTGGCGACATGAGTAGCGAATTATGCTTTCATCAAGGATTGACTCGCCTGCCGTATGATAAGACTTCCTTCCTGCTGGCAAGAAAAAAAAGTTTCTCCACTTGACCCAGCAATACTTAAGCTTACACTGGTAAGTAATGCCACACCGATAATGTTACTTGCGAGCCATGTGAACATTCTCAGACATTAAAATCACATTCGAGGTGATAGACGTGCCCAGACCTAAATGGAGAAATGCAAACATCTTGTTCAACCCTGGTTGCCATTCACCCCAGAAGTTGAACAGATTGTGCATTGACCCGAATCCATCTTTAAGTGCTTCGTGAGATGGATTAAAATTGATAATAGAAGTCTCCCAGCCCAATCTTGTCATTCTAGAACAAAAATACTTGAGGGACCCGCATGTACTGCATGGAAAATGTGATTGATTCCTCGGTGTTGTTGATTTTAACAAATACATTGTTATAAGGTTACTAGGTCCATAGAAAACAAGGTTTTGGTCGAGATCATGAAGGAGGATATGTTGATAGATTTCCACTGAAGTGATGAGTTAGTTTATGATGGAGGAAAACTTTTAAGAATGAAGAATAAAGATAAAGATAAAGCTTGGATATGGAAAAATGTCTTTCGGATAAGGTTAAAGTTCTGCCGAGAATTATGCGCTAGTCCTCATTTGGATATCGCCAAAATAGATACGATATTTCTCATTGATTTTCTGTTCCCCTTCACAACTTTTTCATTATTCAAACAAAAACACATCACATCAGTACTTTCAAATCAGATTGTCAACTTTGTCTATGAAAAAATGGATACAATCGTTACCGCTGAACTGAAACGACTTATTGAGATATGCATTAATGTTCCAAAATCGGTTAACTTTTCCCGCCCCCGCAAGGTCTAACAGGGCTGCTCGTCGCTCACGGTGAGCTATTAAACTTCCCCGTTGACCGCAAAATGGTGGGGAACCATCTCGTTTTTTTTTAACTTTCCTTTCTTTGTGCAATCTCATCTATCATTTTCGTTATTTTGGGTATCGTGGGCGACATGAGTTCATTCCTATGCTCCAGAGCGTTCTAAGCAATGCTTAGGATTACGGATCTGTTCCAGATTTGTGTTGGTAAGTCTCCTTGACTAGCATTTTCAAGAAACTAGTGTGTGCCATTGAGAGCTTTGTAGTGATCTGATCACGCTCTAAGATTATATATGCTTGTCGGCTTTGAGGACATGATCTAGAATTGCAAGGACTGATGTTCAGCTAAGCTGGGTCGCAACATTGGGCACTGACAAGTAGAGGAGAAGTTTTGCTCGACCTAAGTTACCCTGCCGCATCCATCATATATCAAGTGGTTATTTCCTTCATATTTTATCTCAAACCATCACATCCGCATTGAAAACACACAGGAAAGTTCCCTCGCCACTAAGCATATCATGGACCACTCGCAGGCCAATAATAGCTTTCCTTCTAGAATTGACCTCGAACAGAATCTGAATGGAGACTCTTTATTTGGGGCTCTAGGACAAGAGAAAGAGATAGAGGTCATTATCACCTGTACTTCAATTCCTAATCCACTTGCAGATGAGCCGTCCGATTCAGATTCTGAGGATGATTTTAATTATCCCGAGGGTGGATTGCAAGCTTGGCTTGTTGTTTTCGGATCATGGTGTGGCATGTTTTGCAGTTTCGGTATTGCGAATTCCACAGGTACATTTCAAGCCTATCTGTCTACGAACCAGTTGGCAGCATATTCTGATTCGCAAATTGGATGGATTTTCTCCTTATACTCATTCATTTTATTCTTCGGTGGCATCTATATTGGACCAGCATTTGATATCTATGGGCCAAGGTATTTGGTGCTACCAGGAAGTGGTTTACTCGTTCTTTCGGTTTTTCTATTTGGGGAATGTACTGGTAAGTTGTCAAACCCAAAATATGTAATCTGACAAACCTAATTATCTCAAGAGTACTGGCACTGGTTCGTTGTATTCAGTATACTTGGTGGTTTTGCCAGTTCACTCACCTTCACTCCATCAATCGCAGTGATTGGTCACTGGTTCCATAAGAAGCGTGGATATGCAACTGGAATTGCCTCCACTGGTGGCGCTTTTGGTGGTATTGTCTTTCCACTTCTCTTGGAGAACCTCATCCCGAAAATTGGTGTAAGCATATAATCTCCCCTAAGTTCGCCATCTTATACAGTACATTGCTAAGTGATTCATATATAGTTCGCATGGACAATGCGAGTAATGGGATTTATTTTCGTTTTCGTCACAGTTATAGCCAATCTCCTCATCAAACCTCGTCTTCCCCGCTCTCGAACCGCCCAAAGCCCTCACCCAAACTTTAAAATCTTCAAAAAGCCGGAATTCGCCTTCACTGTTCTAGGTGTATATCTTCTCGAATGGGCATTTTTCCTCCCAGTCACGTATATCACATCTTATGCTCTCTATGAAGGATTTCCCTCGGCAATCTCTTATCAATCTCTACCCATCATGTGTGCTGCATCAGTTTTTGGTCGTTTCTTACCAGGTCTACTTGCCGACATTATTGGTCGATTTAATACTCTCCTTCTAGCCCTCTTCCTTACCGTCTTTGCCTGCTTCGCCGTATGGCTTCCTTTCGGAAACACCTACCCGGGTCTAATTTGCTCCGCCATAGTACTTGGTTTCGCAAGCGGTAGCAACGTCGGTCTAACGCCTGTTTGCGTAGGCCAATTATGCGAGACCAAAGATTATGGTCGATATTATGCGACTTGCTATTCGGTAGTCAGCATTGGATGTTTAACTGGTGTTCCGATTGCTGGGGCTCTAATCGAGGCTTGCGGTGGTGCATATTGGGGGTTGATTTCGTTCACGGGTATATGCTATGGCGCCAGTGCTGTGGCCATGATGGTCGCAAGGGGCTATGGTAGTGGATGGAAATGGAATGCTAAATTTTAAGAATAGGCGAATCTTTGAATGCCGAGGGAACAAAATCGGGATCATGGCCTTTATGTGTAGCGTCTAATGAGTCACGACTAGGTTACAATCAGCACCCACATGTATATAGCGGTACTTTCTTTCGGAAGGCGATTCTTAATTGGAGGCGAGGCGTTTGTTTTCGAGGAAAAGCGCGTCTAATGAGTGTTTGATTACTGTCTATAATGTATAATAATGTCAGCGAATTTATGTCAACTCCCACTTTCTGCTGTTCAGAGGTTCACATTCAATTCTCTCATTTCAATAACAATCAAAGCATTCATCCCCTATTAACTTTTACCGTCTTTCCACACCACTCTCATCACAACTTCCGCGTCAGCAACCACACGAACCATCCATTCTGTCGCATTCTATCGTATCGTATCCTATCCCGTCCCATATCATATCATACCAACAACATTTTACGATCATCTACCACCCCAAACCAAAACCCAAACATTTCTCCCAAAAATAAATACAAAATACCAGCCCTCTTAAGAGAAGAAAAGAAATACTTAGAAATACAAAAGCGTCAATCCGGCAAGCCTTTCTACTTACCTATATTGCTAAGCTCTGAGCTCTGAGCTCTGATCTCAACGCCAAACAGGCCAGTACATGCATGGTACTAAAGATATAGAAATTTCGCAGGCACTTTTTACTGAAGACTAAATAAATATCTACTACTCGAGTATAGAAGTAATATCACATTATCAATTGTTTATACCTCTGTATTATAAAAACTTTCACTTCTATCCATACTACTTCTGTTTCTTCATCCCAAGTACTTGCATTGTTTCATCGTTTACAATCTTATAATATGGTGATGTACTGATGTAGTTGAGTTAATCTCGGGAAGCGATTTAGGGTTCTGTTGATACTTTTGGATATATATATTGTAAAGTAGGTACATGCACATGTTGTATTCTTTTCCTCTTGTCCTTTGTCCTTTTCAAATAGTTGTTGTTGTTGTTACTGTCACTGATCATTCAAACCTTGACAATGTAAATGTAATTCTGTGCAAGTATCAATCAATTGCAACAGCAATCACATTCCAATCAAAGCGACGACAAGTGTCTTCGAATTGCAACAGAGGTATATCAGCCAGGATGGAATTTAATTATTTATATGCACATCTCTTCGCATCGATTCGAGTTTCCACTTCGCACGCAATCCTTCAATGTCTGCAGCAGCTGAGAGACTATGTATATAAATATCTTACAGTCAGTAGAAGATTCTTTTATACTAGTATACTCGTAAGAGTACATTTTCCAGGTCTATTTTGATAAGAGGAACTTGAAGAGGTGATATGATGAGAGAAGCAGGATATATATCTAAAATTTATAAGTTACTGTTAACGCTCTTGTGTAAATGAGATATATATATATGAATTACGTATTATTTAGGTTCGTCAAGAGCATCTAATTCAAAAATCATACTTGAGTATTTCCTTTCACTTTTGTATATTGGTATTCTCGAAAATCTATTGTGAAACCATTGCCTCCTTCGATACTGAATATCATAATCGAAGAAGCTATCTAGATTCCAAAAGTCCAAATCTCTATCATTAAGGGCGAATGAGGCTGCTACTACCTACTACATATACAGCTCATATTCCCAGCTAAATCTTTTGATATAAATATTATTTAATATGTCATATTTACTTATACTCATACGATAATCACTCTATACACAACTCGGAAATGTTGGCTGAGAATCATTAATAAATAATAACAATAATAATTATTAAGTATTATATCACTATTATTATAACTAACCATGAATGAAAACAGTGATATAGATGAATTCAACACAGAAAGCAAGGACAAGTGGCATGGCGTACATATCTTTCAAAAGCGAAGATGCTACAATTTATCCTATTCTTAGGCTCCAATATCTTTGTGTCACGGTATGGCATTGCACTGATATGCGAGTATAAATATTTCTACGAGGAAAAAAAATAAAATAAAAAAAATCAATATGTTATATCTACTCATCTATTTCGTTCTTTTATTTATCTATTATTCATACTTTCATCTATTCGTCCCTCTCCATCCATACATAGAATATAGATACACATCCATACCCCAAGTTTAATATAATCTTACAGTACGTACACAATGTCAAGTTTTCAAAGAAAATAATATTACTTGAGTAACTCGTAGTACATATATAAATAAATACCTACTCTCATTCTCATGAATCTTATTATCAGATGCGAATACTAATATAGCAAGCACGAGTATTATTTGGTTTGATTGGTGATTACAATTCAGATGATTATATATGAGAGATATACTGTATACAGTACAGGGAGAGGCATTTTTCTTATTGTTTTCAATTCGTTTCGATTTGTTTGGGGGATTACTCGAGTAGGTGATGGGTTAATGGATATGATAGGTGATGGATGATGATAGATGGATGAGTAGATAGATAAATGATTTAGGGGTTCTGTGGTTGTGTGGATATGTGGGATGGGATGGGATGGGATGGGATGGGATGGAATACAATATGAAGTGAGAATCGTGATATATATTGGAGAGGTGTATTCTAGAGTGAATCCGTATACTGAGTTTCAATCATTAGAGTGATATCTATCGCATTATGACATTGTACATGTGTGAAAGGAATTTGGATGTGAGAACTTGAAGGGTGTCTCAATACTGAGTTTGCTAGTACAGAAATCTCGAATATTGATTAAAAACACCGTGACCCTTTCCGCATTAAACCTATCCTACTACCAAACATAACATAAAAAAACCCCATCGAAAAATCAAACCCCTTATTATTTCCCCTCTCTCCTATGATAAAACCCACACCTACTCATCCCACACCACCCTCAACCCCATCGGAAACGGTCCCACGACCCCCCAACTCCCATCAAGATACGCACTCCCCACCTCCGTCTCCACCGTCTTGATCCCCCCTTCCAACCTCAACCCTCTCAACCCAACAATCTCCCTAAAAACCCTCACCATTCCCTTCACCCCCACATCTCTCCCTATACACGCATGTCTCCCTGCTCCAAACATTAGATACCCTGCCATATCCCTCTTTAGATCAATTTTCTCGGGTTCGGGAAAGATTGAAGGGTCTAGATGTGCTAGGGGGAGATTGAGGAGAGCGATGGTTCCGGGGGAGGGGTGGGGGAATGTTGTGGTTGTTGGAATTTGAGTTTGAGAGGGATTTTGAGAGGGGGGTTGAAATACAATGTGTGGTGTAGATTGGTGCGAGGAGGTGCCGAGAGAAATGGTTGAGGAGGGGGTTGCGGTTTGTGGGGGATCGTATGCGCGGAAGACTGCAACAGTACCGTGGATCCTGGCTGCTTCGAGGAAACTTTTTGTTTGTGTTAGTTTCTGTTTACAATTTTTATCCTATCTTTTGTGGGGGTGATTTGGGATTGTTTTGAAGAAACCAAAAGCAAAAAGGAAAGGAAATTAGAAAGGAGAAGAAACATACTAGCGCAACAAAACATCATCAGCTTCCTTGGTATTCTCATGTGCAAGAGTGTATAGTTGTGGAAGATGTGATTTTCCGGCATCACTAAGATAATAATCTAGGACTTGTGACAGGAGCTGTGATTGATTTGCCGTCATTGCTGCTGAGGTTGGGAGACTGTGAGTTTTGAGTCAGCGAGATCTGTTAATAAACAGGAACAGGACCATGGGGAAAAGGCGTTTAGTTTAGTAAAGAAAATGAAGGATAGAAAATAGAAAAAGCACAAACATCTGTTCCCAAACCACCCTCTCAACTCCCCATCCCACCTTCTTTCCCCCTTCCACAAACCTCTCCACCATTTCCCTCCCATACACCTTCAATGCCAGCCTATCTTTTTCTTTCCCCACCCCCTTCTCAACCTGTCTTTCCGTCTCATCATCATTGACCAAACTATGCAATTTCCCCTTTAACCCCTCTACCACCTCTCCAATCTTACCTCCTTTCGTGTTCTCCATCAATATCTCACCTAGTTTCTTCGCCGCAGCTCGAGCTTCTTGATCTACGGCAAAGGACTTGGTGACGTCGAGATTCATGAAGATGCATATGAAACATATAGATAGGGCTCCATATAATTGTTCTTCTGTGTATCCATCTTCGGTATCGGTGGTGACGTTGACGTCGACTGTATTGCCCATTCCGAGTTTGAGAGGGATATCGAAAACTCCAGCTGCGAAACGGGTGAAGACGCGGTTTGCGATATCACTTACGAGATCAATCCTGTAACGTTTTGTGCTCGTGCCATTTCCATTGGCATGAGTAGAAGTGTTACCGGTCGGAATGAGAACTTTATGTTTCTCAAACAAATCGGCCGTGTTGTCGGTGTAGAACTGAGTGATGGAAGATAGCCAATCAGGATTTTCTTTATCATTTTTGTGGCCATGACCACCAGTAGGTAGATCGTAGAAAGAAGATGTTATGAGAGAGCGAGAAGTAGTATTCACAGGAGCATCGCCTGCGAGACAGAAAGGGGGGATAGTTTCAGGAGTCTTAGTTTTCGAGGAGGCGGTAGTTGATTGAGAAGTTAGAAAACCAATTGCTGGACCCCATGTTACCTAGTTTTTTCATAGTTAGCATGCTTACAATTTTCTTCCTTCAAAACTGGAATGTTGAGAAACGAACCTTCCAATTAACACTATCTTCCAGAATCCCTTTACATTCCTCCCAACTATCAACCTTCAATAGCTCCCCTTTCTTCTTCGGTACCTCCCAACTATACAATCCCTCTCTACCCAAGCTCTTCTGTATCTCAAGATTAACTTGAGGTGTTACGAATGGAAAATGTGCGTAAATAGAATTTCCCTGAAAGTAATTTGGGAAAGCTCGGAGGACTAATTTGTAAAGCACAGCGCCATCGTCAATATTAGTATCGAATTGCACTTCGTTGTATCTAATTTGCTACGTTAGTGTATAATTTTGATATGTTGGGGAATAAAGGGAGGAAGAGGAAGTGAAAATAAGGAGAAAACGTACCCCCAGTTGGTAAGACTATCCGGTGTATAATCCGTAGTATAAAACCTATCCCCTCTGACCAATCCCACCGCATCACTCAATATACTATAGCTAATACTATACCCCGTACACAGCCCACTCCCAGGAACGATAGCTGGCTTAGTTTTCTCAACCACCACACCCGGGTAAAATTCCACATCATCAGGACTCCCATAGAATTCCTTGAGTCTTTTTGCAATAGTCGGATCGGGGTTGATATCAGCAAATGATTTATGAGGTGTCAGCCCCACGAAAGAACGGAACTCATTTAGCGTGCACATATTCCAAGAACGACTTTGCAGAATCGAGAGGATTTCAATGGAACGCATGATTGGAGGGACGTTGGAGGCACCGAAGGCTCCAGAGAGATCTTCAACTGAAGATTGGAAAATTGATACCAAGGATTGGTCGTCATATGATCCATTAGACAAACGAGTAAGATTTGCGAAAGAGCGTTGAGAAGGATCGGTAGGGAGTTCTACTTCCATTGTATGGAGACCTCTGAGAAGTTCAGGAAGAGTAACATCAGCTGGCTTCTTGTTGGGAAAGAGTTTGGCGTATTCTTGGTTGGTCCATTGTTCGTCTCGTTTGGAAATGGCTGAGTGCCAGCGATAGACTTTATTTTGTCAGTTCTCTCTATGAACAGATTTCGCAAGTAAGCGTATGGGACATACTCAAATTGAACTCGGCAGTGACCTGATTCCCGACCCCTTCAGCAGCGGGTTTATTCAAAAGATTCTTCGTCTCCTCAACCCTCGGATCTAAATCCCATTTTGAAGTTGTACGGTTGAGATTTAGGATTGTGCGAACATAATCTTTCAAGACAATATTGACGTATAAACCACAAGTGATAAGTCTACCTGTTTGGAATAGATCGTTGTCATATTTATCAAAAGTAGTTTTATCCGCATCTGGTTTGGGTTTTGTGAAGCGGTTATTATCGTTGATTCTTGGGAGATAATTAGTCTTGCCTGTAGAATGAGGGGAAATAAACTTGAAATACTAACTGAGCAAGCATTCCAACCACATAATTATGGAATCGGTTGAACATAATTAAAAAACACCCTACACCGGGTGGAAACCCAAGGATTCTCTTCGAGGAGAAACAATCTGGTTTGAGTTTGCCATCCTCAAATGTTCGAACTGCATTCTGTTCTTCTTGATTACAACCATAGAGAGGTGCAAGATCCAAATAGCTACTCGTCTTCGATTTCGTCATATCATTATGATCCTATTCCCTTTGATTAGCCCCTCCAACTACTAAATACTGAAGCATAGCACGAGAAAGAAATTAAGGAACCCACCGTAAGAAAAAGATCATGAATAATGATCGTAGCCAAGTAAAACAACTGACTACTGATTCCCGTCGGACTCCCCTTGTAACCTTCTCCATTTTCATCATTTCCTCTCATCATCAACCCATCAAAAAGCTCACCCGGATCCGGCAAGTTTTTCTTCACTGCCCTTTCCGCCTTAACACTCTTTGCATACGCCGTCCCTGCCCTCCCAAGTTCCGGCATCCTAATGTTATTATTCCCCCCATCGGCATCTCGATACTTATACTTCTTATCCAAACTCCTCATCGGCGGATGCGGCAACGCATCCCAAAGCGTATTCACAAAACTCGCTGTTAAACTCTGCCCAATCCCCGAGGTTTCAGGTTGGGAAGAAAGAAGTTGCACTGTCTTTTCAAGAAGGAGTGTGTTATCATCTTGAACTTCTTTGATTTCAGAGGAAAAGAGGTGGAGAAGTGTGTTTGCATCTTCTGGGGTGATAGATTTGAGATCGCGGAAAATGGATTGGATGCTATGAGTTGCGGAGTCGATGTCGGAGATGATTGTTTGATTGTTTTTGGAGGTATCAGAGGTCCATATGGGCTGGGATGTGTTGGATTTGGCGGACATAGTTGTGGTTTGTGTGTGAGATTTTGGTTGAGATATTGATGTGATATTATCCTTTTGTAAAGGCCCCTGATCAAATCTATGACTCTTCCCAAACTTCACCTGAAGTTTCCCAGTAAAATAATCTCGATATTTTGTAATGAGATGATTCTTTTCCTTCACAGGATGCTCCACCAACTTTTTATCGTCCACAACCCCAATCTCCCCATTCTCCACATCCATATTTAAAGTCCTCTTGTCCCTCAATGACATAATAATGTAAATCGGTGCTGACATGTACTTCATGTACCTTGTACTCTGTGTACTCTGTGTACTCGGTATCCTCTGTGTTTTCTGTGTCCTTATGTACCCCCAACAAGGAACTTAGTGTGGGTTTTGTACAGCCTTACACCTGCAGTAGTAACCAACAGCCCGATCTTTTAAAATGCAAAATAACTCGATCAGGATCTATAGGAAAAATGCCGTAGAAGCCCCATCCTATAAAAGCCTCGATAGTCACAGATGCCGTAGAACCCCCAAACTATGAGAACCCCCATAGCCACCAATGTGCCACCCAGAAATAAACAATCAAGGTATCGTGATTCATGACACAAATATTTCAGCTCTCCTCCCTCACCCTCCCCCTTCACCCTACCCCACCCCGTCACACCACACATCATACCTCCCACCCCCACCTCTACCTACCTACCTACCTAACACCTTACCTAGTACTTCCAACCTCAGCTCCAACAGAGCTTCAGCCACCAAAACCCATCACCAATACCAATAAACATACCCATACCCATACTATATCCAATCTTTGTCTACTCGAGTTTATGCAAAGTAAGTAAGTGTGTACATACCCATCCCATTCCATCCCATCCCATCCCATCCCATTCTCTCTCACCCATATCCTCACCCTCACTCCCACCCTCACCCTCAGCATCCACAAAAGGTTTAATAAACAACCTTGGAAGTGATACCGACATTCAGACTTTGACGGATGACTCTTCTGCAGAGTAATTCAGGTGTTTTTTACGCCACCAATTGGCCGTGACATAAGGTTAAGGTTAGGTGTGACACCGAACACGAGTTACATTCTTCACACTCTTCACCGGGAACCGAATCACGAGCCAACCCACAGCCCGCAACCCGCAACCCGCTTTCCCGCCCCTGCTTATACTGTATGGCCCGGATCGGAACGTCACACTACACTACACTTTTGTGCCACTCAGATGATGTGATAAGCCTCGGTATTATTTCTCAAGTACTGTAAGAATTACTGAGTAAACATGTCTCGCCATAACTATCGTACTCATCCGTAAATTATACTTTTGCTTTGAGAAGATTACCGGATTTCTATTTTCCTTCTTTAAAAAAAAGTCTATAGATGAGATGAATCCAAATCAACCTGTCACACACCCTGACTCCCACCAATTAAGATGATATAATACCTCCGTCATGTTTAACCTTATATTCCGTCCCAAAATAATACCTAGAATGTCTCCCATCCATCATCATCATACGCCCATTGTACATCCCGAGATATCTTTGAACGCCTTGCAAATGCTCCCAATATACATTTTCCACCCCGTTTCACAATAAATTATCAATCTTCCTTCACAATGCATTTCTCCTCTAACCACTTTGCAAATTGTACCGAAGGAGTATCCACGGCCCTCCAAAAAACATCGGCGGCCCAGAAAATGGGTATTGCCAAACCAAGCATTCCGGCCCACCAAGCAAACGTTCGAGCCCACATACCAACGTCCTCGAGTCCACCTACTGACCACCAAACATATGGCATCCAACGATGACCAAATACGTCGAGAACCGGTCCATGCATAAGGTATAATGCATATGAAATATGACCAAGATATTGCGCTGGTCCAGAGGTGAAGAATTTTTGCAACAGAGGAAGTTGTTGACAAGCAAAGACAGTTTGCATGGCCCCTATCGCGAACCAAAAAAAAGCTTGTTCCTCCTCTCGCTTCTGGGACCAAAATGGCTCCATTGTGTAAGGCGCAATTTGACTAAGTCCAGGAGTCATCATTACATCATGGTTTGGCCATCCTGCGATCCACATGGCAAAGATAAAGTTGGCGGTCCAAAATGCATAGACGGCTGATGTTTTCCATGAACTGGAAGATTCTTCATCCGAGACCGGCATCTCCTTATTGAGGTCTCGTTCAGCTCTTGCTTGTTGAATCAGTCCTACTTCTGCCACCAGCGCGCCACCAATGAATTCGAATGCAGCCCATCGTCCACACCTAAGACAATAGAACATAATCAAAACGAACATGACAAGACGAATCCAAACTTTGCATCTGGCTAAACCGGTAATAGTAACGAACAGAAACATGGATTGTGCCATCTCAATGGGAATGGTCCAGACATGAACATCGTACTTTGGCCACCACAATTTGTCCCAGTCCCAGGAATAACCTATCATCCAGACCCCCTGCATCCAATCCATAATTTGAAGGGAGAGCGTCTCAAGTCCTACAACTCCGACCCAGCGCATGTGAATAAATATCATAACCATGAACGTAGAGGCGGTAGTGGGTAAGAAAAGTCGCATTCCACGACGAAAGACGGATGATGACAAAGTTGTTTGAAGACTGCCATAATTTTGTGCTCGAGCTAGCTTTAAGGGTTTCAAAGCTAGAACAAATCCAGATATAACGAAGAAGATGTGAACCATGGGTCGTCCGCTGTAAAGTACTCGAAAGAAAGGAAGTTGCATGAAAGAGGATGGAACAATATCACCTATTGGCAAGCCATATGAGGGTAACATGAATTGTACATTATTCTCGGTGAAATGACAAAAGAATACAAGCAGCGAAGCGACTCCACGAAGTCCATCGAGGTAGGATGTTGGGTATAACCGTTGAGGCTTAAAATGAGCCGGTCGAAGGCGTCGTTGTAGAGGCGAAGGTAGAAGGAAGAAGAGGAATCGTGTAAGGAATAATCCCAATTGAGATAATGCATCGTTCTTGGCAGCATACGTTGGTGATGTTGGTGAGGAAATTCCATTTGGATGGATCAATTCGTAATTTGGTTCAATGTTATTTGGTAAGAGGCCTACAACTAAGCCTCGAAGTGATCGTAACATGATGACCTCATATATGTTACTGCAGCTTCAGTGTTGTGAAGCCAGACAAGATGAATGGAAGACTAGGAAGATATGTATCGATGGGACTGTTCCTTTGGTGGATGGATGGTATTTGTCCTTTTGACTGCAGATCTGTGAAACACCACTTGAGTAGATTAAATTCTTCTCAATCAAGAATCAATCCTTGAAATGCAATGTGAGAGACCAAATTGTTCCTCCTTTAAGGTCGTAGTACAATACTTGCAAACGGACGAATAGAAATCCTCTATACAGAAGGTTTCGGGTTGATGCAACTGCAACTTGCTGCAGGGGAAAAAGCACAAAAAGTAATGTACCCTGACGCCACCAGATTTCGAACCCTGCACGAAATGGGTGTAAATGTGTGGGTGAAGTTTCAAGAGATGAAGAAACAAAAGGTGGAGGAAGATTTGTAGAAAGACAAGATTTTGAATGGCTTTGGAGGTGTGATTGTAATGACTGGATGATCTGAGGTTGAAGACTGTCTATAGTACAGTACTGCTACCATATGTGGAGGTATAACTCGACTAGTCTTGTGTTTAAATATTCGACTTGTGGAGTTGTTGAGTTGAGGCTCGAGCGAAAGTTGTATGCCAGTGCAGTGCAGGAGAGTGCCTGGTGGTGGAGGAAGCAAAAAGGAGAGAATGTGTAAAGAAGAAGGTGAGTATGAGAAGGTAGTAGCTAGAGAAAGTCGTAGACCACCATGGTATCAATCCACTAAGCCAATTAGAATTAAATTTGACAGGTTCGATCCAAAGTAGTACGTACCTAGGTAGTTTTAGCCTTTTTATAGAATTGCTTAAATATTTTGGGTAAGGTTATGGGTTATGATTACCGAAATATAATCCTTATCGGATAGTGAGTGTACAATAGCCATTCAATCTATTCTTTCCATACAGCGAATCTATAGTGACTAAAGGTGGTATCCCGTTCTCTAGACATTCATATAACGAATCAGTCCTTCTACCATGATTTAATTGGCGATTTATTTCAACCTTTCAGGTATTTTATAGGTATAGCACGGAACACTGCAGCGGGAAACCACATTTAACCCTACCTATATCAATCTTGTCAGGGAAGGGATCCAGCATGGGTCCTTGATAGAGTTTGTTTCATCCCCAAAGGAAAATACCAAAATACCATAATAGAGAGAAGATCGAAAAAGGCCTTGTTTCTTTTCCTTTGTTAATAAGAATCAATTATCTCTTTGGTTTACCTTACACTGTATTACTTACTACTTGCTACTAGACTTCCTACCAATCCATTTCAAAACATTAGAAAGTAGTCAAGAATCTGCAAACACTTCATTATTACCCAAAGATGTTCCATTCCATCCAAGTTCCTAACTTTCCCTCATCATCTGAGACTCTTCTTCTAGATGATCTTCGATAACACAAACGTGGCCGTTCTATACATATCCACTCTAACCAACCATTTAAGCTTACTAGAACTACCGGATTATCTCAATCAAAGAAAAGTGGACGATGATGATATTCAGACCACAATCTTGAAATATCCACCATACCATAAAGAAGGCCCATCCAGATCCAAGGAATCTCGTTTTACCAAGTTGAATCAAGCTTTTGCGGAGAAACTCAAAGGATTCATGAAAATACTGTACTATACTTACTATACTACTCGAGTACTGTACATAAACTTTATAACGATACATAAGCGAGAAAGCCCTGAACCTTAATATGGAAAATATACAAATAGACCCAACAATACACACCTATTTCACAGGACTATTATAAAAAGATAAGTAAGTTCATTACAATAGTTTCAAAGACCTAGAATACATCCATCCATCTATGATTCTCACATCAACTCATAAAAGATCACGAATCTCATCACAAAAACTGCCAATTTCTTTTTTATTAAACTTTGGTTCCAGTATAAATACTTCGCCACCAAAGATCGAAACACACAACTTCACAGAAGTGAATCTCTGTAACACTTTCCGTTCTCGATTTCTATGGATCCTGAATTTAGCCCAGTTTATGAATTCGAATGGTGGTTGCTCAAGAGATGGGGATTTTGCTGTCTATTATATGCAATATGATATTTTTTACAATTTATTTCCTGGTCTTTGTGTGTGGGATATACTCTACAAGTACTCTGAGTATGATTGTACAGGTAATCTTACAAAGTTCCTTACTGTAACGCCTACGAAGTCGCGGCAATAAAAATTGATGGTATAATTGCTTGGTACCAGACATCATTCTTGAACCCATACAATTAATTGCATTGCACGAGTGCCGATATGGCATGTTGAGGCTTCGTGTCTTCGTGTACCTACCTTACCTACTTGGGTATGTTTCTGTGGTGTGGTTGTATATGAAAATTCATCGTGTTTCGTACCTGCCAGCAATCATAGTAATATAGAATACCCATACCGGTACCAAACCTGCTTCTGCTCTCAAGTGAGAGGAGGCTCACAGAATCTCAACGAATAAATTAATTTCTTTGGACGTCGTCTCTAATCCCAAGTTGTCGTGTCACGTTCATAGCTGGGGGCTCATAAAAAGTTATCATGTACTAGGTATCCTCGGGAGATGATTCCTTACCTCTACCGCAAAGATTTTCTCATCATCTGCTCAGAGTTGTGGACAGTACGAGTGATTGATGCGTCAAACATAAATCTCCATTCATTTTGGAATTGCGTTCCTTGACTGATAGATATCTCTTCACTTCATGGCCTCATTACGTTTATTGATCTGTTAATTGAGCGAGGTAAGATTACAGTACTCGTGTACTAAACAACAACTACTATTAGACGAAGACCTGTTTTACACCAGTCGATACCTACGCTCCTACGCTCCTACGCTCTGTTGTAAAGTGACGATTGGACGATTGGACTAAAAATGGGTCGACCCCCTAGTGAACATACCGTTTAATGGCATACAAGTATCATTTCCCAGTATAGGAGGTGCTTCTTTTTAGAGCTTCGAACGATCAAAGATTCACCAGATATGGTCAACCTATAAGTAGAATACAGTTATAAACGATAACCAATTGTTATAATCTCTGATAATTTCGTCGGGGTTGTTGCCCTCTCAGAGTTTACCAGTCACCTTTACCGGTTCATAGCTCGGATTCAGATAGCCCTCCTCCGCGAAGAAGGAGAAAAAGAAAATGTGTAAAGCGAGAATGATCTCTCTACAGAATATTTGATAAAAATCCCTACTGACGAATTCGCCAGGAGGGAGAGGAAAAGGACTAAGTAATTTAGTATTTACTACAGAGGAACTCTTGACTCAGTCACTCAGTAGCAAGTTGGAATCCTCTTTACGCTCCCCGTTTTCTTTCATATTTTCAATTGGACTAATTTCCTCCTTCATTTTATTTCTCGCCGCTGCTGGGACATCAAACTATGCAATTTTATTTTATATCGCTGTCGTTACATTACACTACATTACATTACATTACCTAAACCCAGCATTCTCACCATCTTTCTAACTCAAGTCTCGTCACTGCAATACATGATGGACATGATACATCCACATTCACATCCACATCTCACACTCCAACCACCTAATTACCCATTTATCTGATAGTCAACGTATCCGAAGTCGAGCATTCCATTCATGTATTCATGTATACAAGTTTGACTATCCATTCTAAGAAGACAGTGTTGTAAGAAAGAAACGAACAATCTCAAAAGTAAGTGCGCTTGTAGAGTTTCTATGCGTTTGATAAATAGGAAGGAGAGGGTTAATATTGAAGTCTAGCTTGGATTTAAGAAAGTGTCATCATTATCGCCCTACTTTTCTGTTCCTTCTCCATTCATCATTCAGTAACTTGAGCGCCTCACTGCTTATCTCATCTCATCTCTCATCTCCTCGTCTCATATCCACCATCTCACTATTCCAGTCCATGATTATTCGACATCCAAATCACGACTCCCAATCCCAATCCCAATTCTCCTCACTCTTTCACTCTCTCACTCTCTCACCCTTGAAATAGTACTCATATAAAACCCATTCCATTCCATTCCATTCCCCTTTATCAGTAACCACAGTAACCAGTTGAATTGAAATCACATATAAAATAACCAATAATCATAATCATAATCACTCTAACTGACCAAAGCCCACAAAATTAAACACAATACAATAACTTCTTCACCAGGAGCCTCCATCCAATCCAATCCAATCCAATCCAATCCAATCCAATTCTCCATACACTTTTACTTATTTACTCAAGTACAAGCACACGTAATGTAATATAATCCAAAGACGAGCGGGCGACGAGAAAACATGTCTCATACTCAAATCACAAATCACACTACACCACACTACACTACACGGCGTATAATGATTGAATACCACTTGGTATTTACGCATCGGATATGATAGTCTTATAGCAGACTTACCTTAAAGCATCGTTAAAAATACGATCACTTCCATTCACATCCCAATCATCGCTCTTTACAACGGAGCATTTACAAGACAAGGAAACCTCAGAATGGGTCAGTTGTACTCGTATATGCAAACGGAGATAGTGAGTGAACCTATCCTATCCTATCCTACCTATCGTAGATTATTCAATTACGAGACGTTTATACTCATACCCGGTCTTCGGTCACGAGACATCGATATTTTCAGATGGATGCGAAATTCAAGAATGGCTAAGCATTTTTTAATAGCTGGACTTACCTTACCTTACCTGAAACTACTTTTATCAGACACAGCGAGCGAGGCGGCATTATTGAGTATGAGAAATAGTGAGAGAGTATTTACAAAGTTGTAAATTGATGTGACTCTCACTGGAATCTGTCTTGATTAAGATATAGAGTATATACTCGAGTAGATATGAGTTCTCGAAATCTATATAGTTTTTGTATGACTCCCAAATCCGCATCATGTTAAAACCCTTATTTAAACCTATCCCGATTCCCTACCAAACTCTACTTTTAAAATAAATGATGATTAAAAAGCCAGCCTCCCGCACCCCTCAAATTCAACTCTAGCTAAAAGACAAGGCGAATGATGGAGGGGTCTTTGAGATAGGCCACAGAACCACTCCAAATGAACCATCATTGAGTCCCCAGAAGATCCTTAATGAACGATTTCAGTAATAGAATCAGATGTGCAACATGACTTTGAGGATTGCCAGAAAACGCTGTCTTATTGGTTGAGATTGCCTTTAAGCTATATCGGTGGTGGCGTATTCAGATTGATTGCCACTTGGTAATGTCATCACTGCCTGATAGATGAATTGGTGAGCTGGAAATAAGATGGATTTCTTATTTTGGATTTGCTGCAAAAACTGTTCTGGTGAACTAGTTGCTGATAACGGTGGTGCCTTGTATGGGTGCATTTTATTATTCCATACAACGCAAAGTCAGTTTGAGTGACTACCGCAACCCGTGGATAATCGAAAATTGACGTGGACACAATACGAGAAACGTTCGACTTATGTATTAAAACACCATGATGAGCTTCGAGTGTTCTCACAAAACCCGATGATTGTTGCCCATGCTTCATTTATTCTTCCTACAAGTCCTCCAATTTCGCCCCTCCCAACCTTAACCTACAAGAATGCAACCAACGCAAAAGCACTAGCAACGCTTATACCAACAACTGCCCATCCCGTCTTAATAACCTGAGAATTCTTGAAAGTCGTTCCCATATCCCAAGCCAAATGTCTCAATCCATTGAAAGAATGATATGTGAATGGTAAAGCCAGCGAAAACTTGGCCAGAATCTTTGCAGCCAAAGGCCAAGCTCCAAATGCAGCCACCAAACTCGCAGTATCCAAGTGCCATCCGAATAAAGGCGAAACAAGGTATGCAGCACCGAAAACGTAGAAACCTCCCGAGAGCACACAGCCGGTGATACGGTTGAAGGCGGACATAATCCAGGGAATTTGAGGTTGGTAGATTGTGAGATGAGGGGAGGTAGGCCGGAGTTTTCGTTGCTCGACGAGGATGTTGTAGCTATCTTTGGGGGTTAACTTTTCGGTGGTTACTGGTCTTGGGGAATGTCAGTTGTTGTCAAGCTTGTGGGAAATGCTTTGGAGGGGCAAACCTAGTTTGCATTGATGCGCCGATGGCTGCGGGAGCTGCGATTCTCCTCATGGCTAATTGGGAAATAAGTGATGGCTGCCCAGCAGCAACTGCGAGAAAGGTTAGCAGATGAGCGATATGAATGGGTAGGGTAGTCCGGGGTTCGAGTTGGAATGGTATCCAGAATGGACCGGGAGACTTACGCCGGCGCAGCGATTGTTGAGTTGCTTTTTGTGAAAACATTTTGATTAGATTAATTAAATTCCTAAAGTTGTCGCAGAACAATTGAAAAGGGATGGATTGCACAAAGATACAATGACACAAGAATCTTGATATTATCGTCGTTGATGCGGAAGGTATCGGTTTCCGGCGCCTCGGTTATGTTCTTCTATGAATTGTAGACGAATCAAATCTCAATAATTTCAAAGACATCAATGACTAAGGTGATATATCACGTGATCTATAAGCTTGGGTCCTTTATATATGAAATTTTCGCGATCAAAACTTTTCTTTCCTCTTCATGAGCATCAATCCACGACGCTGCTTGATCTTCAAAGTGGTAGCGCTAGGGATATGACACGCCGGTAGCGTTATGCTATTGGTACCGTTATACCATATGTTCTGAGAAGGAAGGATCTGTCGTTAATCTCGACCTCGAGGAAATTAATCTCGTTGTTGTTTCATTTTATGATCTATATATACCAGCTTCCAAGCTGGTTGCTGTAAGCAGTCGGAATGTGAAGCAGACTATCTGCGGCAGCATCATGATGTCCAATATTACTATATAACAATACGCTCCTGAAAAGTATCTTGATCGATTGTCTCCATTCGCGTTCCCTTCCCAAGTTCCTCTAACTCTTCCGGGCACAAATATTATCATGAACTCCCACAAAAATTAGAACCAATTTTGGTAAATGTGCAATATCTGTACGAGTAAATACCTTTATGCAAAAGCCCATTATTACATGATTACATGGCGGGGCTGTTAAACCCTTGCTACCAATTTGGAAAAACTATTATCCATAGGTATGCCAAGGTGTGCGGGGTTTAGTAGAATCAAGTAGAATCAAGTATAATTCAAATAAAGCTTCGGGAGGTTTCCTTCCGTCATCCCGAATGTACTTGTCTCCTACCTTAAGTTAAGTCCAGCGACACTCGTGAATCGATGGCCTCATGTCTTTACATGGTATACATGCAAGTTGTCTCCAAATAAAATAAATCGCTGTTGTATCCCCGCAGTAGGTATTTAGCCGTACGATATGAGATCTTCCAGAGGTCCGAAATATGCAAGTCGAAGAGAGACTATAAAGCTCGATTTCGCAAGTTGCGAAAGTACGTGAATCTTCAAGACAGGTGGATGCACTCATTACTTCTCGCTCTACGAAATGATGTTCTCATCTAAGATCAACTATCTACTTGGCGTTCATATATGCTTCCGCTTTGCACAATGTGCAAGTTCTCCAACTGCTACTACTGCCAATACCTACTTAACCAAAGTCTACAATGTCTCCGCCGCGACGACAACTTTGACTTATGAGTACACTAATGAGGAATTGGCAATGCTATGGAACCAAGTGGGATCAATTGCGGTAGGACCGATCACGACGACGGTGGAGCCAACACCAGAGCCTTCATCGTACCCTCGTCCAGGAAGCTTCCATCCTTTAGTATGTCAATGTCCCACCATTGAAAAGTCCATTTCTGATGTTTTCAGGTACCAACCTATGATACCACCCTCAATAACCAAACTCTACCCAACGATTTCATCTGGGGTTTAGCAGCGAGTGCATATCAGATTGAAGGAGCTGCGAAAGACGAAGGCAAAGGGCCCTCCATTTGGGATTTGATCGCACATCGGGACTATGGAGCTGTGGCAGACAACTCGACGGGTGACATTGTGGCCAGTCATTATTGGCTATACAAACAAGACTTTGCTCGTCTTGCTAAATTGGGAGTTCCGTACTTCTCTCCTTCGTTTTCTTGGTAAGTATTGTATGGAATCGATGAAGTGTGGGGTTGCTAATGTGAAAGAATTCAAGGCCGAGATTCTTCCCTTTTGGAAATGGCCCAGTGAACAAACAGGGCGTTGAACATTATGATGATGTTATTGCCAGCATGGTCGCTAATGGAATCAAACCTGCTGTCACATTATTCCACTGGGGTATTTCGTCATCCGCAGAAAGAGAGATGAGTATGCTAATTAATTTTAGAAACACCACTCGCTCTATTCAATTCATACGGAGCCTGGACCGATGAGCGAATCGTAGACGATTTTTTCAATTATGCCAAGTTTGTCATCAGCAGGTATGATAAATATGTACCAATCTGGTATACATTCAACGAACGTAAGATTTTTCCCACTCACGTATGATACCTCTTCCTGACAATTATGCACAGCCCAATATTGCAACTGGCAATACTCCTTGTACCCCGCCGGTAACACCAAAGGAAACTACCCCGCCTACCACAATATCACCGGTGGTCTCCCAGCTCGTATCGCCTGTTCACACTACAGCATTCTGGCCCACGCCAAAGTAGCCAAATGGTATCACGAAGAATTTCACGGCGCCGGTCGTATAACTTTCAAAAATTCCGGTAACTACTACGCACCTAACAGTACCTCCTCAGCAGACCTCGACGCCGTATCTCGCAATTTTGAATTCGCATTAGGTTGGTTCAACGGCTGTTGGCGCGATGGTGATTACTCCCCCATGTTAAAAGAAACACTGGGATCGCTCCTCCCCAATTTTACTCAGGAAGAAAAAGATATGGTAAAAGGAAGTTGCGATTTCTTCGCCATAGACGGCTATACCGCCTTCCTCGGGACATCCATCCCCGGCGGCTCCGCAGCCTGTGCTTCTAACTCCTCCGACCCCGCATACCCCGAATGCGCCAGCTCAAGTTCCTTAGCCGCAGATGGATTTCCACTAGGACCAGCAGCCGACGAAGGAGTGAGTTGGCTAAGTAGCACGCCAGTAGCTATCCGACAATTCTTGAATGTTATCACGAAAGAGCTTTTTCCAACAGTGGGCGATATAGTGGTGAGTGAGTTTGGGTTTGCCGAGCCATTTGAGGGGCAGATGGGGAGTTTGGGGGAGGTGTTGTGGGATTTGCGACGGGCAGATTATTATAGGGGGTTTTTGGACAGTATTCTCAAAGCGAAGGTGGTAGATGGTGAGTTCTCCTTACTCGTATCTTACTCGTGCTCTTGTGCTGATGCGTAATTTTAGGTGTAAATGTCACGGGTGCATTTGGTTGGGCCATCTTTGATAATTTCGAATGGTTCGCGGGAAGTAAGGTGAAGTTTGGGCTGCAGTGGTTGAACCAGACTTCTTTGGAGCGAATTCCAAAAGCTAGTATGTTTCAGTTCTTGGATTGGTTTGATGCGCATGGAGGAGTCAAGATTGGTGCGGGTAGTTTGGGAAATGTCACGAAGAGAAACGATGGTTGAAGTTTTGAAGGAGAAGGGCATATAGATAGAGTCGAGAATAAAGGTGGCTTATTTTAAAGCCAAGAGATTCATTTACTCATCTAAGACATAATCGTGATCATCACCACTATCTGAGAATCTAATTTTCTAGTTTCTCCGCGAAGCCTTTATCTTCAAGCTCTTTCGAGTTTTCATCAGGCACAAGCGTAACTTCCGACCCAGTGCCCGTGGAATCAGGCCCTAAATTATTCCAGGCAACTTTATTCTTCTTCCTCTCTCCCGCCTTTTCACTTTTATACTGATAGCCCCTAATCCTAGGTCCTTGTCCGCTCTTCTCCGGTAGCTCGCTATCATAAATTCTGGCAAATTCCTTACAGTCCTCTTCGAACGTGCCTTCTTTAATACTATGTCGTATCGAAGTGAAGAATTCCGAAAGAACATGATGGTTGTGGACTTGAATTAGGACCCAGCCGAGCATTTCTTTGGCGGAAAGTAGATGTTGGATGAATGCTCGATGGTGCGAAGTGCATGCGTAGCATTTGCAAGATGTGGATAAGGGGAGAAGCGAGCAAGAGTGGGCTGGAGTCCACATGTCGATACCTAGGGAAAGGACGGAGCTACCTTCGTTGGAAGATGGAGATTGAGATTGAGATGTTGTGGGAGATGGGAATTCGAAGCTTAATGCAATGCCGGCATCTGTGGCGAAGTTAATGAATGGGATTGTGAAAATGTCCATTCCAAGTGATATTTGGCGAAGGACGTGATGGGGAGATGATGGTTCATCTAGTGAAAGACGTGGAAGTGAAGACATGGTTGTAGTCTCTGGTATGTCGGGGAGTAAGTTCGAGTCATAGAAAGCTAGACCTGAGATCTCATCCACGAGTTCGTCAGATATGTAATTTATATACTCCCACTGACTTTGATAATCTATGGGCAATACTGGCGCAAATACTGGCTGATCTTTGAATTTGTCGCTCAAGAGCTGAGCCAACCACTGCCCACTTCTATCGCCCATCTTGGCAGTACGCTTCGCTCCCGCTATAGTGCTATAGGGCACATCGGCAAGTGCAATAGCTATATCTGGACGTAACGTCTCGATTGAATCGATATAGGACTTGTTAGAAAGAGGTTGGAATCCTGTCGAAGTGAAGACGGAAATGGCTGTATTACCGTTACCACTAGGAGCTGTAATAGCTGGTGTTCGTCTCGGTGCCAAGAGAGATATAGTTGATCTAGACAAGGAAGTAAAGGCATGAAGCGGTGGTTCTGGTCCGGGATATTTTAAGATAGGAGATATGGTTGTTTTATTGCTCTTTTCTATGACTAGAAAGGATCAGGCCAGAACGAATATAAACACGTGATAAAAGGATATGAAACCTACAGTCTTCCAATGCGAAATGGACACCTGGTACTCGTGCATGTGCTGCAATCACATCTGGCGTCATATGGGGTATAACACCTCTAGATGTGATAGCTATAAAATCTGGGGTTTCCAGATCTTTCCGTCCTTCCACGCTAAGTCTTCCGAGTCTGGGTCCAAAAGTATTATGATCCAAGGTACTCAAGATTTGAAATCCAAGCCTTGTGGTATTCTTGGGAGCCATATTGATGGCAGATAATTCGACAAGATGTGAATAGAGCAAAGAAGGTCGATGAATATCGCCAAAATACTGAGTTTTTTGCAGGCCAGCAACCCTCAGATTGTATACAGAGCTTCCAAATTTTTGACACAAGCACTTGCAGACTTCATAGACATCTCAAAATTTGTTGTTTTGGGACAATCTGGTATGTTGGCGTCGAAAATAGATATATCTGGCCAGAGTACACGACTTATATTTTTTTATATATTGGAGGCTCGAATAGTACTAGGGTGGACGATTGATGCTATCCCAGGAACGGTTAGAGCTGTACACTTATCCTTATCCGTGTCACAAGTGTAACATTCCTCGAGTACAACACCTACTCACTCTGTACAGGGAGAGGGAGGCTGTACCTTTTGTACCTTTTGTTTATCAACTATCAATACAATACTGTACCACAGACTACAGTACGAAGGATCTGGGCTTGTCACAAACATTTAGTTGTTACAGAATTTCCTGGTTTAACATTATCAATTTTGTCATAATAAGCAGGGAAATAGAATCGAGAGCGCGCAACCTTCGGGAACATCGGATCAAATTATTTCAAGTTTGAGACTACAACTAAGGCAATATGGGAGATCAGAGTAGTCGTGGCAATGGCAGACAGAATTTCACAAACAATGACCATCCCGATGATCCAATTGAAGATCCTTCACTTACCCAACTTTTACCCATGAACGAAATATCAGACGACGATTCTCCTTCTACCCCTCGTTTCTTACAAGATCAGTCTTCCTATCGATACCTTAGATGGGTTCCAATTCCTGTCAGACGTATCATTAAACAAGCCGTCCATTGGGCTTACGGGCCAGATCCGCCGCGGATAAATGTAATCAAGCCATGGTTTCCATGGTTACAGGAAGCACCATTGCGACTTTTGGATCGATACATACCCAAGAGAAGACATAGGGTATCACTTCTTGTAGCATATTACTTTTGTTGGATCTTCACATTTGCTCTTGTCTTACGCCAGAGTACACTTGCTACCGAGATAGAGGAATGGGGAGTACCTGGCAATATTGGATGCGGGAACACATATTGGGTAGCTGGGAATAAGTGTGGACTGAATGGAAATGATTGCCGCCCTTTCAATGGAAGCGGATTCGCATTTCGATGTCCCGCAAATTGTGCCAGCGCAAAGGTACTCAATCCTCGAGCTGTGGGAGCGCAGGACATCAACTACAGGCCCTTGGTGATTGGCGGGCCTACAGACGACGACACCACTGCCGTCTATCGGAGTGACAGCTTTATTTGCGGATCTGCAATTCATGCTGGGGTCATCTCCAATACCAAGGGAGGTTGTGGAGTCGTGAATCTAGTTGGAGAACGACACAGTTATCAGAGCTCGAATCAGCATGGGATCAAAAGCATTGGTTTCGATTCAACCTTCCCATCGTCATTTGCATTTCAGAAAGGAATCAATTGTAAGGCTAAAGATTCGCGCTGGTCGCTACTATTTGTTTCTCTCACATTCACAGTATTGCTGTCGGTCTTCACAACGTCCCCTGGTCTCTTTTTCTTCTCCATCTTCACTGGACTTTTTGCTCATACTGGTCTTGGCTCTGATCCACCTAATCACAATACTATGGTCGGACTGGTTTCAAACATTCTAGGGAAGTTCCTACCCGCAGCATTTTGCGCTTTCGTCATATATAAATATATGGGTGTCGAACGTGCCTTAAGTGGGCTTACGGCTCAAATTGAAAAGACAATCTTGTGGTTAGGCGCGTGCTGGGTTGGGGCACTTTCAAACTATACATTTGAGTGGATTCCTCTTCAACGTTTGAACGCTCACGATATCAACCAACAGCCAGGTGCCAAGCTTGCTCTTGCACTTATCATCATATCCCTTATCGTTATTATCGTGAAGCAAGTATTCTTCTTCCGCATGGAAGGTCGTTTGATTCGCTTTCTGGGATTATATGGGATATTTGTTGGCGCCATACTTTTATCACTCCTGATTCCCGGTCTCAATCTTCGAATACATCATTATATTCTTGCTCTTTTGCTGTTACCGGGAACCAGCATGCAAACCAGACCTGCACTTTTATATCAAGGATTATTGGTCGGCCTGTTCATCAACGGCATTGCGCGATGGGGATTTGATCCTGTGCTTCAAACCTCTGCAGCACTCCAGGGAGATTCGCAGCATAATTCTGCGCTACCCAAAATCTCATCTCCACAAATCTCAATTGGTAGCAATGTCTCCACTATATCATTTTCCTGGCTTCCACCACCTGAACCATTTGACGGCATCAGTGTGCTAGTTAATGATGTAGAACGTTTCAGAGGATACGCGGATGAAGGATTCGCAAGTGACAAACATTTCGTTTGGCATAAAAACTCTTCTTTGTTACAGCCCGAATACTTTAGGTTTGGATACATGCAAGGCTCCAAAAGTTGGGATTACACGAAAGCAGGAATTTGGCTTGCCGATTGGACGTGGACAGAGATGAAAAAAGGGCCAAGTAAGGTCAAGAGTAGATCATTGGACGGAGAAGTCTTCACTATATAGAATACGACATTGTATATTTTGTTCGTAGAACCAGCATATAATTTCAAGATCTTTACATATGACATCCTCTCTACTTTCATCGTCGTTGAGCAAATCTTCACGCCCATTTTTATACCGGACTTTCTACAACTTCGTATCCCTGAGAATCTCCTCGAGTTTGTCTACTCTACTTTAAGCTCATCAACCTCGGTAGGTTGATTGGCCTGGGTCGGTTATAATGTAAAATCTACAGTCGGTACGCGACCAAGAACTGGCGCTTGTATTTTATTCTATTCTACTTTAACAGTCATTTCCAAAAGGTCATCCACAATTGTCATAGAATCATTCTCTTGATGCCAATTGAGTATGATATATCAAATGACATCGAGGCATGATAGATCCAAAATAGCTCTCTCACTTAGGTAAATATTCTTCATATTTGAGGCTACAATAGGCTCTTAAGTTGCAAACTAAATCTAAGCCAAGTTGTCCAAATGGTGTGGAGGCGCTCAGTGGTCTACCGAAGCACTTTCTTATTCAAGATTGTTGCAATTACAAATTGCCTACAATACATGCCAGTACATTGATCAATCTGCACGCCGCCGCCGCACCCATCTCGTTTACTCTACTGTTCGGTTTCCAACATTCTCCACTTTTCTCTTTTTGGAACAGGGCGCTGCTTCAAACTCTCCAACCACTCCCAAGTTCTCCTTCTTCGAACTTTCCACCAAGATGTCGAGTGTTTGTTGAAGGATGACCTTGATATCCGTAACATCGCTCGTCAATTGCATGTATGTTTCATTCTTCTCCTCGGTTGAATTCAGCGTCTCTGCGGTTCCATGGTCGGAGGATTCTGGCTCAATATTCTCCGCTGTGTTGTGGATCACATTTTGGCGAGGAATATTGCCCATGGTTTCTCGCGATCGCAAATATATCCTCCGTCCTCTTTCAACCACTTTCCCAAGAACAAATGCTTGGCTAAGTCGTCTTCATTTTTGTAACCCCATCCAGGGTTTCCATAGGATCTCATGTAACCCCAACTCTTATTCTTAGGTACTGCATATTCGATGTGCCACTTCTTTCCGGTGACAAAGTCTCTCAAGAAGACCTAGAATAGTTGTGAATTACGAAGCTCACATTGGGTTAATTTTATTGCGCGAAAACTTACCACGATTTCATGACCACTGCGAGCAACATAACCGCGGTGTGAATGGTCAAAGGTGTCCAAACTGTAGAATGACTCTGTGATATCCATATTGAGAAGGTCATGAAGAGCTAGCGGATTGCATTTCATCATGATGGTGCAAATGACATCTGCGACAGTTAAATTTGTTGTGGATTTACCATCTTGTTTGCGTCTGGCTTCAATCAGGTGAGGACAATCATCGTGGGCATTGGCAGGAAGTTTGATGGTGAAATCTAAATCGACTCGATGGATAGATATCTCGTCAGGCATTTTGTTTTCGCAGATTCGGAGGATGTGTTATTTGGGAAGATAACTTTGAAGTAAATATGGTGAAACATTGCGGGTAGATAAGCTCACAGAAAAAGCATGGTTCACGGAGAAACGTTTGGAAAAGTAAAGAATCAATCTAGACAGTCAGTGTGACCAATCTACCGATCTATTGGGTTCACCCGAATTTGATACATGAATTCCTCTCGGTAACCTGCATGATCACCGCAAGTACAAACAGCAAGGACTCTAAGTATTGTACTAAAGATAGAACAAGACGAATACAACCCAATAAATCAGACTGCTACAGAATATAAGCAAGAGATACCCAAGAACCTTGAAGTAAATTCCTATACTCAGAAGGCCATTCAATAGCCTAAGATGCTCTCGAGTCTTATCTTCCTACACGACCTGGAAATTCCATATCGTAGTTCAAGACCCCCGTCACATCTCCATCCAAGTTCCATTTTCTAGCTGCTGGCTAATTTTAGTCGAACCAGTGTTCGTCGACCTCCAAATACTTCAACCGATCTGTATCGTCAGTTCTCTTCGCCTCCTCCCATTCCTTCCTCTGCTCTTCCCACTTTTCAATATTCTTCCATCGCGGCTCGTCATCTGACAGGATGACCATAGCCAAGGCCTGATCCTCCCTCTTGCATCCCGCCAGACCTCCATGATTCCAAACCACACCCAAAGAACCAAAGCTATGCGCGTGTGACTGGAACGTACATTTTCCATTGCAGCTGTATTCATACAGTACGCTCCATCTCCTTTGAATGTACTCGAGTAACCTCGTTCCTCATGAAGACCTATATCGTTCATCGTTAGTAATCAATACAAAATTGTTTACCAATATTATCTACATGGACAACACTGAGCTTGCGGATGATATTAACGGCGAAATTCTCTTCAGAATTACAATGCTAGTACCTTTACGAGTACATTCATATCAAGCAGTTTCTGGAGGCACTGCGGATTCTTATGGCACAGAACAGTAGCAATGGCATCGATGGCAGTCAAATCAGCCACAGGTGTGCTTCCCTTTTCGATGTTGAATTCATTGATATAGGGGTGGTCCTGGGGAGTGTTTGCTGGGAGAGAGACATTGAGAAAATCGGTTTTCTTGATGCTACCTCTGAAATTCGCTGATGATATTGTGGGAAAAGCGGCCGAAATATATCCCGCCTGTCTTGGATTATAAAAGCAAATGCGCCAAAAATCAAGCTCTTAATTGGTTGCTATCCCTTGAATAAGCAAGTACTCGTTTGGATATATAATCAAAACATAGAAACCATAACTAGTGGATAATAAGGATCCGCTGGATGTCTCAACCATCTTTGAGGCTTCGACCCCTCCAGTAAATCTACAAACGAATATGCCCAACGATGCCAAGAAATTGGCGTAAAACCCCCCGCCTCAAGTAAAATTCAAAAGCTGTAGTAATGGGAAAAGACATTTTATCTTAAGAATCTGCAAATTCCCGCATATATCATTACCAGCCACTAGAGCTCCCGATCACATTCCCACAAACTACCTTTCACTAGTCCAAGTAAATAAGCGAGAAAGGCAACCTGCATCATAGGTGAAAACACCCCAGAGCAAAACCACTCGCACTAATCAGACCATGGTGATGAAAGGCCAAATCATAATACATTCGAAAGTTCTGATTGAGAGTTACTAGCCAGATATTGTAATATAACCTTCAATTTATGAATTTTATCCCGGTGTATCTCATCCCCCAAAAACCTTGCCAATGCATATCATCCTGAAGATACCCCCTGAAGTTCCACTTATTTATTTTCTGGTTCCTCTACACGCTTCCTCTTTTTCAAAGCACCCGATTCTTCCAACATCTTCCGAAGCGTTTGTTTGATCTCGGCGAGTTCGCTTGTGATTTTCACCATAGCCTCGGTATTCGCCTTCGCTGCCTCGGAATCTTCTTGTGTCGCGGTTATATCGCTGGCAGTAGTGTCGAATTCATCGCTGTCAATACGCCGACCTTCTTTTGTGATGATGTAACTAAGAAAATAGTACTTTTCTGATTCCCGCGGGTTCCATGGGAAGTAATTTGAAATATCCTCAGCCAAGGACTTTTCATATTGCTGGAGCTTAACTATTTCCTTGTCTGATTCATCGGAACAATGATTGGTATATCTACCCTTGTCCATATGAGCTGCCAGCAACTGCCATATTCCATCATTGTGAATGTGGTACGATAGCCCAACAAGGTCCGAAGCAACCTGCGCGAGCTTTAGTAGATATCATAACGAGTGGAACAAGTACCTACGCGAATGTGTTGCCAGGATCGTTCAATATATAACGTGCTAAATCCGTCGTCACTCCAACAGCAAGATGTTGCCGACCAGAAAAATCGGGGCGTGCTGAGATCCAACAATTTCTGGAGTGCGGAAGGTTTCCAAAAGTTGATTGCGGAGACGATGACATCTACCGCAGTATGACTGGGTTTCGGGAGTTCCCAAGAGTCCCCGCCCTTCGATGACTCTGGCATCAAAATATGAGGATATCGAGAGGTTTGGGAAACATTGCCGGAAGGTATGGCGTTGAGGACCAAGTCGTCTTTCTGAATGCTAGACATCTTGATTTCAAAAATCAACCAAAGTATGAACATTCAGGAAACATCCGGATTTTCTTGATGATATATGATCTGGGATCCGCACTGCGGAAGAGTGACTAATTCTCTCAACTCCGCAGAGACCAAAATCTGATATATGATAGCTCAATGGCTGAAGAACTATGGAATACCTGTAACCTTGAAATACATTGCATTGCATAAACCAGCAAACAAGAAAACAAACAAACAAACAAACACAGATTCCAAGTCCAGCTCGGACCTCTTCTATATGCCAATCACAAAGGACTATACCTTGGCGGTTCATCATTCTTTTCATATTTTCCCTCCTCATCCAACCCAATTAATTCCTTCGAGCTAGCTATCGAGGTCGTATGTTTGGTTCTTCTCGATTTAGTCATTGATCTGCAACATGGCAAGCAGCTTGTGAAAATAATTCATAGACTTTCCATTTTCTCTTCTCCTGTCATGATTCGACCGGGGTGAATGGCGTTCATGATGATTATGGCCAGGACTGTTGGGATGATTTCTAGGATGTAAAAATATGATTCGTGAGAGGAGAGGGCATTCTTTGTCTCATCTCCGCTGGAGAATCGGACGAGAGAGAAGATGATTTGGATCTGTAGGAGAGTTTGATTAGTAATACACCTCAATAATCTCCATCTGCAACGAGAACAAGAGAGCTTACCAACACAAGTCCCGACCCTCCAGACATCGCCCCCACTAACCCTTTCCAACCCACACTCGTCATGGCTCTTTTTCCCAAGCCATTCATCTCCTTCCAAAACACCACCAGTACACTGTTAAATACAAATATAACCAACATTTGCACGACCAAACCTCCAATATAAACACGATCAGCTTTCCTTTGTTCCCCGTCCAAGTTCCATCTCTCCATCATTGTTGCACCCACAATTTCTAATACAAATGCCGCTGCATTGAATGCCAAAAACGGGAGTGCGAAGAACTGCGCACGAATCCCGAGGAAGGAGCGACTGGGGAAATAGTGATTTACGAGATGACCTAGGAGGACGTAGTGATATGCATTGATCAAGGGTGAGATAGACAACGCGAAGATAGAGGACATGAGTTCGAGAACACTATCTTGTTGGTTGTGCGTTGACAAGATGCGGAGAGTGAAGGCAACGAGACCCCATAAGGAAGCTGCGATCATGAAGAAACTGTATCCCTGCGTGATTTGTTAGGTTAAGGATACTCGATCTTGGACACATCAGAGGGGTAAATACATTTCTGTAAAACACTGCCTGTATAATGTGAGCTAAGGTGAGAACACCAAAGATAGCAGCAAATGCTAAAGCCGATGCAGAACTTGGATAGTAGTCATAAAGAGCGTTGCATGTACCAGGAGGCAGGTATCCATTGTTGTCCGGCGTGAGTGTTTGGATACAGGTAGGAACAGCGAAAGAGACCGTTTTGGCTGGAAGCGTTACATATGCATTCGTTACCCCCGCAACTGTAATAAAGTTGGTTGTTAGAAAGTACACTGGGCTTGTGGATGCGGTTGAAACGGTAGTAGTGGCATCACGTTGTGGAATTGTTGAAGCAGCAGTAGGGCTTGTGAGTGTAGTGGTTGTGCTCAGAACGAGGGCATTTGTAGCAGTAACAGCTGTCGATGCCAGCAAAATGAGACTGGTGAAAAGCATCGTCGTTACTTATGAAAAAGAGTGGATTAGATGGTATAATCAACGCTAAGAAGTGAATCCAGTTGCAAGGAGAGTCGACACAAATACTTTGGGGTGTTACAGTAGAAAAGGAAAACATTCGCTATTTAAGAAAGACGAAACAATTAAGAGATCTATTTCGATATATGAAAAGAGTAGATAGTAGTGACATCTAAGGCAGATTCAGAGAAACTACAGCCCTCCTTGAGGATGATGAGAGTATCAGCAGCAGCAGCTGACTAATGATAAATCAACGCCTTATTGGTCGGAACGTAGAAAAGATCGAATTTCATATGGCGTCCGTGTCACATGGTTTTACGAGTGGGCCAATTGGGCACCGGAATGATGTGGCGAAGTAAGGAGATCTCGCTTACCTATTTACCACTCCAAAAATGGAGTTAATGAAACTCAATTTGTCGTAATCTTGTAAGGTTATTTGCTGACCGCAGTCTATAATTAAGGTTTTCCTCGATGGATTCGTGGATAAGGAGACGGCTTGTGCTGGTCCTGGATCACTGTGGATCTACAAAATTGGTGCACGTTAGCAAGCCACTGGATCGCGATTGTATCCCGAGTTCACGTGAATTTTTTATAATATGACATGCGAACAAATGCCTTTATTATTCCGTGATCCATATCCTGGGTATTCATAGTTCAGGATGCCCCTGTATCCAACTCCAACTCCTGATTTAAATGCAAACCTTTATCTACGCCAACTATACACCAGGCACAATGGCAACCTTGTTAGTTCTTTATCTTCTTTCGAATCATACAAGCCCCTAGCACGTTTACCTGGGGTGTCGGTGGCGCGGTAGGCTCTTGGAGGTCTTCGGTGCTCGATTTCCTTTTCTTACGCAAGAGTCCCACATTGAGGGTGGTAATGCCTGCTCCACCCGTCTTGTTTATGATTTCTGTGACTTTGGTTCCTGTGACTAATTGACCCCATGCATCGCCCATATTTCCCGCACCCGAGCGAACTTCATTGATCCATCTTTTGGAGCTCGAGCTTGTTAGTTCGAGATCAGCAAAGTCTAGTCGAAGGAGTAATTCATTGATTCGATGGTAGTCCGTTTCATCAACGATGACTTGACCGCGACCTTCTGGTCTCCAACTATAGTAGGCAGTGCTTTCAGGTCTTTCTAGCAAATAATTCTTGTTCTCAGTCTTAATACGTGGCTGTCTTGGAATAATAACACCCGATAGTTTCTTCTTCTTTCGCTGAGTAGAAAGCTTCGATGGTTGAGTTGATTCTTCAGTAGGTGGTGAGGCATCATTGCACTTGCAAAGCGACTGTTGAGATAAGGTTGAGGTAGAGAAAGATGTCGATGGGGTGGAATTGATCGTCGTTGTATCCGGAACTGACAGAAATGAAGAGTTGACTCCTTGGCTCTCGCTAGCCAAGATCGAACTCTGACTGCTGCCAAGCACAAGCTCTCCATGACTATGCTGGGCCGGTGGTGTAAAAACAATCCATATGAATCCAACCAGTCGTCCTGCTGAACACTCTTGTCGATATGCCATCATCTCCCAAAACTGATCAACATTCTTCACGCTCTTCCATTGTCCACTTGCATCATCCTTACCCCTGCCTATCTCATCATCTAGTTCATCTAAGAATCTTGCTTTTGGATCGTCAGGATAATGTGGGACTAAACATCGTGGAGGAACATCATCTGCATGTCTCGATATTTGTCGGAGTGGATGACCAATGGTCCAGGAGCTCTGCGCAGGCTGTACTTTTACCCTTGCTGGAAGATACGATCTTGTCTCATAATTATCCTGTCCAGGCACAATCAAGAAGCCTTTCACCGAATCCCATTGTGATTTGTGCAAATTGGTCGAGGTTTTTGTTTGCTCTATCAGCGGATCAAGTACTCGACACCACCAGCGCACCAAGCCTCTGTCGTCCAGCACATGCTTTCCACTATATTCGATGCTCCCAGGGAAGAGATATTGATCTTGGGCTCTTGCGAAAAGAGACACAATACTTCTAATGTTTTCCCTTTGATGCTGCTCGACCAAATGCTGTAAGAATGTAGCACTGATATCTCTTATGGGAGAGGAGGTTCCCTTCGGCAGATTTAACAGGTGAAGATAACCAGTTGAATCGGCCTTCGAAACGAAGAATGTAGTATCGTATGCGGTAGAGTAGATAAGGATTTCGATTGCAAAAACTAATACTTCGACCAATTCAGATGCATCTTGTTTAAAGGGAGTTCGAATCGAAACGGTAAGAAAATGGCTTTCGCAATAAGTTCTATCGGGGCGACTATTCGGTGGTGCAGAATATAAAGATGAGGTTTTGGTTGGAGGGGTAGAGAGATGGTAGATTTTGAAGCTGGCGTCTTTAGGAAGGACAGAAGCAAGTCGTTGAATGAGAATGGAAGATGCAGTTGATTCTTTCGAAACAAAACTTCCTTTAGTAGCCATAGCAAGAATTATTGCAATTGCAAATTATTTCAAGAATTCCATGATCATAAATGAAAAATGTAACTGCTGAAATACTTCTGAGAAATTAAATGAAGTCATCCTTTCCTTTGTGAGACGCGTCGGCGAGTCGGGAGACGCGAAGCTCGGCCTACACCCAAAGAAGATTAGCGCCTAGATAAAGTTTCCAGAAATCTTGAGCTTCAACTTCGAGGAATTATTCTGCTAGAGGAAGGGGGGCATCTTCACGACCAATTGACCACAAATTATACACAGCAATGGCATCCAAAACCACCACCCGATCACTTCAATCCCTCGCCCGGAAAGCACGTCAAAGATGCCCATGCGCCACGCCCATATCCTCCCGCTCAAATACCGTCCGCCAATTTTCAATATCAGCTTCGAGATTAGATACCCAATATGATGAAGGAGGAGGGGCACGACCTAGATGGTCATACACACCACCGCAGATGAAACTACCTTTCAACCCAAGAGCAAATCATGACTTACCGCAATGGGAGGTGAACAGCGATCCAAAACGATTAGATCGATTTTATACCCAATTTCTAGGACGAGGAGGCGACGAGGTACTTTCAGATGAAGTAAAGTGGCTTGCTGTTACACATAAAAGTTTTGATCAAGGTAGAAGAGGATTTAACGATCGATTGGCATATTTTGGTGCGTATCCTGTCCTATTTTGCAGATGGATGTGCATGTACTGAGTTTATGATGTGCAGGGCGTAGGATATTGAACTTGCAGACAAGTTTGGTTTTGTTACAATCACCAGTTGCGACACAAACACAGTTACCTCAGAACACAGACGACCGGGAACAATTTTCACATCCTGCTCTGGACGGTTTGCCAAATTTGACCAATGTAAAAGTGGATGAGATTCTGAGCAAGGAGAGGTTGGCGAGCTTGGGAACTCAGATGAATATGCGAGATATTATTCGATGGGAACCTCGAATGGTAAGTCGAATAGTTTTTCAATGAGATGCTCCACACGGATGCTAACACCATTTGCAGAAAGATGATCTGGAAAAGTCTGGTATAGATGTTGTGATTGCCACTTCGTTGTACGCTATTATTGGAGCGATAGCATTACAAAAGGGTGGTGATGTTGCAGCAAAAGTGGCGAGAGAGAGAGTTGTAAAATCTCTTGGTATATCATAGATGTGTATATTATATGCATAACAAACAACACATATGTAGAATACCTATTGTAAAATACCTATCAGGGCCCCTCACGAGTTGTGCGTGGCATATCATGACAGTCCATATTCCTTCTATCCTTGGGAGATAGGTTTTACTGAGCCTTAAGCTTGTAATCAACGCCATCAATCAAGTCAATTTGTGTACTGCCCTCTCTGATTTCTTCGGTCTCACATATACGAGTAACCCAAAGCAGTAATCGACACTGTATCTCGACCGTGGCATTGCTGAACTCGACCAAACATCCTCAAGACACCTTGGAGATTTATAGTATATTCAGCCCATGTCTGGATTGTCCTCAGTATAATCCTCACTGACACTAATACTTAAACTAATACCTTAATATTCTCCAAGTTTCACAAGAAAACCACCTCTCAAGACTGGGATATATGATGCTCATACGATACTACCAGCGAGATGAGATGCAGCATTCCCAAAGACAATACTACCCAGCCTTCCATACTTCCTTCTATTTACATGTACAATGCTCCCTCTCATAAACCAACCCACCATATCCTCCTACAAGACACATTCACCACGACCACCACAATCACAACCAAACCTACAACCCACTCACCCACCATCCAAAAAACCAAACCAAGCAAATGAACACACCACCCGTCCCAACCACCTACCTACAATACATAAACCCCAATACCACCCCTCCCCGTATCCGAACACATCTCCCATGGCGCAGTGGTATAGTACCCGCTTCAAGATGGGAAAAAGATGTGAGTAGGTACAGTGGTCCATATAGTACTGGATGTCATTGGGAGATTAAGCTTCGGGCTGAACTTTTGCTGTTTTGTTTATTGATTTTTGGGTTTTTGGGTTGGGAGAAAGGAGGAAGGGAGGGAGGAAGATGTGTTTATTTTTGTGGGTGGAAAAGTTGGGGAGATGGGATGAAAGTGTATGGGATGAGTCTGGTTGTGGGTAGGGGCGATTGATATATGAGATGGGAGTATGGATGAGAGTATAAGGTTGATAGTGGTTTCATTGCATGCCTCAAAAATACAACAATGATGTATGATGATAAAATGTCTTTATTTCTAGCATTTAGAATAGCACTGGCATTCGATGGGTCCAAAGGATCAATATCCATGATCTATGCTATATATCCCTTGAGAAAGAACTGATGGCTGGACATCACCCCCAATATTAATTTCACTTTTAGTACATTCATCACCAAAATAACACATTGGATGAGTCACTTCGAACGTCCATTTTGAATTTGAATTGATATCATCATCATATGTTACTATTCTGTCAAATACTTTTGTTGCACGTCTACAACAATTTTCGTGGACTTTCAACCAAAAAGAAAAGCACTTGGGAAAATCTAGCAACAGTACTGCTAACTTCTCTTCTCTAACTTATATGATCGTCAAATGAATTGTATTATATATCCATAGCAGTATTTCAATATATCGGACGAGTGCTTAGGAATGGTGATCTGGGAGCCGAAATATAGCATCTCCCAATCTCACATCTTTAGATGAGAAATTGTCACGCTTTGGATTTTTTATGACATGTAATATACAGATCTACCAATCGAATGATTATGAATGTGAGGAATATCAGATAAGTAAGCAATAATCAATAAATCGAACCTGGAGTGAATATCTGAATCTCTAAATACCGATATCTAGCCGAAATTAGTAGGCGAATGGATATGAATAGGAGGCCATATCGGATGCACGAGTGCTGGCTAGATTTGACAACTATTAGAGATATGCGACAAGATGAAGGCAAGGCGAATGCAGGAAGTAGATTTGTGAATTTGAGGTGAACATCAGATGGACAGGCGTTAGATTCACCCTTCTTATGAATTCAATATATTCACCAATAGAGTTTAGCATCTAGCATTGAAAATCAGACTTTGTTCCCATGCATCTCATCATCGAAGCGCAAAATGGAAAGTTGATATATGAAGATGATATGGTGAGTATGGACCAATACAAGTTCAAAGATAAATGTCAAGGAAACATGTACAGTATGTTTGTGTAGATGCATAACTAGAGCATCTCCTTACTTGGAAGGATATATGGTAGCTTCAGAATATATCTCTTCCGTTGCTAAACAGGGAACCGTTCATTTCCATGCATCGTAAGATCTACTTTATTGCAATTGGAACACTTAAATAAAATTCCCACACCTGATTCTCATTCTACTGATTTGAATGGTGTTTTATATCGCTTACATATATACACAACATTGCGCTGTAAATCTGTGTGGCCATCCAACTCAAGAACTAATCAGAAGTGTTGTGGAATTAGACAATGAGAATCATGATAAGGTCAGGTTTAGGTTGGCTTCTTGTCAGTCGCATCAATGGTCCATACTTATATTCCAATGAATAACCATTCGTATTCTTTGTGCTCCGTTCTATCACTGCCCAACTATTATTTGGCTGAAAGCAAGTAAATGCAGTTGCGAGTGCATTCAGCATGGCCTAAAACTTACTTCCTACAACCAGCCAATCACAATATACAGCTAATCATCGATCACGAAGATGATTTGTTGAATAGGAGCCAAAAATAGCCAAACTTCATTTGAACTCTTCTCTTCTCTCTGTTCTTCAATTAATAAGATTGTGTTTTTGGTGGGGTCGTCATACTTGAGTATATCAAGTCAGGGTACTGTAGGTATTCTTCCTGCCAAGAAGCTGTTGATGCCCATCGTCTAATCAATGATTAATAGAAAATTCCTCACACTCTAACACATTCAACTTGAAGGTTCACATTCGTGTTCATTGTTATCTCGAATCTACTTCAGTGTTTTGTTTTAGCCATCTTTTAGGAGCTTCTATTGAAGTTCTAGAAGTTCTGGTAGGCGGTCAACATCTTCATGTACTAAAGGAATATAAACTGACCAATGACGCATGTTGTCTCAGGCCGATTTAAACAAAAAAACAAAAAAACTTTTCCTTAGAAACCAACAAAACAAATCCACACTTCACCTCCTGGAGACCTAATCAATCCAACATCTCAAATACCTTCGCATTGCTACTTGCTCCCCTGTGAGAATTCAATGAATATACATAATTATTGAGCTTGCAATCTTTGCAAACCAAGTCACAGTCAGTGTTACACTCGACTGCGAACTGCGATATCAACAACTCCTCCAATAGTACTCCCACAATCCTCTATGAGCACTAACGATCTACTACGCTTCCTTTCCAAGCCAGCAAAGTAAGGATTAACAACTATTTCTTTATCTGCCAGTACATTCTTCCTGCTTTGCAACGTCTCCTACAGGTTCTGTTCCATACCTATCCCTATCATCTCAAGTACACTCCTCCCATGTGTGTGAAGACGGACAGCTTGATTATTTGACCAGTACAGTCTAGTGACTTGTAGAAATATTCACCCCTCGACAAAGCGGGGATTGATTCAGAAATTTCTATCTCTTAATCAACAATCTTCTTCTATTTTGCTGACAATTTCTTCTCTTTCTCCAGGCCCAGATAACACCAGCCACGCCCCGAACACTTAAACTTGAATACGCAAAACTGCAGATACTACTCGTCTGCTAGACCCGATATCCTCTCACGGTATCGGCCTCTATCAGAGCGAGCCCAACAATTCCAACATTCCTTCGGAAAAGAACTTTTTTATCCCCCTCTGCACCCGACCTCCATAACGTCCCCTACGTGACGTTTACATTCTAAACATCTTGCTGGCTTCGCCAGCACATACTCGTTCCTACGGTTCTGTGGGCCTACTATTCTCAGTCGAACGCCGCAAAGTTCGTCTGGGTGGCAGATAGTGCTTCACAGTACTTTGTCAAGTCGCAAAATCCCAAAATACCTGGCACCAAGCACAAATCCAACACTACGTGCATATTCGCACTTTAAATTTTAGAGATGGTCAACCTCGAGATCCCATCCGAATATACATTTTCGCCTTCTGAAGGTACACCCCAACTTACTATCAATCGAGATGCTACGATTGATCTCGATTCTAGTAATGCATTCGAAGGTTCGTATATTTGGATATCATTCCAGAAAAAGGAGAAATGCTAATGATAGCAGGCCCAGAAAAACTTCTAGAAGTTTGGTTTGCCCCATCTCCGAATGATCTACCTATCGGTGCTAAACAAGATGGACTCAAATCCGTCTCAGCCGAAACATGGACTGGAATGCTAGATCTTGTCAACTGTAAAGTTTTGTCAGTCATTGAGTCTGAGCACGTGGATGCGTACCTCTTGTCTGAGTCCAGCATGTTCATCTTCCCCCACAAGCTTATTCTGAAGACCTGCGGCACCACTACCCTTTTGCTCGGACTTCGTCGAATGTTGAGAATTGCGGCCGTTTATGCCGGCTTTCCAGCCCAGAATTGCAAATCTATCGAAGAAGTCAAGATCGCTGCCAAACCCTACCGAGTCTTCTACAGTAGAAAGAACTTCTTATTCCCCGAGAAACAACAAGGTCCACATCGAAGCTGGAAGGATGAAGTCAAATATCTCGATGACATGTTCTTAGGTGGTAGCGCGTACATGGTTGGCAAGATGAATGGAGATCATTGGTATCTATACCTGACTAACCCTAACACCGACCTTACGCCGCCCCAAACTCCAGATGCAGAGAGGCCGGTTACTGAGACGAAGGTCTTAAACATGCCCGATGGGTCTTTGTCTACCCTGGAAAGCGATTGTGCCCAAGGACCAGATGAAACCTTGGAGGTTCTCATGACTGATCTGGAGCCAAACAACGCCAAACAATTCTATCTTGATCACGCGGTTGCGGCCGCGGAGAGCAAGTATGCCAAAAGGGCTTTGAAGGCACGACAGGAGGCAGAAGACAGTTTGGGAGAACTGAGTCGAACCGATTTAAGCGTTAGCGGTACCACAGCCGGGAGTACCAACACCGATGAAACCTTCGACGTTTTTAGTAACACATCTTCCGATCACAACGGAGGTATTGTCACACCGGATGATGATATTTCGTTCCCCGAAGAGTTGGGAACCGAGGGACACGCGCTTGGTACGGTAGTATCCGAAGCTTGCGGTCTATCAGATGTCTACCCTACCTCAAAGTACCCCGATGCACGTGTTGATGCCTATCTTTTCACTCCTTGTGGATTTTCGGCCAATGGAGTTATTCCTGCTCCTGACCAAGCAGGCACTGCTACACATTATTTCACGGTCCATGTTACGCCTGAACCTCAATGCTCGTATGCCTCGTTCGAGACCAATGTTCCTGGCTGCCAGACTGGTCGTGAAACAGCTGATGTCATCGAGCATGTTGTTGATATCTTCAAGCCAGGGCGTTTCAGTGTCACACTCTTTGAGTCGAAGAACAACTCGGCGGAGGGAAGAGAATTGACATTGCTTGGTGATTCTGCCTCGGCCATGAAGAGTGCAGGCGCCGCTCGTTTGAGAAGTGCAAGAATGGAAAACATCCCCGGATATCGTAGGGTTGATAGGATCGTACACGACTTTGACGGATACGATTTAGTCTTCCGCTACTACGAGCGTGTTGGTTGGGAAGGTGGTGCACCGCGAGTGGGAGAGATTGATTGAGTGGCTGGGAGAATGCATGACCTACTAATTCCTATTTTCTATCACTTTATTCGGTTTTCCTTTCATACATTTCATCTTAGGTAGCCTGCACCTCAGCTGTCCTTACCGCGAATCCATACGCATGAGGGCATCAAAGTAAATTTCATAGCAAAATGACTGAACAACCTCCTTTCACTCGATATTTTAATTTTCAGTATGACACAATATGCACGACAGAAACATGGAAGTACAACATTAATGAGTAGCATAGCATAGCATAGCCTTCCTTGGTGATGGAAAGGCAGAGTGATGAATACCAGTAGTTATGCATGCATTGATTGAGTTTTAAGTGGGTTAAAATACCTTGTGCAAAGAAAGGGTCGCATTCATCACGACCGACCTTTATGAGGCAGAACGTGAACGTGTATCGTGAATAATTATGAACGCGTGGAAATGATTCTGGCGTCTGATTGATTCTGATTGGTTCTGCTGGTTAGTGAGCAATTGAGCAATTGAGCAAGTGAGCAAGTGAAGGGAGGGTATGAGATACGGGGGTATGAGAAAATGATATGGCGGGATGGGATGGGATGGGATGGATGGTCAGTAGTTATATCATATCCCTCGCATCGGCGAAACCTCGATTGCATTTCGATCCGAACCTAGAGCTGCAGATATATAATAATACCGGTAGATATATATATATATATATATATACATATTTTCATAATTCCATCGCGTCTTGCAGTTGTACTCTATCTGTGATGCATATCATTTCACGCTTCACGCTTCACAATTTACGATATACGATTCACTAATGTAAAAGAACACGAATGAACTCCTGACTCTCGAGCCTTTTCCTCACTTACCCCTTCATTTCTTCATCTAAGACGCGTATCGTTCTTCTACTCGTGTTTTCTCGCGTTTTCTCGCGTTTGGAACACTTTAGTTAAGTTGGATTAAAAGTCTAAACACGAAGTCTAAAAACCCCCTGCATTTATGAATCTATATGATGTATATCTTTTGGCTCACGCACCAATGAAAGAGGAGAATTGAGATTGCATTGATGATTTATTGTCTCGCTTGTGTACTGTCTGTATGGTCTGTACCCCCTTCATCCTGGTTTGAGGGGGGAAGTTCGGTTTATTGAGCTATGCTATGCATGGTATTGAGCTATTGAGCTTCGGAGGGTTTTTTTTTGGTCATTTTTAGGGAAAGGGGGTTTCTGATAAGTTGGATAAGGAAGGAGCTTGGAAGAAGACACGCTTAGAAGCACGTTTGGAAGCACGCTTGAAGGTGATTTGAGTGGTTTGAGTGGTTGATTACTGGGAATCACGTTGGGTACGCGCTGCAACGCGAAAATGAAAAGTGTAAGAAAGAAAGATTGTTGGGTGGGTGAAATGCATGCATGTATGCTAGTTACTCCAGAAGAGGAGAAGTTTGAAGTGAGGGTAGAAATGTAAGGGCTGAGTTGTAAAAATAGGAATAGGAATAACTCGGGTAAATAAGGCTTTCTAATATATCCTGCATTCCCTTCCTCCATCCCTCTTGTTGTTTATCTTTTCGTGTTTTCATCTTAATCTGATCTGATTTGATTGATTATACACCCTACGAGTATAGTATATTGACTTTCATCCGAATTCAAGTTCTTATTATTGTTCTTAAATTCTTCATACTCATACTCATATTCATACTCATTACTGTACCCATCATAACAAATCAGGCAATCTGATTATTCGACACCGACATTTTCCAACTCCACTTCTCCTCCACCTTCACCTCCATCCTTCACCGACGCGACTTAGCTTATTTTTCTTCCTTCCTGCCACCGCTTTTCTTCAACACTTCAACACTTCAACAATATATTAACAAATTGAAAAACTGTTCATTCATTCAATCATTCAATTTATTCAATCTCATTGACAACAAGTGAATTGTATCAATCATCCGAAAAAAAGAAACAATTTGAAAGGATAAACAGTCGGAAAATCAATTGAGTTTTATTTCAGAAATCGCAATCATGACTTCATATATGACAATGGGAACGACGAGACAGCCATTCGCGCCTTTGAATGGTTCACGTCTACAGAATCTTACAAGTCTCAAGAATTGTCAGAATGGTATGCAAAAAATCCCTCTTCACCAGATAGTAACAGTTGTTTCTCCCGACTCTGTTACTGTCCATTCACTCTTTATATACCTTAGATAGTATGCCTATTATAATTATGAATATGAAACTCACATCTTCAACCAGCTCTATCATCCAACACTACCTCCCCTCTCAAGCGCAAAGCAACAACATTCGAATCCGACGATGATTCCGAAAACATTGATCCTCTTTTCTTCGGATCTCCCAAACGATCCAAAGCTGGAGCTACAGATATCTTCTCAAAACCTACAAACTACTTTCTCACCAAAGCACCTCCCTCTCCTACCGACGCATCGCTCTCCTCACTCAAACCCACCAAATCTATCACTCAACGAAAGATTCTTCAACCGCGTTCTCGGACCCCCAAGCTTACCACCACCCTCCCAAAATCCACACCTCTCACCGCTCCAGCAGGTCGTTCCCCCACCCGAAAGCGTGTCGGAATCCTCAATAATCGTCGTCGTACCTCTACCCCTATAACCCGCGTCGACCCCCCCAAATTCTCCACCATAAAACCCAGCGGTCTCAGCTTCTCAATTGATGCCGCCCTTTCAGGAACCATCCCCTCTTACGGCGCACGTCAACTTCAACGCCAACCTCTTTCCTCTAAACCCCTATCTACCCCTTCATCGAAACCTAAAGTGTCTCATAACAAGATCCCCGCATCTCTCCATGTACTTGAAAACAAATCCTCTTGGTTTTTCGAAATCCACGAAGACACCGAAGAAGAACTCGCGACCAATCTCATGGAACACAGTACATGCACCCTCGACATTTCCTCGGACGAAGAATCGCTTTCGAGAATGAGAGACGATAGAGGCAAGGAAAATGTTCCACCTCTTGATGATATTTCTCAAACTCGTACATCGCTTACTGCATTCGCTTCGAGTTCCAATTCTGCATCGGTGTCTATGTCTAATAGAGATGAGATGAAAATCCGAGAGATGAAAATGAGAATTAAGATGCAACAGAGGAAACGACGGGAAATGGAAGATGGTGTGATTGATGTTGATAGGTCTCCATTGGGGGAGATGAAGAAAGAAGATTTCTATGCCGAGGGTTGTGATGAGAAGAGTGTTTTTGTTATTCTTCCAGATCCTGAACCTGAATATGAAGCCGAACCGTTAGCCGAAGTGGAAGCAGACCCTTCTGAACTTGAACAAGAAGAAGAACAAACCTCAGAACCTCAAATTTCTCTCCCGCTACCAGAACCAGAACCAGTCTCTATGGCGTCTACACCCGGAAAAGGAAAGGGAAAAGAAATCGATATAGGTTTACTTATGCAAAAGGAAGATATTGAACTGATCGAGAAACCTGAGGCGGATTTTGTCGTTTGGGAGAGTGGAAGTGCAAAGGATGAAAATGAATGGGTTGAGTAATTGCAAGACGAGAAGGGGGGGACTGTATGAGTTTATGAGTTATGTGTGTATGTTTTTGTTCGAGTGGGATTTGCGATGGTATTGGGTGCATGCTGTGTGGTTTTCTTGGGCGTATAGAGATGGAGCGCTAGGGGTCTATCTACTGTCTGTCTTGCATGTTTGTTTGTTGGTTTGTTTGTCTGCGTATGGATGGATGGATGGATGGCTGGATTGGTTGATTAGTTGGTTATATGTATCACATCACATGATGTTGTTTGTGTTTATTAGTTTAGGGCAGGATATTTGCGAGAAGAGATGAGATGATATTAGGAGAGAGCTACTGCAGTATTTGGAAGAAGAATCATAATGAATTCTTTGTTCATTTTATCTGCATGTCAATTTCTATCAAATACAGGTATACTATAGTAGTATGTATGCATGTATGTATGCATGTATGTATATATCATTGTGACATGTAAGAGTATCTATAATCTATCATATCATTAGTATTATAATGTGATGAACATCAGCAGAATAAATAAGTTATATTCTCCTTATGGTACGTAATATATTCCTAAGGCTTTTCAAACTCAATTCACGTATCAAAAATACCTATAACATCCCTATGTATCATCCCTATGTATCATCAAACCTGCCACCATAACCCGCTAAAAATACATTCTTCAGTATAACTATAACTACGAGTTAACTACTATCTTCTTCTTTTCTTCTAAGCTTTTAAGAATTGAGAAGAAATGAAAGATTTGAGAATTGAGAATTGAGAACATATACACATGATATGACACGATATGACACGATATGACTTGTTTCTTGTATCTTTCGTTGTCTATCTATCAATCAATCTTTATCCATCCATCCATCCATCCATCCATCTTTCATTATCTATCTATTTAATATCTATATCCCTAATCATCATTGTCGTTGTATACTACCCAGAGTACAAGTATATATAGTATATATACTTTCGGAAGCTAATTTCGGGGGCGAGTTTCGGAAACTAGCTCGGCTATTTCGGGTTAAGGAGTTTGGGGTGCTTGGGCGGAGGGGAGGGGGGGGGTGTAGATATATGTGGAAAGGAAAGAAGAAGGTGAAGGAGAAGGAGAAGGTGAAGGTGAAGGACGAAATGGCAAGTCTTCGAGATCCCTGCTAAAAGCAGGAAATCTTAATTACCTGCCTGTTGGGTAGGGTGGGTGAGTGGGTTTTGTGATTATAGGGAGAGCGGACTAATTATTCCCTCGCTGATCAGCTGATGATATTTTGAAGCTTTAGTTCATTGATTGACACCGATAGCCGACTAGTTGGACACTCTGAGTACTGTGTATAACCAGGCGGCCGCTCTATGAAGAGCCGACTATTAGCTATAGAAACAGGTCAAAGTATGTAAGTAATAAGCTTGCCAAGCAAGCTTACATTCTAGACTACGGTACTAGACTTCATTCAGAGTGTGAAATATTTATCCAGCAGAATTTCTTACTTTTCTCAGATGTGCAACAAAACTTCTGAGGACGCCATATGATTGGTTGATGGTGATCAGATGAGTGAATTGAGTGAGGTGAGTGTGTATATTCAGACAAGTTAAGTATCTTCAGACAAGTACTCTCGTACTAGTATGATAGAAAAGCTGACTCTGCTTTAATTAATATTAGGAAATTGAATATGGGAGTTATTTCAGATGTGAAAGAGAACTTTGTGAAAGATAATTTCTTGATTGATATGCAACAACTCATTGAAAATAAAGGAAGGAAGTGGACGCCTGTAAACCGTGGAGGTTGAAACCAATTGGGCTTCAAGGGCGTGGAAGCGCTGCAATAACTTCGTAATGCATTCTAGCTGCGGGGGGTACCAAGCCTAAAATTCATCATTCTATAGATACATCAATCAATATTCGAATCAGGTTACTTAGTAATTAGTAACTAGACATGCTGATATATTCACAGTATACAGTAATAGTATCCGCATCACATTAACTTACATGCTTTGAATCGAGCCTTCAATCGTGTTCCGGACGGATGTATAGGATAGGTCTCGAATCGATCTAATTCGTGTTTGGTATCGAGGTTTCAATCATATTCTAGGTGGATAGATGTGATAGGCTTGAAATCGAATGGATTTGGTGTTTTGCAATGAGTTCTGGAACGGTGCATAGTGCATAGGATAGATTTCGAACCGATCCAATTCGTATTTTGCATCGAGCCTTCTGTCGTCTTCAGGACGGATGTGTAGTCCCATCCAGGAATTTCGTCTCGACTCTCGGGGTGATGGCATATGTGTATGTGTGTGTATGTGTTGTTTTCGATCGATCGTGTCTGGGTCGCGGGATAATCTCTTGGGTTGAAAGAGAGGGATAGGGACGGATTTTGGGATGGTGATTGACTGGAGAGGAAGGGGGAAGGAAAAGAAGAGAGAGGGATGGGGATGGGGTTCTTATAGAGGAGCTAAGATATGTTGGGGATTAAATGGGGGTTAGTTGGAATGGGTATTCAGTGATGAGTTGGTCATGTGCGTGGTGTTTGAGGGAATTGGTAAGAAAACATATTAGATATCTCTACCTCCTATAGCTTGAAGGGGTAGAGTTTAACCTAAGGAGGAGTTCGGAATCGTCTTGCTTGGAAATCAATGGAATTGTGCTTTCTGACATTTTATCGACGTGGAAATAAGTTTCAGTAGTAAGACTTACAGTATTTGGGACATTTTATTATTCGCCTAAGCTAAATTCAATCACGATGTAAATCACTTTAGGATGGATAAGAAATGGAATTGATAAGTTATCAGATTAGTTTTGATCTCTAATACACTAGTTTGATGATATTAGCCTGTTGCCTTGTTGCATCACTAGGGCTTCTGAAAGAGAATGTTCATCGTCAACTCCCTGCCTTCTTTACAGCAGTAATTTACGCAACCTAGTCTTTGAACTCATGATTCAGTCGTCAATACATCGACGATCCGGTATTGACCATCGACAATAAAATTTCGGTGACCAAAACCACCGTGACAAAAGGGTAACGGGTCATTGTCACGGTTGGAAAGTTTACTAGCTATCTTGCTAATAGCTTCTAGGAGCGACGCTACTCCGAAGATGAATATAATAGCGTATGGACTCTATGCTTCTCGTTTTTCTCGTCCGATATGAAAAACTCTATATTGCCAGTGGTCCACTGGCAGTGGATACCTAAGCTTTGTAGAATTTGAATGGCCGTATCAAATGGCTCTCTAAGTCCTTAAATGAGGCCTTACTCATTCATACGTGCCATACTAATTGCTAGGAATAATTGTTTCAATCATGGGTAACCTGCACTGCATATGGCTCGATCTAACAAAGTATAAATATAAGTCAATAGATGTTTCGGAATTTAGCATTACCACTCACGTGAATTTTTGCCCTTGCATTCCAAGATACCTGCATATACTCTCGCGGTATCTCCATCATATCGTAAACCTCCGGACAGTTCATCAAAATGAACAAACGGTGCCTTATAACCTCATCGCTACTGATATCAAAAGCATAAACTTTAGGAGAACTAGCTGGCAAGGTCAACTTCTGTCGCACGAGAGAAATAGCATTGAGCGCATGATTCATGTGTCTCTTACCTTAGCTGTATTAGAGTTCGGTTCAGATAGACTCGGCATGAAATTCGCTCGCCATCGGACGTCCTCCGCATCGATCATACGAGCTATTTGGTTATAGGCTTATAGCCGAGATCAACATCTGTGAGTAAGACTCAAGTAGAGGCATCCGAGTTTCGCTTCTTGGCTGTGTAGTCTAGAAGTTCAAACCAGTGTATGGATGTTGACACTGATCGGTACGAGAGCAAAGCGTAAAATTTTGCGATGAGAGGGTAGTTTCATCGGTAGTACCCGGAGAACGTTCTTCTTTTCCTGTATCTTTGATGGTGTATGAAGCTGAAGGTGGTTTTGGAGAAAAGCCAACGGGAGGTATTGGGAAATCTCATTATCGAAACTATTCTCTTCTGTTAACGTGTTGTCACGGTATTGAACATAAACGTAATGGTTCGGAAGAATGGTGAAGTGGATATGTCGAATGACAAATTGATGTATTTTGGCAAGCTTCAACTCTAAGCTTCATTTGCAATATGAACACCGTGCTGATTGATGAACATTCGGTGAGATTCTCAACGAGGTGGGTATAGGATCAAAACTGCTTACCGTTGCTAACGGGCCCATAACAGACACTGACTACAGTCCAAAAATGATGAACACCTGATCTCTTGATCCACTTGGAATATTAGATCACTCTCAACTGTAATTTAGACTATTGTAACCCCACAAAATACCGATGATGTCATTACTCGAGTACTAGAAAATGAATTAGTAATTCTTTTTGATTCGTGTCTAGATGAATAAAATGACTCGTGTACTCACAAGTAAAGCTGATGAGGAGAGAAAAGGTGTATTGTAACGTCTTCGAAACCCAACATAAAGCCAGGATTTCAACGACGTCACTCCTGTATGACCACAAGAGGAGAGGTGCCTAGAGCCGCTAGGTCAACTATACGATCACGGCTGGCGAGGGCCGGAAAGCGGAAATGAACAAGTGAAAAAGATAAGTTTCAAGTGTAGACTGAAAATCCCCCGAAGGATGAAAGGCCTGTTTCTTGTTCCAGTTCAAATAATAGTATTGGCTGAAGTAAAACTAAAGCCGCTCAAACTTTCTTGCGATCGGTTGGGATACCTCTCGCGTACTGGTCTGATTATTTGAACTCTTTTAACCCATAGTCCCCGTCTTCGCTTGGACACAGATGGTACGTATGTGACCCGACTTTTGACCTCGATCTCACGACCCAAGACTTCGTCTTCACGAGGATCACAGTCACGACAGACATATACGTTTTTCTCCATTGTGGTTGATTCCAAAGCGTAGGAAAGTTGTTCAAAAAGGTCGCGAACGACCTTTCGGAGACCTCGGAGTAAGCATACCATCTTGTAGAATTTCTATCGAATCTTTCAAAAACTGGTTATAGAATACCAAGGTAACTTGGTGTGCTTTAACGGTTGAAGAAAGTGTGTAGAATACAAAATGAAGTGTTCACGAAGATTCAAAAAGGGAGCGGGGTGGGCACTCCTTATATAGGTAGTTTTTTCTCAGAAAATCATCGAGGCGTATGATGGCCGACTTTCCGACTTCATCATTCCAATTTAAATCATTGTATGCGTGGCTGAGGTAGTTTTACCATCTAGCTCCCTCAATCGGGTCTAAAATCATAACCAAAGCCATGATCCTGTAGCTCTTAAAAAATCATAAATCCCTCCAATCAAGGTCGAGACTTCAAAGACCAGCCAATGATTGGGCACTAAACAGCGCTAAAATGCTGCAAAAGAACAGAATTATCGAACAGAAAGAAGCTAAGATGGGTGATCAATGGTAAATGACACAGCCGAATTACGGTAATCAAAGATTTATCAGCATTTTTTGGCGATCGGCAGCGAAGTGGCACGACTAAAGTAAAGTATAACTATTTCCTCTCATATTGATGAGCCCCCTATCTTCAACCGAATCACGGTAATCAAAGATTCATCAGCGATTTCGGCGACCGACAGCGAAATGGTATGATTAAAGTAAAGTATAATTATTTTCTCTCATTTCGATGAGCCCCCTATTCCAACCGAGCTTGAAAGATATACCTACTAATATACACTTCTGACCATATGTTGACCGGCGAAAGATAAGTGCTTTATCAACAACGTAGAACCTTAAGTGTATTATTTCAAAAAGCATTATATTGGCTACTTCACCTGTTCACCTGATTAAGTTTTCCAATTCCGTGACCCGATGGGTGGACCTTGTCCTCTTGTTTCCATCTAGCTTCCATCTGGCCCCTTTAGTACACGTCATGGTGTGGATGAAGATTTTACGAGGTAGAGTGCATACAGCATCAATCAGTACCTGGTGGCACATCCATTCTACAATCGTAGCCCTTGGAGCCTATAGCTTTCATGAGGCTTGTTTGTGAAAAAGTCTTGGCATTTCTAGTCTACCCTCAAGTGATCCAATCAAAAGCTACCACTTTAAGCTAATTTAGACTATTTTTCGCTCGTCTGGTTTTCCGATACCCAATCTAATCAAAGCATATGTTTCGGGAAAAATTTACACCCGTACTTTTCCACAAGTTGGCCTTTAAACAGGATGAGCTCCGCCCACAACCACTTTCATCCGACCACTCATGCTATTGTGCTAAGCAAATTACGTCACAGAAAATGTGACCACAAGAGTATAATCAAGACATCAATTGTGGATTTAGAATCTATCATTAAAGAGCACTTGTACAAGGGCTTCAAGAGCCGATTAGATACATGATTTGAGGGCCCTCGGTCCAAAGAAGAATAGAAAGAAAAAAGCATGACTATCCGACACATATGACTGGAAAGTCAGTGGCATTAGGAGAGAAGGAAGTAAACCTTTCCGGCACTGAGGAAAACAGTAAGAAAAAGATGAAGTCCGCGATCAATAACATGTATGCTTAAGAATAAGATTCGCTCAGGACAAGACAACTTTACTAATTTCCACGCCAGAAGAATCCACCAGAAAATCCAAGAGTCCTCAAGGGTAGAGGGAACATTGTACTATATATATAGTGCCAAAGCCCTTCTCGATAAAAAAATTACGATACGGTGTATTCTGGGCATTCAACCTTTCTTCCGGAAACTTGGCGGGTGAACGTTGGAAAGCTGACTCGGCCTCGACTCTCAGTGATTGGGATGGGTTGGCAAGTCGAGTTTAAAATCAATTTCACCATCTCATGGAAGACAGCATGATCTTGTCCAGCATTTGTTTACTCCAATGGAGTGAAATGAAGAGCTACCCGCAAACAAGAGGCAAAAAGAGTTTGTGAATGTTGTTGATGCAATGGAACTATCATCTTTCATTATATTCGGGTAATCGTAACAAGTAATCATAAACATTATTCATTAACAAACTTAACTTTCCCAATAACCCATCTAATCTCAATCATCTCCAACCCCCACTATGCCCCCCACCATCCAAACCCCCTTCAATCATCTCCCCCAACACATCCCATCCTTTCGCCTCCTCTACTCCACCGGCCCTTGCCACCCCCCTTAACCCGCTCCCTACAAACCTAACCAACCTATCAAATTCTCCTTTCATACTCTCCAACATCTGCACATACGATTCTTCGTTGCACTCTTCCATTCCTGGTGATAAAATAGTCAAATCCACCTCCGTCTCGTCCTCCGAATCTTCGTTTCTTTGTTTCGCGATACTCGTCCTCATCCTCATACTCACTCTCATGTTTTTCGATTTACGCGGTGTAGGTGGTAGATCCAAGGATGCTAACGAAAGCTCCATGATTTCTTGCTGCTGATCCATTGCCTGTTTAGTCACAATTGCATTTGCCGCTTGCGCATCTTCTAATTTAATACCCAGATCCAGTATTTTGATGATAGTTTTATGAATAAGTTCGAGTTTACTGCCAAGGAGACATTCATCCGTAATACGTTTAGCGAATGATGTATGAACACGAATCATAGCATCGATGTCCTCGACTTCTTGGAGATCCTGGTGCATTTTTTGGGAGCGTTGCTCAAGGACTAAGGATGTGAGGTAATAGTATAGATTGTAGTTGAACCAGAGAAGACGGGTTCGGAGGGAGTAATAGAGAGAGCGTTGATCGGTGGTACTGGTTAGATTATGGCGATCAGAGACGAGACGTTCTCGAGAGAGAATGTGAGAACTGCGACGAATTTGGAAGAGGAAGGTAAAAATTCTTTGATATGAAGGGATTGTTTGTGGAGTGAGGATTATTTGAATGGGCCATGAAAGGTAGTATATGGGTTCGATTATGGAGAGGACCTTTACCGATTTTCGACATTTGTTGATATCTCGACTCCTTTGTGAAAGAGGTCGAATGCGCAATCGAAGTCGTTCTGGTATTATGGATGGGTGGGAGCCAACTGTACTTTGTACTAGCTCTGTCAATGGAAAACGATCATTCCAGGAAGAATCTAACCTGTCTAACTTATCAAAAATCGATGACATGAAGTTTGACGAAGAAATGCCATCGGCAATGAAGTAGACATGAGCTAGGGCATTGAGGGCATTATGCAAGCCGCAAGAGTCGAAGAGAGTTTTGCGCAACTTATTGGAGGTATGATGGTGCTTGCTTCTAATCCACTTTGCGAAAGCTACATCAAATAATTCGGAGAAAGGGGCCAAGAAAAACTTCGTAGTATTGCATACTGTATCAAAGTCGAGCTTCGGTTCTATCTTCCTCTTTGATCGTACAGATTCGAACTGATTCAACTGTTTCAAGACGACAACACTTTTGCCGGTATTGAAGATTCTTTCAGCTGCAGTATGAAGAAAACTTGGAGCATGTAAAGCACCACCCTGAGTCTTGCGTAGCTTAAAACGAGACTGCCAAATTGAAGATGGGTCTGCATTTCCAGTAATTTCGGAGACGAAGAATACATTGTCCCCACTACTGAGCTCGCCTTCCTCCATCCACGATCGTATGGGTCGAAGGTAGATTTGAAAGCACTGAAAGAAAAGCTTACCCATAAATGCATACATATCATCGTCTCCAGCCATCTGAGAAGTACAAGTTTCGTCATATAAGAATTCAAGATAGCGAAAAGCATGGGCATATGGATCGTGCTCAACTCGTTTGATAATGTCGGCAAGTCTGTTAAGAGGCTTGGTACATCCTGCTACTTCATTCTGTAGACTCAAAAGACTCACAACGACATCTTTCGGTGGAGCGACAAATCTGCTCTGGATATTAGATAGCCTAGTGTCCAAGTCCATAAGCCGCTGAGAGATAGATCCTTGGAGAACTTGTAGCAATGGCACATCTTGAAGTTGTTTTACCCAGGCCCGAAGAATTCCCAATGCTGAACCTTGAGTTGCGAATGTCCCCATTAACATATCATAACCTTCTGTAGTCAAATGCTTTAAAGTATAACTTTTAGAAGGTCTAATGAACCGAACATCATGAGATTCTGGTTCAAAGAGAGAGCTCAATGCTCCCATATACATGAAGAGAACTTCTCGGGCGGCCTGGAGCTCAGTGACGGGCTTTCTAACAGTCTTCAGCTGGACACCATTCACACTCGGTGGTTTCTGCCAAAATTGTGCCTTCCTTAAATTATTTAAGACGTCTTCCTCAAGTGCACTCACAATGAAGTCCTGGGGCCTCCTTGCGTTATCATCATCCAAGCTCGATTCTCCTGTTGATCCAGCCAAGTCTGACAGTTCCGATTGAGTATCCCCAAAACCATCGTTATCATCAGAACTATCCGCCCCAAAATCGACATTTCGCCATATACTTTTTTCTCGCAGTAAAGGTTCCTCGGCCACAAGATCTCGCCATTTCAAAGGGAGTTCGGTTTCGGGATCTTCTAATTTGATCAATTCTAGATCTTCGATCTTAGATATTGAAACTGGCTTGTTAGATAATTCGAGAAGTAGATGTAGAATTTCGGATGACCATTTTATCTCCAATTCCGGCAATTTTTGCAGACGCTCCTTGAGCGCATCTGCGAGTGGGTCTTCATTGTATACTCGAAACTTTTCGTCAAGCCCCTCAAGTCGGTCCTCAACATCAAATTGATTCGTTCGATTGTAATTACTGTGCCGCAGCGCTCGGAGAGCAGTCTCTCGACAAGTATTGAACCTAGAAGAGTCAGACTGAAATGGTCAGCTCCTCAATATTGGGTATACTGAATAAAGTCTTAGACAGAATAAAAGAATCAAAAGAAGCATAATTAATTACCTGCGAGGAGAAGGAAGTGATTAATGTGACAAGTTCATCTGTTAAAGCTCCCAGCTTTACAAGATGTGCCATTGTATCAATTCATTAGCAAAATTTTCTTGTGAACCTCATACAGTCTCGATCAAGGAGGGTGTTATTATATTATACACCTAGGTAAGGTTCGTTTGAACATTGAAATAATTATCAATATTCAAAGTTTACTCATATGTCATACGCGGTTCCCAATCCATCGAGAAGAGAGCAGAACGCGAGGCGAAACAACCTTACATACAAGGCTGTTATCGCTTTGGCTCTAAGCCTTGTGACGAGGCAACCCCCTTTTCTATGGGTGTGCAATTAGGCGGTTTTCTAATTTCGATAGTCTTACGCAGCGCTGTCGCGATTTTGTTCCAAGCTTCAGTGAGTTTGGGAAGTCAACACATTTTTTTAAGCCAGATAATCAATATGGCTGTAGCGCGCCCAATACGAGTCCTAGGCCTGGTGGCCATAGGACTATGGATCTTTTTCTTATACCAAGTTTTTGGCCCTGAAAGGGTAGCACGAGGGCCTGGAGATACCCTTGAGAATCCAGAGAGAGATCCCAATTTAGATCGTATGCGCCAACCCTCTGTGTATGCCAATCGTCTTGCTAACGAATCTTATAGCTACTGGAGAACCAGAGGGTGTGTTATGGAGAGCTGATCAGGGCTATGGACTAGGCGCCCAGGGAACGAGTCGAATAAATGCTACTCTTCTATCTTTAGTTCGCAACGAAGAGGTTGATGGCATGATTCAAGCTATGCAAGATTTGGAAAGAACATGGAACCATAAGTTCAATTACCCATGGACATTCTTCAATGATGTGCCATTTACAGAGGAGTTCAAACGTCGAACTTCTGCAGAAACGAGCGCAGAGTGCAAATATGGTACGCAGCTTCACCTATGATGACAATCTGGCAACTCTAATAAATCTGGCAGAATTAATCCCAAAAGAACATTGGGATATCCCCTCGTGGATCGATAAAGAGCTCTTCGAGGAATCGGCAAAAATACTCAAGGAGAATGACATTCAGTATGCTAGCATGGCATCATACCACCAGATGTGTCGATGGAATAGTGGCTTATTTTACAAACATCCAGCTATGTTAAATATGCAGTTCTACTGGCGTGTCGAGCCAAAGGTCCATTTCTTCTGCGATGTAGACTATGATGTCTTCAGATATATGCAAGATCAAAACAAAACTTACGGGTTTACTATCAATCTTTACGATGCCCCTCAATCGATTCCAACCCTATGGCCCGAAACGACGAAGTTCTTAGCCGCACATCCAGAGTACATCAACGAGAATAATGCGATGAATTGGATCACAGACAGTGCACGCAGACCAGATCATAACGAGAAAGCGGGCGGTTACTCTACATGTCATTTCTGGAGTAATTTCGAAATCGGCAACATGGATTTCTGGCGCAGTCAAGCATATGAGGATTATTTCAACCACTTGGACCGTGCTGGAGGTTTCTTCTACGAGCGATGGGGAGACGCACCCGTTCATAGTATAGCGTTGGCACTTTTTGAAGATTCGAGCAAGATCCATTGGTAGGTTTTGAGTCCTTTCGGTGAAAGTCATATTTGTAGCTAACTTGTTTCCAAGGTTCCGTGACATCGGTTACCAGCATATCCCCTACTTCAACTGCCCTAATTCGCCCAAATGCAAAGGGTGCCAGGCGGGACGATTCACAGACGGAGAAGCTTGGTTACACAAGGAGGATTGCAGACCAAATTGGTTCAAATACGTCGGTATGGGCTGAATGAGCAGGAGAACCTAGGAAACAAGCAATAACAACGGGGACGGTAATGATGATTTATATATTGTATTCAAAAAAGTCTATGATGTTTGAAAGTTTAAAGCAGACAGAAGCATTGGCAGGGCGTTCATGGCAGGATTTTGGGAAACATATGATGATATTAGAGTATAATATGGCACGGCCGTTAGATTAAAAGGCTGCTTGGTCGAATCGGCCCATGAACTACATAAGGAGAGCCAATAGCATTTGGACAGCGATTCCCACGCACAAGACTCGTACAGAGTAACATTATGCCCAATTCTTTTCAAGCATGTTATATTGCATTTCTACACCGTAGTATAGTGGAGAAAACATTTGTTTCAGAAAGAATACGCTATAGATATCTATCTCATCGAGATGGTTTATAGTCACTGTATAGAGTTTTGAGTGTAGGGTTCTCTAGGTACCTAGGTAGTCTGTTCCGAAAGCACTTACTACTACGAGTACAAGTCTTAGAACTCTAGGATTCCAAGACTAATATAATAGACTCTAAATAGGTTCAAAGGATCTGGAGATTGGAGAAAGTTCTAGACTGCAACTACTTGCTTATTGCTTATAAATCCGCAGCAATTCTCCAATTCCTAAGTCCGCGGTTATATTGATTGGATTGGAAGAAATTGCGGGGTCGGTCAAGTGATATCCTTCTACAAGTAACTCGAGTATAAATGCATAGACATTCGTATGCCGGTTACAAGTATTTTTCCTTTGGATTTGTAACTGAACATTTTGCTATATTCGCCATATCTTCTAATTGTTACTTTTGATACTTGTTCGGTGCTCTATTCTCATTGTATACATTAATCACTTATAAACCATTCTTGTGATAGATATCGACGACAAGATGTCGAACTTTGAGAACACAATCGAAGAAGCTTGTCGAAATAGAGATATTCCAGGTACAGTTCTAGTGTGTGGAAATAACTCTGGTATGCCTTTCTTCTTTATTTAACGTGATTGATTGATATTCGAGTTCATGAGCATAAAGTCGCGCATCATGAATTCGGAATATCCAAGTCTCTTAGAGTTTTTGACATTCATTGGGGGGGTTGCAAGCCTTGTTCTGTGTGTGATAGAACATTCATAGTTAATATACATAGGAAAATTCCATTATGCCAAAGCCTTCGGATCTCAGTCCCTTGAGGATCCCTCAAATCCAATGAATTTGAAAAGTGTCATGTGGTTTGCTTCCTGCACAAAACTCCTAACAACAATTGCAGCAATGCAATGTGTTGAGCGAGGTCTTTTAAGTCTTGACGGCGATATTTGCGAAGTGTTGCCGGAGTTTAAAGGTGTACAAATCCTGACTGGCTTTGACGAGGAGAATGGGAAGCCAATCCTCATAGACAACCACAAAACTATAACCCTTCGGTTTGTTGCACTTACAGTATGTTGAGTGTATGAAACTAACAATACCGAGGCATCTTCTTACACATTCATCCGGACTTGCATATGATATGTTCGGTAAGTGGTGTAATAAGTTCCAGGCACTCAAGAAAATGGCTAAACACAATTCAGATCCATTATTATCCCGGTACCAAGCATATTTGAATAAGAGCTCACCCGTGCCCATGGGTGGGCCAGATTTGATCAAGGATCTTTTCAAATTCCCCCTCCTTTTTGCGCCTGGCGACTCGTGGAGCTATGGCGTCGGGATTGATTGGGTTGGTCAGATGGTAGAGAGGGTCAATGGCAATATCTCCTTAGAGGATTACCTTGCAAAGAATGTTTGGGGACCTCTTGGCATGAATAACATCACCTTTCGTCCGCTCCAAAACCCAGAAATCCTGGCGAGACTAATCTCTATGAGTACACGAGAAGGGGGCAACCTTGAGGGCAAGGCCATATACACCAGTAAGGTCTTGTTTGATCCAGCTACCAAAGACTGTCATGGAGGTGTCGGAACATTTGGAAGTCCCGTCGATTATTTCAAGTGTTTACAGAGTCTCTGTGCGAATGATGGCCAATTACTAAAATCGGAAACCATCGACGAGATGTTCAGACCACAGCTAAGTGAAGACTCTAGAAAGGGACTGATGGAAACGATATCCATTCCAGAAGTAAATGCATGTTTTGGGGCATTTCCTAAGGGACTAAAAGCCGATTGGGGCCTTGGAGGTATCATGAATTTGGAGGACATCGGTGGTAGAAGCAAAGGCTCGATCGCGTGGGGAGGATATCCGAACCTTAACTGGTGGATCGATCGTAAAAACGGGATCTGCGGCATATGGGGCTCGCAGCTTGAACCACCTGGAGATCCAAAAATAAACCAATTGTTCCATACTTTTGAGGAGGAAATGTATAGGAGGACGAGTGCCTCTCGAGAGAAGTTATGAGCGGATTCATTAAGAACAAACTTATCGTGACAGGTCGTTGACAATGACTTATTTGTAGTCTAATGAAGAGCAAACATATTTGGGTCCTATTCTTTTTCTCCAATATTGAGCGTTATAGAAAGCTATTTCATGGTGGTGGAAAAGATTTTAGCAAGCGCTACCTACGAAGCACACCATATCCTGCATTTATATATGCATGAAGCAATAAGTTTTCCTTTGTGACAAATACTCGCGAATCAATACAAGCTTGAAGTTCATCTTTTCCACGGGGTCGTTCTTTCCCCACTGGATCCGGCACCTTGCCATCAGTTCGGTATGCCCGTATAGAAAGAGCTCTCGGCCCAAAGACCAGCAAAACATAACATCCCGATATCTCGACCTCTCACAAGTTCAACTCTTCATGAATACTACAATCCGCATACCCCTATGAACGACATTATTACTCACAAACCTATAACCCTTCAAAATGTCCGTCACGACGTTGAATGGCCAACCTACACTTAATATCTCCGGTCCCGGCCAGACCGCAATCTCCCGTCTCGATCCCTTCAAAAAAGTCTTCACCAAGTTCTTTGCCTCCATTCCTCAAAAAGTCCGAGGTCATGTCGTCGCTGTTATTGGAGAACTCATTGGCACAACCACTTTCCTATTCATCGCCTTTTCTGCAGCAGAAGTCGCTCTCGCCTCGGGGAATGATAACAAAGGTGACAAAGTCATCTACGCCACGAAATCCATTAGTACCATACAAATATTATTCATAGCATTTGGAGCTGGAATAAGTCTGGTGGTTAATGCATGGACTTTCTTTCGCATCAGTGGAGGACTATTCGACCCGGCTGTGCGATATAGCAATCAAAATCCTAGGAGACTCTATGCTAATGTGTAAAAGGTTTCTATCGCATTGTTTTTCGTCGGCGCAATCGATTTGACTCGTTGTATCTTACTTTGTATAGCCCAATGTCTTGGTGCGATTGCGGCTTCGGCTATGGCTTATGGTTTATTTCATGGAGGTTTGCATACGGCAACGACACTCAAGCCTGGAATGAGCCCGGCACAAGGAGTTATTCTCGAGATGATCCTTACGTGTCAGCTCTGCTTTACAGTTCTCATGCTCGCGGCTGAAAAACATGAGGCTACGTTTTTGGCACCGCTGGGTATTGGATTATCCGTATTTATTGGAGAACTAGCTGGTGAGATACCCTAACTCACCTATCCCAAGCGTTCTACAAAACTTACACTAATACAACCAGGCGTCTTCTGGACCGGTGGTTCCATGAACCCCGCCCGCTCCCTAGGCCCCGCAGTCATAACGATGAGTTTCCCCAGCTACCACTGGATCTACTGGGTCGGTCCCATTGCCGGCGCCGGCCTCGCAAGCATCATCTACAAGCTCATCAAAGCGCTCGAGTACGAAACGGCACAGCTCTCCGAAGGTGAACTGCACGCTCAACCCGCCGACGATTCGGAAAAAGCATCGGGTCATACGGGGCCCTGCGAATGCATGTGTTTCAAAGCGGCGGCGCAGAGACAATCGCCCGTGGCTAGCACGCTGGGGGTGGCGACGGCGGATATGGCGACGAAATCTTCAAGTTTGGTTCCGACGAAAAGTACGAAGAGTGGAGGGTCCGGGGAGACGAAGGAAAAACCAGCGGTGGTGGTGGTGGAGGAACCGGTGAAGGTTCAGCCTCAGCCTAAGGCTGATGATGGTTTCTTTGGGGAGATGTATGCAGATTGAGTGGAAGGGGAAGTTATAGTTCTCAAAGGACTTTTAGTTTCATTGTTTTGTTGAAGCATTGAATTTTGTTAGAAAAGATTGGTTTATTGAATTATTGAATAGCCTTTTCCTTTTCCGGGATATTGGAGGACGACTGGTGATGATGTTGAATGTGGTTACAGGAGGTTATAGAACACAAGTTTAAATCAGTGTATTTTCAAGTCCAAGTCCAAGTCCTCTCATTCTTGCCTTGTCAAAATTTAGAACGCACCTCGACGAAGCTCAATCCGAATCACCAACATCGATTCCTCGGCGTACACACTATACAACTTCCTTGTATTCATTCACATCATACCGCTTATGAATACCTACCTATTCCTGCTCCATTTTTCCATCCCTGGGCTTTAAATCACCGTGGAATGTCCCCTCCCCCTTCCCTGACCCTGCCTTAGCAAGAACAGTAAAGTATCAACAAAAACTTAAACAAGCGAGAATATATAACCTTACACAACCCAACCCCACACCCTACACCCTACTTATCTCCTACACCCTCTCTCACACCCTCTCCTCTCCTCCTCCTAATTCTCCCTCCCCCTCTATAACAAAACAGAATCCTCCATAGCCTATTCAATTACGCCCGCAAGACCCAGCACGAGATCTATTTAGATTCTAGATGGATGCAGTATTTTGATATACTATAGATTCCATACTATCTACTCTATAGCCACAGATATACATACACTCAACAACATGAATATCTAAATTAGAACAAGAACAAGAAAATAAAAATGAAAATGAAAATGAAAATAATGGAGGGGTGGGTAGGTGGATAGGTAAATAGGTTATTTTGTATAGGGACTGTGAACTGTAGATGTGGATGTGGATGAAATGGAATATTGGAATGAGGTAAATGAATTGGGATTTGGGGGTGGTTTGTTTGGGTGTATTGTATTGTATGTGGGAGGGTAAGGTTATACGAGTAGTAGTAGTAGTATAATGTGATGAGAGGAGATGAGAGGAGAGGAGAGGAGATAAAGGTCGAAATTGCAATTGCGATTACTTTTGTATATTTCAAGTTAGATAACTAGGGAGTATAAAGGGCTCAATATCAGATGCGAAAGTATGGATTATTGAATTCTAAATTGTGTACTTGAGTATTGCATGATAGATAGATTTATATCCTATCCTCCTCGTACCTCTTCATCTCTTCATCTCTTCATATCATCACCTCGCATTCCCCACTCCAACCACAGATAGAAAGGTAGAAAACTATCTATGAGTTAGTTGTTCACTGAAATGACAATCAACCCACTCGACAATGCAGACAGACACTGTCTATAATTCAATTCATAGACCGTAATTAATGCAAATTGAGAATAAAGAGGGGAAGATTATGAGCCCAAAATGTCTTTGATGCAATTTCTAGTTTTGATAAGAATATATCAATCAGACTATCATTCGAATTCAAATTCAGATTCCCATCTCGTTCCATGATGCCATGTGACATCAAATACGAAATTTGCGCTATCTAGTTATGTATGACATAGATAGATAGATAGATAGATATCTAGAATTACTAGACTCGAGCACTAAATCAACCTTCTGGATGGTGCCGTGGCTCGCTAGATCACGGTCTTAGCAACTTTTGAGTTGGCCGTGAAATCGTAAAAGTTTCTGGGCCCACGCTTTTGCAGTTTTGAGATTTTCCGAGGGAGTGAAGGTAAGGAAGCTATCGAAGTTTTGTTTGTTTATGCGGGTATGATTATATGGGGTATCCTTTAATGAACAAAGTTAGCTTGTGCGTTCGTTCATTTATGGGTTAGAGATGCAAATGCAAATGCAGATGGGGAGGGAGGTTTTAGAGATACGTACGGGTATAGTATGAGTGAATCAATCAATGCTTGTGCTCAATCTATGTTGAAGGAATGAAGATAGTACGAGAGATAACGGTGTTTCTGGAGGAAACTTTTTGCTTGCTTCACTAACTCGTTGATATATTTTAATAATGAGCTTCTTCATTCAACTTGCATTGCGATTACCTCGCAGAGACGATCTGAGAACCATGAAGACGTATTATTGTTCATGACCACAATGCTTCAACCTCTCCCTCATCTACAGTTTTCGTTCAACGATATAGAGAGAGACTCTCGAATAACCTTTGTATCCTATGGATTGTTCATCATTACATTCCCACGCTGAGCGAACTCTGACTCCGACTCCAACATCCGTCGTAAAATCCATACAACAACCCGACATTCATTCCAATCTCTCAAAAGCTACCATTTATTGAAATACTCCTCGAGAAACATGAGGCTGTAAGGGGGAGATGTTGAAACTTGAAGGAAGAAGAGGAATATACGGGCTCGCTCCAATTGTTATTACCAACATTGTTGCTCTGCGTATTTCATACCAATGGCACAGCAATTAGCAATTAGCCAGCAGGCACTGTAGATAAACAGCCTACCTCGCAACCTCAACAACACTTCCACGCACAAAGGCAAAAGTGCAAAGGGAGCGATACTTAACACGCCACGTAACTCCTCGAAGGTTTAGACATTATTTATTATTTGAAAGGGGTGCATACAGTACTGCAGAAAATCGATCCCATATCAAACACAACAAACATTGCAAAATTACAAAACCGGTGCCAACTCCGGTCTACTCTAAGGCTCCCTCGACAAGAAAAATTATCAATGTATGATATTGTGCAAACCTTTACTCTACTTCATAATTGGTTGTACAATATGATATGATATGATATGTCGAATTTGGCATTTGTCCGAGCGCGTATCTCCGTAACCTTACCTATCCTATGTCAAATCGGCTAAACCAAGCTATTCATATATATCGTATGTTTGAGCCTCCACCCACGATGTAGGGGCGGATATTGGTAGGAGGCATAAGAGGGGAGGGGGGTTCGTAAACGAGATTTCCTTCGGAAATAACACACATGCACGACCGCAAGTGCACTCAGTGCTTCATGTGCCGTCTAGACGGCTTGATTTCCATGGTATGGTGTGTAAGCAGACCTAGTCGCTGCAGCTAGATTGCTAATATGGTAAATCGAGACTATGTAATATGTATACGATTTGAGAGATTTGCCGAGACCACTGTGACTACGGAGACTACGGAGACCAGCTGACTGACTGACAATTCCCAACGCAACGCGTTAATTGGGAGGGCACGGTGCTTGCTGATGAAGGACGTGGCAGCGAGTGATTATTGAGAGAGAAGTTTGTAGTGGAAATGTCATGGTGGACATTGAGATTTACGATAGATAGTGGTCTGCTGATGGCTTCCATCTATGATGGAAATAGAAACTATGTACTGTCAATATTTACATGAAATAACATTGGGCTACCCAAGGTATAGTATTGCGGATACAATCATTTCTACCGCCATGATTGTCATGGGCCCGAGTTACTTGACTTTCTCAATTGTAGAAGAGGAGGATTTCACGATACGTTGGAAAAACTATAAAGGAAGATTATGAAGTCTGAATAATCTCCGTCCCGCCATCCATTCATAAGATGTTGATAACCGCTTTCACGTACATTTTGGCTGGTTTCAGAGCTATTGATGCAGGACGGGGCGCTTTCCAACCAAAATCGTATAGTATAATCAACTTAGAGAGCACGAGATTGCCACGATATGAATGAAACTACTCTTGCGAGAATCGGGAAGGTGGAGGAATTTTCAATTCTGTTGCCTACAACGCCTTCCATCAGCAGACTTATGCCAAGAACAACGAACGGATAACTACCCCTGAAGACCACGATACTTCCTTGTCTTCATCTCAGAAAAATGTGCCGTCTTACATTTTTGTATGCCGTGAATTAGCGGTGTCGAATCATGAGAAGGATGCACACAAGGGATTCGGTCGCACACGAAGGAAGGATTTGGGAAGCATTTCGGCGACAGCGAATAATAACAAGCGGTGAGAAGCCGCACCGAAAGAATCGAAGGAAAAAAAAAGATTCCTCTGGGTGCGGCGGAGGAATTCTAGAAAGCTTCTCGGAAACCCTCCATGTTTCTAATTCAGAATCAAAAACACCGATTCCTCTTCATGCACGCGTGCTTACAGTATGCGCATGGGTGGGCTGGCTTATAATACTGTATTACACCAAATCAACTTGATTGTGCCTCTCGAGTACTTAATCGAAGCTACATGACTGCGTGGTCGAAATGAAGCTTATGCTACACTATTGATCCTGCGCATCGTCATGACATACTAGAGACTAGAAATAGACTATATCCCCGTCGCCGTTACAATTGCTCGAAGCATCCTTGGAAGGATGAAAAGAATGGAAAGAATGAAGGATTGGAGATGGGGGTGTCATCGTGGCCCATTCCATCACCAGTCAAACCCCGTCCCCAAAGAAGCTCTTGCTGTGCCGTTCGACTGCCACGCAGCTGACAGCATCACGCAAGATTGTTTTTGCTGTGCCGTGCCGCTAAAGATTGTAAAAACCATGTGGCATGACGGGCCGAGGCCATGGTAACATGTGAAGGTTGGGTTGGGATGGGATGGGTTGGGTTGGTTCGTTCTTGGTATGGGGTTCATACATACATACATACATACATACATACATACATGGGCGGAACAAGAAATTATCAATGGGGGTGGCGAGCGCGAGCGCGAACCGAACATGTAGAGTTAATATGTAGAGTTAATTAAAACGGGATCTTCTTGGGATTAATGAATGGGGGTGGTCCTCGCGGTCCTCGCTCCTCAGCTCAGTGGTCTCTGCTGCGGGAAAAGGTGCCGGCCGGGCTTTGTCTCTCGTTCTCCACAACTTCTCGCTCCCAGTTCCAACATGACAAGGCAACAGAATAAACAGAGATGTGAGAGGTTAGATGAGGTTTTTAGTGGTACGGCATGAAAGTTACAGATGATGCTGTATTATATTATCCCCAATAGCTAATGTCCGAATGATGCGATTGGATCGAAACGCGCGGTTGGCAAATGTTATGGGTTAAAGGGAAGAATTTGAAATGATAATATCGGATAATTGGCCTGT